CTCGTAACCGCAGACTCTTGACCGATCATGGCCCCAAGTTATCCTCATTCACAGAAAGCCGTCGACTTTTCACTGGTTACCACAAATTTACAATTTTAATTCAACGGACTCACATGCTCGTAACACGTTTTTATAAACAATCTATTACGCCTGTCGGTGATTGAGAATTCAGGATCATTTTTTCTTGAATTGAATCTTCGTAAGACGATTTTTTTTTTCAATCCTCTCGAAGCGTTATGTACGAGTTTTACTACCGAGTAGAACGACTTCACGTGAGCCAATTTTATGTAAAAAGTTTCCACCATTTTTTTAGCTCATTGCATTTTTTTTCATTCTTGTTATCTACGGGGCATCATCACTCTTGTAATTTTATTTTCATGTTTAATTGTAAATCTAGATTGAATACTCGTATTCAAAAGGTGCATTTTTCGATTGATTAGGTTTTATAATTAAGTTCAATGAGGGAAGCTCCGGAAAAATTGCAGAAAATCTTCAGAATTGGAAAACTACAATACCACCACGTAAATTTTCCTAGTGACATTCTCATTGAAGATTCAAATATCTCCCTATGCATCGCATAAAAAAATTCAAAATTCCCTAAAAAATAATATATATTCCCTAATCGACGATAAGAAAATACAAGACACTGAATTTTCCGGGTTTTTTTTTTTCGAGTTGATCAAACAGGCACCCCTGAAAATTTCGATGAGACATCAGGACTGAAACGTCTAAAATCATAGAACTGACCGGTATTATCCATATTTTCCATAATTTTTCCCTGGAGATGGCCACCGGGACGCTGGGAATAGTCAATTAAAAAGATCCACAGACAGAAGCTGAAGGAGGAGGTCGGTGGGAGGTGGAGGGCCGGTTGCGAGAGGAGCGGAGCAACCGAAGCAACATCCACCGTCAAAAAGGTGAGGTGGATAGAGAGAGAGAGAGAGAGGTGGCAACGCGAATGAAGGGAGGGAGGGGCAAGGTGGGAGGTGGTAGAGGACGAAGAAAGAGGAGGTAAAGTTGGTATCGCGGATGGCGATGGCAGAGTCAATGTCCTAGCGCTCGCACTGGGTCACGGCGAGTTGCGGCCAACGACCCAACGGGCTTCTCTTTGCTTTGCACAGTGGAGCTTCTCTCGGTATACCCACTGCATATACTGGGTGCTCGATAGTACACCCGACGTGGCTCATCACCAGAAATACAACAATTAATGATGAATCATGAAAAATCATCCTCACCCCCCGTATGACCAGCCCTCTGCCCCTCACTGCTGATAAATTCCTGAGGACCATCGAGGATTAATCACAAGTGTGAGAAACTCCCCGTGAAATACTCGAATTTCTCCCCCCTCCAAAAATAATTGCGATGAGCGAGAAAATTCACCCAGCAATTTGCATCGAATTCGAATTCGATGCTCACCAAATGAGCTACAATGCCAGAGAGGGTTGGTCCCAACGTCTGAATTCTCCGAAGAGTTAACGGGCCCAATCCTGGAGATGTGAGGTAAAAGGACGAGAGGAGTAAGAGAAACGAGAATGAGAGCTCGAATTGGGGGATTGTATGTACGTGTGGGCTGGGTGTGGGGTAAGGGGAGTTGAGAAGATGGGAACAAGGAAGGAGACCCTCGGGGTGTATTCACCGATGGTTATAGTCATCGACTGGTCTGCTATCTCTTGAGTCGACCGAAATTATACCGTGACCCAAGAACGTCAAGTTTAACCGTTATATCCTTGTTAAATCCTTTGATTTGTGCGGCCCAATTTTGTTTCCTTCTTTTCCTCCCTTTGTACCACCACTGCATGATATCTCGCCGCCCACACGTTCTGGCTCTATCAGGATACGTGCGACTTGTTTACGATCATCAATTTTAGTGGTGCGATACCTCGTACCATCGGGGCACTGCCCCGCGGTTAAAGCCACGACCCATCACATCGCCCAATGAAAATATCGACGGCAGTCGTTATTGGGTAACGCCGGTGAAGCCAACGAAAAATTCAAATGCACTTGTGATCCGACGCAACACACGCGCCTACTTGGACTTTCACTTCCTTCCTTTCCCCCTCGGTCGCATAGACACACTACTTTTCCTTTCAGGCCCTTGACTGGTGCCCCCCGACCATGCCCATGTCGAAGCGCCATCAAACTAAAACCCGGCTCTTCGCCTTCGTACTTAACCAGACGCTATGGCGCGCCACCACACCACCATTCTTCCCTCTATTCCCTATTTTTTTTTTTTACCACCTCTCGCATTACACCGACTTATCAATGTCAAGTTCATCGTACTACATTCAACCTCATCTCTGTAAACATTCTCCCACCGTGGATTTTTAAAAAAATATCTCATGGAAACAGGTAATTTTATACCACCATAAATTTCACCTGGAAAGATAAAAATGTGCAAAATGTCCATTTAACCAGCCCCAAGGGGCTGACTAAATTTAAACTTATTGTGTGTAACATTGAAATTCCATGAGCGTGTTTACTCAATCCTCAAATATCTGGTTTAGCGTGCATGTAGACGCGTGGATGCCTGGTGGCTAGGTTGTGCCAGCCCCCAAGTGCCGGCAGTAACCGCAGTACACCAGAAGCTAACACATACATACAGGCACATAGGGACATACACACATATACAGCATTGGTTGAGTACAGAGTGAAGAAGAGGAGAACGAGAGAAGTCCGACGACTGCATCATCGAGTTCACTAACGAGAGAAAGAGAGTTGGAGGATGAGGTGGTGAGGGGATGAGGGGATGAGGCGATGAGGAGATGAGGAGATGAGGTGATGAGGGGATGAGGGGGTAAGCCGGCAGGGGGATGCCGGGGGGCTTGAAGAGCGGGCAAAAAAGGAGGAGAGAGAAACAGCCGTGGAGTAAAAACGAAGGAGAACGAGAAAGAGATGATGCAGTTGTGCGTTTGCAAGGAAGGCGGAAGGAGGAACAGCGAGGGAACCGGTCCCGGTCACTGGGCCACCAGCCGGCCGTCGAACCCGCGCCACACTGTCCCTTCTCTTCGCCCTCCCCCTCACCCTCGCCCACCTCCTCGCCATCCTTACCAACCCGACACGTCTCCTACCAACCCCACCCGCCCGCCAACTTTTCCTCCTCCTTTTTTTCCCTTCTTCACCTTTCCTTCTTTCTTTCTTTCCATCTTCTTGTTTTTCTCCACCTCAACCAACCCCCCCATCTCCCTCCTACCCTGCCCGAGCGCCCGACCGCCCGCCCGCCCCCCACAACTCTTTTATAAACATCTTCTGTTTTTATTTTCTCATTTTTCCTTATTTTTATTTCACCATCATCGTCTTCCTTCACTTCTTATTCGCGTTCTTATACGCGACCCCGTGCGCCACGGCAAATAACTCACTCGCAAATTCATCTCAATGGTATCACGCATTATTCCATATTGGGATGGGCTTGAATTAATGCGTGAGATAGGGCGATGGGGGGACAATGGAGGGGGGGTAAGTTGTGGTGGTAAAGGGACTGTGCCATTCTTGAGTCGAGGAAGTATGACCTCGTGGAAAACGATACGCGTTCGCGCGAGGGCGATGTTTGATGGGACAAGGGGTACACGGGAGGGGAATTGCTAGAGAGGAATTACGATGATGGTGTTTGTGGTAGTTGGTACTCGGGATGTTTGATGGTGGTTGTGGTTGTATGACGGTGGTGTAAGGGGGCGGCTCAATGGGTTCCGGGGCGCGTGAACTTTGCCGCGAGAAATGCGCGAGAATTTCCGCGCGGATGTTTGTCGTCAGAGTGGGAGGGGGAGTGAGCAGTGTTGCCGGATTATGAACTACCGAATTGAGGGGAAAAAGTTGTTAATGGAAGTGAGTACGGGTTTGACAAGCTGGAGTAGTTGCGATAAGGCTAATTAAGGTGGGTAAGTGGACGGGGAATTTATGATAATGGATTATCAATATTTAACGTCGGGTTTCTCTCGCTTCTCTCTAGGCGAGATTTTTCAACATTCATGGTCTTTTTCAATTGCAGAGCTTTCAGCTTAAATGAAAAAACATCGGTCTTTCAAAAATAAAATATTTAATAATAAAATTTTTTGCAAAATTTGCGTCATTTTTTCATGTTTGTTTCTAAACGCTTTTTTTTATAACGATGTACTTCATCTTAGATTGGACTTTTCAAGGAGTTCGATAATTTGTTAAGCGTGAAAATATTTTGAATTGGTAGCATGAATTCATCAGAATTCATTAGATTTTCATCGTACACCACCAAATTGCGATACGCGGAATGCGGAAATCGAAGACCGGTAGAAGCCAATTGAATCGCCATTATTCTGAGGTCTGGTTTACAGTTGTGTAATATTTATTTGAGATTCGCCAGTGGCTTTCTACTGTATCGACTGATGCTGTAAAATATGAGTTGCCGACAGCTCGACTTTCGCCTATCTACCCATAGTAGTTCAGAGATTTTCAACTTACTTATCATCGGTAAGAGATCGCTGGATCCATCAAGAATGATTTACCGATTTATTTATACTTCGAGGCACGGAAAAGAGTCAGGGGCAGATGGCGTCGTTTTGCATTTCTTGGTTGGAAAATTTAAATCAAAGAGGATTGACTAAAGTAGAGGCTCAGTTCTGGGGGTGGAGTGACCCCAGCGGCATCGTAGTACTGCACCCCAAGAGATTCTAGGTTTTCATGAGAGATCCCCTTATATTAAATTCCCCCTAAATTAAAAGAGCAAGAAGTTTTTCATCTGGTTTCGACTCCAATTAATCGATCCTCCTTAAATACTCGATTATCACATTCATTCGGAAAATTTGAATTTCCCCGAACGGCATAATGGCATTTCCGTTTCGTCTTACGGTTTCGCACTTACGCCCATTCCCGATATTTCTAGATTGATTTCCTTTTCTCTTTTTTGATTCTCTCATATCAATAAATTAATAAACAATAACCCAGTCAAACTTCATCGAAATTGTTTATGATTTACTTATAAAATCGTGTTTATTAACAAATGCAGAGCAGAATAAATAATAACAATAGTGCCAAGGAATAGACTGAGCCGAAGTCCAATTAATTCATAATTACTCAATAAATACAAATAATGATGGTACCTCAATCAACAGAGGGAAGACATTGAACTGTACAATAGCTTAAGTCACCCGGATGAATCTTCATAAAAAAAAAATAGTGAAATCGATTCCAGATATTTCGCTCGCTCGGATGCGTCGAGTGTTTTGAATAATTTATCTGAAATTATTTGGCGTGCGTATCTTTGGCCGAGCCGATTCTGCTCCACAGAATTACGACCCTGAAAAAGGAAAATCGGTATTGAATTTATCCCATTATTTATTAATCTCGTAAATTATCAATTGCTTAATCACTGAATACCTGAGCTACTTGATGACGATGACGATGGAGCTGCGGGTGCACCATACGAATTGGATGAGCTTCCACTTGCGCTGTTGGATGAATAATAATTATAGGCGAGATTCTGGGCATCTGAGGGAGTCCAGACCCTAGAGTAAGGGCCATTCCCATCCCAGGTATTAATGGGTTCATATCCAGAAGTGGTTGTTGGCACTGGAGGTGCGCCGTAAGCACTGACAGGAGCAGGTTCCATCGACATTCCTATTTTAATCATTAAGAGTAATAATCACTGGTAACAATCGTTAAGCAGATAAAAATGTTGACGTACCCATGGGAGGGGCCATTCCACCCTTCTTGAAGAACTGGAGGGCAACAAATCCCACGACCACAAGCAGCGCGAGTTTCGACAGGATCAGAGCCTTCATGGCTTTCAATCCAATGAGAGCCACGAATATCGGCATCAGTGCTTTCAGCTTTAATTTCAAAAGCACCAGAAACGGCAGCAGCAGCTTCTTCTTCAGGAGTCCTCTCGCCTGGCCAGTGGCTGCCTCGCTGTTCTTGAACTCAAAATCAAGATCTGCGAGACTGCGGCTCGGTCTGTACTTGAGTTTAGCATCGACAAATGGCAAATTAACGCCATAATCGAAGCTCTTCAGGTACTTGACACACCTCACGACAAGCGCTTCGTCAATGGTCTCCAATGAGCGAGCTTCTGTGCTTGTGCCCAATTTGACATCAAGATAGCTAAGCACCTCGTGCTTCATACACGAGGCCCAGGACTCAGCTCCGATGCACTCGTTGAAGGATTTGGCGAGGAAGTCTTGTGATGCCGATGCACAACATACAACTGCAGTGATACAAATCACGTGGAACAAACGCATGTTTATGGTACTTTGGTGTCGTTATTGATTATTGAACTTTGTTGATTGAATGATCGAGGAAAATTCGACGTCAATCAGGTGTCTCCGTAACGGTGGCACACAATCGGCGATCGAACTGCTACTGACGGAGGAGTGGCCCGCCCCTTTTATTTAATTTCTACCGGTGGATCTATGTTATTCGGTCGTGCATGCCTCGAATTAACGATTCGAAGGAAAATTATTCAAATTTACATGGCACAGAGGGCGACGATCCGTCAGTCGCTCGGGTCTTTGGAAGCGATACGTATAACTTCGGCTTATGGTACGTTGTGGCATGCGCCAACGGAAAACGGAACTTGTCCATGATGGTATGTGTTGGTTTTATTTGCGCCTCGTGTATGCTAACGATCATGTTAATTCAGAGATTGTCATCGCTGTGATGCATGTGTTGTTAATGAGGTTTTTTTTTGACAAATTTCACCAGGTACGAGGGTTTCATTTGGGACTCGGGTGTGGCCGGACCAAATCAGCATCGATTTCACTGTCATTCTTGCGTGGATTATCAAGGCGGAGAAAATTTTATGGAGGAATTCGCACAATAAAATTATCCATTACTTGCGAGAAACATTTTCTCTTCCTCGCCAAATAAATTTCTGCGAAAAATACACATATATACATATGTGACAGGAGAATTCCCGAGAATTCAGAATTTCTTCCAAGTGTGAAATATTGCGCGTGAAAATGCAAGTGCTTATATTTTTGTTATCATTTTAAATGCTCTCTCTGATCCTATGCTGACTGTGAATTTTTTCTTCATCATAATGATCTAGTCGAGTCGTATTTCTTGGCCAGGGCGGATGGTTCATGGATCTGTGAGCAAGTGTACTTCTGTAATGGACAAAATTAAATCCCGTGAAGTCACTGAAAAACGGTATAATTTTGGGGTATGAAGAATACACAGCAGAACAATTCTCAATTGGACTCAACGGAAATTATTATGTCGCATGCCCGGTTTTCAAGACAAATATCCTGTGTGTCCTCATTAGCTGAAATACCTTAAAAAAAAAACCATAAAAAGGCAATAAAAAACCATTAATAAAAAATTTAAAAAATCTAGTTAAGCTGTCATGATGGAAGAATTCAGTACAAAAATACAATTAAAATACATATTTAGCCTTTTCTTTTTCTAATAAAGTTCATGAAAAACCACGATTTTTATTACGCCCACCGATTTTTCCTATCGTAATAAATCAATCATTTAAAAAAGTAATTATAATTATGAATTCCTTCAATATTCCTGAAATCATTATTCCTATGATTTTTTTTAGAACGCAATCAGTCCTGATAATCATTTTTCTTGTCTGAACAAATATAATTTAATGTTTATATATATTTAAAGAATGAGTGTGACAACTCTGATTTGAATACACGGTACGTAAAAATGTGTAATTCACGCATTAGCCATGGGAGAAAAACAAACGTGACAATAATTGCCCATTGTTTTCTCAACGAGAAACCGTCATATCTACACCGGTTAACGGTAATTTATTTATTCTCCAATGACTCAGGATGACATCGCTCCCAACAATTCATTCAGTTCGGAGTGTTTTCACGGGTCGCAGAGTCTAGTGGACAGCACTTGAATTACGCTCTTCATTTAAATAACCGCCACTTGTCGACCACAAAATCCTTTTCACGTTATTCACATGTGAAATTACCCTATGCTTTCATGAAAGCATAAATCAACGAGTCTCATCACTTGAGAGAAGCCTGAAATTTCGCTTTAACTTATCTCTTTCTCTTCACCATCATTATTATTGCCCCAAAGAGAAAAAAATCCATGAATTAATGATAATGATGAGAGTCTCGATTGGAATACAAAATATTAAGAATGCAGCAATAATTTATTAAATAATACATAAGCGGAAATTATTTTACAAAAGTGTCTCTAGTCAGAATATCGTAGGACCGAGTGTTTTAATAAATTGAGAGCCTATTCTGCTGGTGCATAAGCTGAGTAAGCCATGCGCTGAGCACTTGCGACAGGCTGCACATCCTGGAAGGATCTGTACTGTGCAGCTTGATATTCCCAAGGACCATGAGCAGCAATCGGTGCAGCATGACTGTCAGCAGCGATTTTCTTGCAGAGCTGGAAGATGGCAAGACCCACAGAGACGACGAAACTGAAGAATGAGAGCTGAAGGGCATTCCAGGCCTTGAGCCCAAGAACACCGATAGCGAGGGGGATGAGGGTCATCGCCTTCAGCAGGACGAACACGAGGATGGGGATGATGACCTTCTTGAGTTTGGATTTACGTGCCTCCTCGACAGCGCGTCCCTGGCCGAACTTGACGTTGAATGAGATCTGATCGTCCTCGATATTTCTTGCACTCACTTTGACAGCTGATTCCAGGGGGAGCTTGAAGGTGACGTCGTGAGAGATCAGGTAGTTCTGGACGGTATCCAGGAAGGAAGCCTCGCTGCGGGCGTCTGTCTCTTCGACAGGTTGGGAGTTTCGGGTGACTTCAACGCTGTCGGATACCTGGAATAATTCGAAGATCATTGAGATAATTTAAATGATTGAATTGGAGGGATTGACGAGTTGATTGAGAGCTGTACCTTGAAGTTGTCCTTACGGAAGATCTGATCCAGCAAGTTGAGGACCTTGAACTTCATGCAAGCCATTTCATCATTCTTCTGGGCGCACTCGCTTTTGGTTTGTTCCATAATCGAATCCATGTTGTTACCCTTCCAAGCCTCTGGCTTTGCTGGCTGAGCTGCAGCCAGAGCCAAGATTGCCATGCACACCACAAAGTACTTCATGATTGATCGGTCAAGTGATCGAGTAATCCCCACTGGGTTTATCGTGTCTCGTTGCTGAAGGCGACGATTATTGAAGAAGTTACTTCCACAACTGATGACTGCTCATCGGTTCATGTGTCTATTTATACGGGGGCCCTCTTCTGCACTTGTACATCGGGTTGATATCCCCTACCTCTAGTCAACCGGACGAATTTTCTTTTCGTTCAGTATGGTCTTCGATTATCGAGGTCTCCAGCCTATCGTGGGGTGACTACTGATGAGATTCGTTGAGGTATGAGGTACCATGTGTCGTGATGGTCTCGTGCGACAACCCTACTTTGATATACTGTTGGAAAATTACACCTGAAGTTTCAAGTAAAAAATTTGGAAATTTTTGACGAACACAAAGTCATAGGAAATTTCTGTCGAATCGTTAATTGACGATTTATTTAATTTTTTTATATAAGTATGCATTTTCAGATCGACATGACACTGAAAATTAAATGTTAAAATGTTAATGTTAAAACGTCTAGCGATAATTTCCCAAAGTTTTAATTAATCGCAAATTCAATTCTACGGAAATAACACGGAAGTTCTAGATTTACGGAGACCTGAAATGCTGCAAACTCCGCAACTTACCCGATGTTCCATTGAAATATAAATATGTGTTTTAAACTCGATTGAGAATTGTTTATTAGTTTTCATTTATTATTTTTCTTATAGCATTGAAACCAAATGGTCGATTCCTGCAACCGCTACACAATATATTCCTTCGGTGCCATTTCTTTGAAATAATCCACACAATATCGTAATCTTTACCATAAAAGGATTTTCAAATATTTTATAAATTTTCTCCGTCCCAATATTCGCCTTAAAAGACCCAATCGTCTTTGCCATCTGTTTACAAAATACCTCTCCCCTCTCATAATGATTGTATCTGGCTCTTTCGAACATAATCATTTGGCATAATCAATTGCTCCACTTATCCACATAAAACGTCCATTAAATATCCAATTTCAAGTGTCACCTCACGTGTATTCATAAGCGGAAGCAAATTCCATTCCACTCTCAAAAGGTCTACCCTTTTTCCCGACACTGGTATGTCACGGATCATAAATTCAATGCACGATTGTCACCGCTACTTCCAGCCAATGTGTACAAGTGAATCCATTAATGCCTGCCACTGGGTTAATTCATCCCTTGTTAAACAATATCATTGTCTACGCTTGTAATAACGCTGCATGCGAATCTCGTTTGAAATTTCTCGAGCGAAAGCAATGACGAGGTGAATACAATCATTCAGCACTCTTTCCGTTATTGACGTCTACTTTTAGCCTTTCTATCCATAACAATACCTCTGAAAACACTGGATTTCGGGGTCGCATATTTGCATAATGTATTTATTTTATGTGGCATACTGAATCCATTATTTTAAAACAGAAATTTCAAGTTTCTCGGCGTCTACATGAGATGCATCGGGAATCATCGAAAGTTTCATGGTCATGGGGAGAATGAGAAATTAATGAAAATTAGGTAATCAGGTATCTGGATCAACCGGAGAATTTTTCCTTTCTTCCATATACACATTTTCCTCCTCGAATTCCAAGGATAAACCCAAAGAATATTTTAATCAGCATCAATTCGCAGTCGTTATTCCATTTCGATTGTTCCTTCGACCACAATGGAACCTTTTAATCGATTCATGACAAAGATTGAGAAATGCCACAAAAATAATTAAAAAGATTCTATGAAAATTCATTTATTTAACATTAATTCAATAAGTTATCGAACGACAATAAATATTAAACAGTTAAGATGTCCTTAGGTAATGGATTCTATTTTCTGTAGCCGCGGTAAGGTCCATTGGCTGCAGCATCCCAGTGAGGGGCGGCGTGTTCCACAGGGGGATGTCCATAATGAACTACTTCATACGCAACTTTGGGTTTGGTAAGCTTGAAAATTAACATGGCTCCACTGAGGACCATGGAGAGGAGACCCAGAGTGAGGGCCTTCCACGTTTTTAAGGCGATGAGGGCGAGGGCGAGGGGTACCAGCGCTGTTGCCTTGAATTTCAGACCCAGGAGGAAGGGAATCATGACTTTCTTCACGAATCCACGTCCTGCAAGTAATAAAATTAATTAATCAGGATTACGAATTTATAAGAACTCCATGAAAGCAGACTGAGACTCACCCTGTCCACTGGAGTTGTCTGAGAGGGGAATGCTCAAGGTCTTCGGCACAGATTCGACTAGAGACCTTGGAACGATGTTTGATCCTGCAATCGCTTCCGGAAGTTTCGCTTCCAGCGTGTGACTTGCTAGGTATGAGTCTAGCTTCTCCAGCATCAATGAACGGAGAAGTTCTTTTCTGTCGGGATCAACTCCCTCGTACTGGGAATAGTCTTCACTGTCGAAAGACATTTGCCGGGCACGAATCACCGAGAGGTCCTCAGTTATGGGTACTCTCTCTTGTTTGATGACGTCGCTCAGGTACGCCAGGACCTTTGGCTTGACACATGATAGCATTGACTCACTGTCCACACACCTGTCGAGGAATTTTATACGATTGAGTTGACGTCATTAATCAGGATTGATCGAGGCTTGCAATACTTGGTTTACCTGTAGTAAATCTTCTGTAGCACCTCAGCTGTCGTGCTGATCTCTTGTGCACTCACACCCATGACCAGAAGGGCCAGTGATACCACTATCAGGGACCTCATGATGATTACGTTCAATCGATTTGCCTGACCAAACACCGAATGCTCACTTGTACCTCGACTACTCGGTTTTATAGCCGATGGAAGCTACGTACGTGCTCGGAATTCTCTTCAGGGTACGTGATACTGACGTGAATGAAAGAAGAAAGCACCTTTATCTAGGGTGACAATGTTCTGAACAATTTTTTTCATTCTCAAATCATCGTGGATTCGAAAAATATCTAATAAAATTGCATGACTGCTTCTGCAGTCTCAATGAAAATTGGACGAACTGATCTTGAACTTTAACGGGATTTTGAGGAGGTGAAAAGCCAGAAAATGAAACCAAAAACGTGACTTGAACTTTTACTTTTTGCGGTAAAAATAAAATTTCACTTGTGGCTAACAGTACTCGTAGGTCCTTTCTTCTAGCTTTTGTTGCGTTTTAATGACATCTGCGAAAATCTGCGTCATGATATGGAAAATTGTTTTTCAATATATTAAGTACAAATGTAACGGCTACGGCTACATGTGTGCAAGAGCGAAAATAAATTATGAGGAGAAGAATAATTGCAGAAATATGTAAGCAGCAGTTATTGAGCAAATTCATGATGATTTCGACCTTGAGTTTTTTCAGAATATCATTCGCGTAAGGAAGCAAAAACTCGAAAAAATGGATAGCTCACTATTGCGCCTATTCACTAGTAAATTATTAATTCATCAATTTAGCAAAACATAAAGATAGCCTATAGACATTCCACTAAGTTACTGCTCTCATAAATTTCTAATGGATCATAAGCTATCAAGATTAGCGTCATTTACAGATAATTATGTCTTCCATGGAACCAAGAGAACTTGTGAAAGATGGAACCATCGGTTTCAGCTATAATTTAAAAATTTCACGATGCAACGACCAAAGTAGAGAATATAATTGGATGTATTACAATTTTAGTACTTAAATATTTCCAAGTGAGGTGCGTAAGTTTCTAGCGGTACCCGACGTAAACAAGTAAGCAGGTTATTGCTGAGAATCTGTATAATTAATAAGCCTGTTGGGACTCTCCAGAATCACCTGACATCCTTCGCCAAATTAATGGTATGCGATATTATTATTATTATTATTATCGGCATTCACAGCGTAACAGAATAAGAAGGAAGTGTGTGGGTTATATAATCAAGAGTTCCAGTGTTTTAGTCCTGCCTTCAATGAGACCAGTTTGCAGAAATCAAAAATCGCATAGATTTCTTATTTTTTTTGGGTATAATAAACTTGTTGAAAGAAAAAAATTCCCAAATGTTACAAATTTTTTCTTTTCTAACATTTTAATTTTTTGTTCTCTGTGTAATCTAATGTTTTCTCCTTTTCTCATTAGTTATTGAAAAAACGCGGAAGAACTTGTGTCAGGAAATTTTTCTGGGAATAATCAGTGGAATATGTTTCGTGAAAATATAAAAATGTATGAATTTTCGACATTGGAAAATAGAACAAGCGGTAAATCCGTTTTTCAATTCTTTTTATTAACGTATTACTCAACAAGTAATAAATACATTCTTTCTTACATTTTTTAATACCTAAGCTCTTATCGATCTTTGGGTATGGCACCCCGAGTACGTACTAATAAATAAATTACAATAAATGAAATCAAGAAGAGCGCCCATCATAAAATAAATACATCACTTACACTCACACCCATTATCAATAAACTTTCTCAATTTGAGAAAAATGTAATCGCCCAACAACTCAAATCGCTCTGAAATTCTCAGTAATTGTCAAAAATTTAATTACTCACCGGCTGCAATGGTAAGTTGCGGGAACTCATGGGAGAGGGAACAATTGAAAAGAGTAATTACATTGAGCTATTACGTTATGACTATACAGTTTAAGCAACATTAGCAGAGCCGCATCGAGTAACAAAATTATTTGACTTCACAGCGATTTCTGGTACCGTTACAAATGTCATTGACAGGTAACAGATCACCTAAAGGAATACCGAAAACCACATTAATCATACCGTTGATTGTTCATTGACATGAGTTCATCTCAAATGAAAAATTATCTAGCCTATCCTATGTTTATTGACAAGTGTAGGTTTTGATGCAATCACCACCTTCCTGTCCGAAGCTGGCAGCGGTGATATATTTGTGGAAGCGTTGACTCGCCTCAGTTCCACTCCGTTTGAGCTCTCTCGGGTCCCTGGAGCAAAATCACAGAATAATACTGATTAAATTGAAGAATTGATCGACAATGGGCAAAAAACGCCACAAAAAGGCCACCAAAAGGTGCGTTAAAAAAATATTCCTCTGAAAAGCTAAACTAGAATCAGCTGGCCCAGATAAAGTTAATCCACAAGAGCATAAAATAGTTTTTCATTTGAAAAGGACAGTCAACTAGAAACGAAACGAACGAGAAAAATGCAGGTGGAAAGGGAAGAGAGTTGCGACGAAAATAAGAACGGAAGAAGTTCAAACATGCCGGCACAATGACCCGATTGTTGTAATTCGGTGCGCTCGGCCACTGGCCACTGGCCACTAGCCACCTTTCTCCTTATGATCCAGAATGATTGTACCTTTCTCACCCACAAAACGTTTAGCACGTACCTCAGTATTTACACGTATGGCGTTAGCCTAATGGTTACGTACTGTTATTCATTAGTGTCTAGTTCATTCACGTACCTGGACAGCACATTGGAGACGAGATTGCTATGCGGTGAATAGAGCGATGGGTTTTTGTACATGCTGCAGATGAGTCTCTCTCGGCAAGACTCTTCGACGAAACCACCTTGGATAAATATTTCCTCGAGCTTTTGCAGAATTGGCCCGTAAAAAGTGTCATCGTGGAGAACGAGATTGCTGGCATGACCAAGTGAGGACGATGGATTTTTTGCAACCACCTGTTGTATTACCCGTTGCGTCTTTGTCACCGAGGTTGGTTGGACGTAAACAGGATTAATCGGCGCTGGGCTTGATTTTGATGTGGATGAGGACACACTTATGGGTGTCTGCTGGAGATAAGAATTGGCAAGTTGAACTTGCGGGAAAGGAGATGACGATGTCTGGGAGGACACACGACGCTGAAATTTATGATCGTCGAGGTAGCCGTTGTAAGCCAACAATTGTCCGTGGGTTGGATAATTCGTCGGTTTCTCCTGATAGGACAGTCCATTTGGTTTGAGAGGTGATGAGTACTGTGGGGCACTGAAAGTCGGTGCGTAAGATGCTGGTGGAAGAGCCGGTGGTACCGGTGGTACCGGTGCAACTGGTCGAATATTTGAATTGTCGTACGGCTCGCCAAATGAATCGATTCCCCATTCCTTCAATTCCTCCATATCCTTTCGCAGTTGAATGTGTGGATGTGCGTAATCGTAACCATCGAACTCTTCTTCATGGTGCGATGGGTGATGCGAGTGATGGTCGAAGATTGGAACTGCTGCCGGTACTGGCACAGGAACTGGAACGTGATGATGATGATGGGCAATCTGAAAGAGAAAACGTATCGTGAGTAGATGTATTGCGGGGAAGGAAAGACAGCCATTGATTGGATAATACCTGGTGATGATGGTGGTGGTGGTACTTTGAATGGGAGCTGTAGTAGCTGGAGCAGAGCTTGAAGACGTGGGCGAAAGCCGGTACGAGGAATAAGAGAAGTTTTAGGAATATCTTCTTTGCTGTACCAACGCCGAACAGGAATGGGATGATGAACATAAACTTGACCTTGATCAACTTTATTATCAGGATCAATGCTAGAAAACTCATCAATAACCGGTTCTGGATGAATTTACCTGTAAAGAGCATACATTCGATCAAAATCATATAATTATTCAAATGAATTGCATCTAATTACGAGAGGTTCCTTCATGGCTTACGAATTTTCTTGAAGAAGAGCCTTCCCTCCTCCTCGACACCGTTTTTTCCAAAATCAATTCTAACCAGTGCCCCGCTCTCATCGATCTCCTTTGGACTGATTGTAATCCTCGAATTATCGAAAAAAAATTCGGGCAGTTGGAGCTCGTAATTCCTGGTCGCTAAGAACTTAACTGTTTTATCTCTGAGTGCCGATGTGATTTCCTCAAGTGGGCTCATTTTTTCTGTATACAGGTTCTCATTCGGGTCACTGGCCTTTCGATCATGTTTTTGATCCCTACCCCTTCTCCCCGTATCCACAATATTCTCATCAACATCGTCTTGACAATTTTTCGTACAAGCTCCATAATCAAGCCTATTTTTCCTGAGTATTAATCCACTGAAAACCGTGATATTGTCACGTTCCGCAAATGCATTGTCAAGGTATGAGTATGCATTTTTCTGAAGGCAGGAGAATGACATCTTGCCCCGGCAATCCCTCAATATACCACTCCATAATTCATTACCAGCAGCACTTGCCGTTAGATTTCCAATGGCCAAGTACTTGGCGTACCCAGCAATTTTCGAAAAACTCGAAAAGCTGAGTGAATTTGCACTACCGATTATAAAAGATAAGATGAATAAAACGATGATTCTGGAAAACATCATTCTACTTCAGTAACCACGATGGCAAAAAAAAAAGGAACACTTGGTGTCAAAGATTCAACGACCTTCTCTCGACTATTTTATGTATTCTGTCCCAACCTCGCGTGTACCCGTTTCCCTTCCTCCTCCACAATCACCTGTCCCTCTTCAAACAATGTCCATATATTCCCCACCTCACAACCACAAAATTCCACCAAAAACCTGGCGGAAGCTGTTCGATGACCGTCACAGAGGGGCACGAGGGTCCAAGCAGCGACGTGTTCCCCTATCCCACTTACAGTTGTCCCCGGGTCTCATTTCTGGCCCTGAAGAACACCACCTCTTCCACCTCTTCCAACTCTTTCACCTGTTACATTACTTTCAAACATTCATTCACACCCACCAATCAACACCCGCGTGCACACCGTGTATCCACTTGTGTCCTTTATACTATTCAACCAGAACAAGCGTAATAATCAAACGTCTCAACAAATGATCATTTGTTGAGAAAACGGATAATTCAGAGATGCGTTCACCGCGATCTCTCGTTTAAAACTAACCCGGTACCTCTCTGGTCTCCCTGGTTTCGATTCTCGCCGGTTCCAAGTGTGTCAAAGGCCCTCCTACTCCAGCGCAACCGAACCCCGTGGAAGGTCATTATCTTGTACTCCAGCCTAGAAGAGTGAATGGATTTTGTCCCATGTCACAAATTTATTCGATTCCCCAAATCATTTCAGCGATGATCAATGAAATTTGGACATGATATGGGCTCTATTTGGAATTAAAACAGCAACTTCCGACGTAAAAATTCTACAAAGCAAGGCCGTTGGTTCCTCCTGGCTGCGCATCGCTTCGTACAAGACCCACCAGCTCCTCTGGACCGTTGCAATATGCTCAAACGCCGAGAAGACGTGAGTCGAAACAATCTGGGGATGAGGGAATCATGCATCACCGGAAATGGTTATGCCGGGGGTATCTGGATCACATCATCTTCGGGGAATTGATCCCAATCATTCCAATGTCAGGGGAGAGGCATTTAGCCTGAGATTATGTGGGATCTCGTCATGGGCGGATTATCTGCCGAGGCAGCGGGCAAAACTGGTTGAGATAAACTTGCAGTAGCACTTGTTTATTTTTTCTGAAATTACTCATGGCATTTTTTCTGTCAGTCAATTACTCTTAATTCGTGCGGTTTATTTATTTATTGGTTGGATGTTTTTTAAATTCCACTCGATGGGATTATAATTGTGGGAATCGCTGGTTGAGGGTAGGGAACTGTCGTGGATGACTAGACTCGACTATGGGAATCTCTTCATGAATTCTTTCGGAATTCCGAATAAATGATTCCAAATCCTTGGATTCGGAATCTGTCAACAGATTCAGCGAAAAAGTAGTAGAGTTATCAATTGAAATTCTCCAGAAATGCAGTCGATTTTTTTACGGAATTCGTTAAGTATTTCTATGAAATATATTCGTGCGTGCATAATTCTCTGCACGAGCTCCCCAAAACAGTATCTAACATATTTGTCTCTCGTGTTTAACCCACGATATTGTTTATAATACACTTGATGATTCCCATGAGTTGAGTCTTTTAAAATATACCTGAGGTCTTCAATACATCTCCAAAACCCGTTAATCCACTGGGAAAGATCAACAGCCGTGGAAGAAAAAAAAGAAAAATTGCGCAGACTTCCCTGTAGCTGATGGTAAGTAATGTTATTCCTTTGAGATTGAGATGCGTCTGTCAATCATCTCATTAGAACGAATACTTAAGAACAGGTGAGTTGCACGTTGCATGGCAAAATCGCCAACACGGGAATTGAAATGTCCGAGTATTTCTGAAGGACCTAAACAAAACAGTCCATTTGCATAACACATTTATTACTCATTAACAGATACATAAAAACAAGTGTGACTAAATTTTGTCAATACATGAACAGGCACGTTTTATTTTCATCAATCCCCACGACTGTACAATTTCTTAAATATACTGTTAGAAATGACATAGTATGAGTCATGCACATAAAGTTTTATAATTTATATGCCTATTTGATTTTTAAAGGTGCACGTCACATTTATTTCTGGATTTTCAACCCTTTAAATTTCTTATTTTCCTGCTTAACAATTCCATTGAATGTGGTTGAATTTTTCTTCTGGATGACCAAGAGATGATGTTCGGTCGTTTACAATATTTACGGGATGGAGAGAGCTTGCTAATGGCGTAAATATTGAAATGAAGTTCCAAGTGGTGTTCCGTAATTGGTGAGTTCTTTCTAATATTCATACGCCAAACTAAAAGTATGCGGATTTCTGACTTTCGACGAATTGTCATGTTGTGAAGTTAAGAGGTTGGGCGGGCCAATACTGAATTCCATTGACCTAGAAAATGAAGCCGTCTTCGTTGTGTTGCGTGACCGATTTACGCGGACAATTCAATGTAAAAGCGACATTGAAAAGCTAATTGAGGTGATTTCAATTAACATGATTTTTATATTAAATTACTGATTAATTAGTACAGCGATGATTCAATTCATTCATCATAGAGTTTATAAAAAATTGATTAAAGCTCGACAAACCGGTTGTTAATGATCTCATGTAAATTTCATAGCGTCATATACCCAATGAAGATGCATTCCGGCCTACAACAACTTTTTCCGAACGTATTTATTCCAGAAATAGGAGGGGATGCAGTGGCATGACTTGCGGTATGAGCACTGACGGTAACTTCCGGTCTTTTCCGGTCTTCTCTAGATACTCAGTTTGTCCTAAGAAAGTGAATTAACGTTTTTTAACCGTTGTAATTATTTAAAAAATTGACTGACAACCGGTTAGATTACCTGGTCTTCAGTTTTGCAGAAGTACCGATGAGGTAAAGCTGAAAAATTTCACATCGTGAAAAGTCTCCTAGCTTTATTTATACTTCAATAAAATTGCTGAAGACCGTTCAGGTGAACTTGTTGTCGACGGATTTTTGAAAGTGAATTGACATAAAGTCTCGGTGAGTACCTATTTCTGTAACGTCCTTCTCGCATTCTTGTTGCATTAGCTGATCAAAAGCTTTCTCCTGCAATTGTTAATCGGAGTGATTGTTCGCTGTACGAGGATTTTACGTAAACGAATCAGTGGGTTGGATAACGGTCAACGTATTACTGCGTCAACGAAAACTTGGTGTGTACGATGTTTGAGATTATTGAAAAGGTGCCAAACCGAGACGGAACTTTGGTGGAGAATTGGTGGGCAAGACCAAGTGTGAGTGACCTGCTTTCGGTGACCGGTCTAATCATTTTTTTTTTTGTTGTGTTATTTTGGTGGATAACTCTAGCTTTGTTCAGATCTCATTAACTTTGGTGATGAAGCTCGATGGTCACATCGGGGATGAGAACTGCTATTGTCATTTATTATCGTGATTTTGATGTTGGAGGGCAACAACGAATCTGTGATAATGCAGGGCTGTAAAACAACAGCAAGTGAACTTGCATATTTTGACATCATTACCATATAATGCGAGATCGTCCCAGTAATTTATAATGTGCATGTGTTTTCCTCGGATCTGGACCAATCAGTATAATCAGACTATTTATTCATAGTCCTGAATAATTTCTGGTGTTGTCCGCCAAATATTTCCTTGTTTTACCATGTACAAACCGAATTTCGGTGAATGGACGGTCAATTAATTATAAAAATTTAATTTCCGAAAAAGTCACTTTCCCCACCTAAAAAATTGTAGATCGACTGCGGCGGCGAAAAAAATTATGCTTTCGTATTCTATCCATCTTTGGGGATTATTATCTTTTTATTTCTCATTCATAAAAATTTTGAAAATGCGATCTCAGAAAATTTCATACAGAATGGCAACGAAATGGGTGAGAACCAAATAAAAATTCCACTAAAAATTGAGTGAAATTATCCAAGAAATTTATTAGGCTTTTCATGTGAATTCCTTCGTGCGTGCCACAGTACATTTTTCATAGTTTACGATCCATTTTTCTCAGTACATTGACTGGACTTTCAGGACCTGCGTATGCATCGTATGCATTGACATTCAATGTAGGTCGAGCAGTGCGTGGTAGGGCACGCCGTAGGAGGCAACTCAAGTTCAAAAAATAAAGTGAGAGAATGAGACAGATAAATTGGCTCAACTGCCACCGTTTACATAGAGTTGAAACCGTTATATAAACGGCGAATTCAATCCACACCGGTGCTAGATCGTTGTGGTTCGTGAGAGTTTTTACGCTTGTTGGTTTTTTCATAATTGTATGGTTGAGTGGTTTGAATCCCAAAGACTGCATGATCCACCCATATATCAATCGTTGTTAACAACCTCGGATAATTTGTCAACTGATGGTAAAACAGGCTTCGATCGATATATCATTGATCATTCGCCTGCTGGGGAGTTCTTCACCGATCGAAATGCTCGGTGAAGAGGTTGAAAGCAAAACGTGCAGGTGGCTTCAAAATTTATGACAAAAAAAGATAAATAATTTATTATCAGTGCAAAGAGTTTGGATAAAATACATCTTTCATGGAGTCTAATAACAATTACAATTTATTCATTTTTTTTCGTTAACGGTATTACCCTCCTGGCCACTATCGGTCCTATAGTATCCCAAATGCGATCGGTAGCTTCATAATTCGACCAATTGTCAGCATAAACAACTTTAGGTTCAGTAATTTTATTGTCAATATCCCCGATAAAATTCAGCTTGCGATCCACCCGCGGATTGATATTCTGATAATCAGAGTTGGAAATATCCGCCGTCTCCACAACTTCGCCGATTCGTTGACCCTCTGGCTGATAACTGGTCATCCAATTGTGATCAATAAACTTTTCCTGAACCTCCGGTTGGCTGGTGATCCTCGACGTGTTAACGATCTGTGAAGGACGATTGGATAACTGTTCCGTATTTGGTGTGATAGATATTCCATTGCCGAAGCTGCGTCCCCATCCGCCACCACCACCCTGTGAGTTAAAATCATATCCACCCCCGCCACCGCCGCCGCCACCGGTCGGTGGCGGTGCTCCATAACTAGTTGGTGGAGGTGCCCCATAGCTAGAAGATGGGGGTGCACTGTAGCTAGAAGACGGGGATGGTGATCCTCCGCCGCACCCTCCACCGCCTCCACCGCCTCCTCCTCCACATCCTCCACCACTTGATTTCGTTAAAAGCACGATCTCCTTTAATTGTCCTTGTGTGGATATCATGACAAATAATTAGTCAACAGCCAGTTTATCCGAGTTAGTGTTTTGTTTGCGTGATAATTACTAATATTTACCACCACCCCCACCGCCTCCGTATCCGCCTCCGCCGCCATATCCACCGCCACCTCCACCCTTCTTACTGTTCATCAGATGCATTATCATCATTCCTTTCGTTATCATCATCGACACCGCTGCCATCATCAGTCCCTTCATGGACATCAATCCAATCAATCCTGGGGAAAATTCATTACTCAATGTTTTTTTATCCATCGTAAGGACGCTTCACAAACGGAGATTTCAGCAGTTACGAAATTATTTATAAATCGTTGCAATAGCGAAGAAGTAATGAAATTACGTCAAATGCAAAAAAATTAATTGAAATCTCTTCCCAATTACTTCGCTACTAATGAAAAATATGTTTACCCATCATTTTCATCTTAGCAGCCATGACCATGCACATCATCATCTTTTTGCATCCTTTGCCGCCGCCCTTACCACCACCGCCACCTTTCCCCCCTCGTCCTAGAGATAATCCCATAATTATTAATCCAACACCACAACTCTGAAATCAAGTATTTGCAAATCCCCTACCTTCAACCGCTCCTCTGTCCTCATACATTACTTCAATCTGATTCATCTCCCGTTTACCATTGCCCTTGGGAAGGCTGATCCTGAGCGCAAAGCTGTCGAAGAAGTCATCTATACTCTGATCAACCTTCTTGACAGGATCCAGAGACCTCTCGTCCCACCTCTCCTCCGGCAAAGACCGCACTTTGACAAGCTTCACACTCTTCCCATACAAATTAATCTTCTCCAGACTCGACATAGCGATGATGTACCTAGCCATCCTATCCCGTATGCACACAGCCGAGAAGTCCAGAATACACTGGCCAATATCCCGAACGGGAAACGCTGGAAAATGATCGTCTTCATCACTGATCGAGTTGTTCACTGCCGGCACCACTCTAAGATCGAGCTTTACTCCGTTCTTCCAGTAGTCAAATATTTTCCTATCGTGCTTTCCCCGATCTTCATAAGGCTCGATATCTGGATCGAAGTCCTGGAGCGACTGCACCGAATTCTTCGATTTGAAAAATCTAAATGCACTGGCTGACGCACTAAGTGCCATGATAATCACAAAACATCTCGACACCCTGGGACACGCAGAGAAGGAAAACACCACCATGACGAGTTGGTGTACTCAGTCAGGTAAACAGCTACTGTCTCCAAGTCTTTCGAAATCTGATGGTTTTATATACGACGAAAATCATGTCACTGTAATTGACAGGCTTTTCTGTTTTGATCTCATCACGATTGTCATCATTTCAGTTCTATTGTTTCATCCATCTGCGATAATGAATGGTTAAGTACATAATATTGGTAACCGCAAAACAGTCCACTTGGCCTTTGAGCCCCCGGTGTCTTCAATAGAAGATGGTTAGATGAGTAACTGTTGTTCCTGGCCTCAATACCTACTGAGTTTCGCTTTGAACCATTTGCATTGATAAGAAAATTGTGATGCACCCTCCGAAGTGCGTCGGCAATTGCCGACTGATCACTGAAAAACTTCGGTACATTGTTGTGCATCTTTATGGCACTGCATAATTATCTCATGAATGTTTATAAACAACGGTATTCCGTATTGTACGCGTGATTGCTTCCAATCATGTGGAAAGTTTCGGGGAGATATTGTCTGAAGAAAGTTTATCTTACTGTTTACAAAAATATAATTTATTCATAATGTACATGCGAATAAATACACTAACGTGAAGAGAAAAAACTTCAGAATAAATATTGACTGATATGTTATGTGCTATATTCCAATCCTCTTATATCGATTCAAATCAATTCTGGAAATCCAAGACGATAGGAGAAAAATTGTCGGGAAAGATTAAGACAAATAAATAAGGAGATAGAAAGAAATCCGAGGGAGAGGTGATGGAGAATAATAGAAAGAAGAATAATGTTTTCGAAAAAGGTGAAAAGTAGCACGCAATTGATTTGAATTTGAATTTGAATCTGAGCGATGGATCAGGCTAATGGCCTATTGGCAGAATCAAACAGCACGACGATCCCTCACATTTCCGTACTTCCGAATGCCCTCCTGGACGTTGGACTCAACGATATCCAGGGATCTCGCATATCCAGAGTGTCCATATCCATGTCCATGATGCTGTTCCTCACTGCTGTGCGTGTGGGAAGATGAGTAAACAGGCTTGCTGACAATTTCGTAAGTTGTTTTCTTTTCTCCACCACTTGTCAGTGATTTCAATCCAACAATAGCTGACAGCATGAGAGCCATCAGTCCTGTCATGAGAGCTTTACCCGCCAGCATGGCTAAAGCACCAAATCCAAGAGCTCCCAGAGTTCCCTTCATCATCATGAGCCCAGCAGCAAGGGCGCCCATATTACCATTCTTCTTCCTTCGACCTGCAAGAAGCATTCACCATGTAACATGAATCGTTTTCTGTGAATCAATACCTAGGACGAATGAAGATAATAATTTACCTGTTTCGGCAGAAGAACTCCCGAACAATCCGAATTGCGAGAGGCTCTCCTCGTTGAAGTTCCTGGCAGCCTCGAATGTCTTGGGATCAAAGAGCTTGATAGAAATAAAATGACTATTCAAGTAGCTTCCAATCTTGTGCAGCACGTATGCATCCAGCCGCTTGTCAACATCATTGGGAAATTCTCGGGCGAGATTGGCGACAAGATCCGAAGCCGGCACGTCCGTAGTGTTCTCCTTGATAACGGAGACCCCCGGGAGTATCCCGATGTCCTTCTGCTCGGACAACTTGTCAACGAACGAGACAACGTCCAGTTTGAGGCACGTGACACTGTAGGACTTGCTGCAGTCCTTGTTCATGGTTTCCTCCAGGGTCTTCGGAGCTTGGTCAAACGACTGCCTCGAGGCTCGCTGTTCAATTTCACCATTAACACATCCTGATAGCAACAGGAAAGCGATCAGCACCAACAGGGGTGACCGGATTGTTATGCGATCCGTCATCTTTTCTCGATGATCGATTGGAATCGCGAGTCACGTGGGTCAAGATCGATTATTTAATGAAATTGTCCCGGCTTCAGGTATTATCGCGGATAACGACTAGCTGAGGCGTGGTTGCGCACTGAGCATATCTATGAAGAGTGCAGTATATATAGGAACAAGAGCAACCAGGTCCTTTTTTCTTTTTTATTTTCCTTTCGACGATCATACATTCTCCACAGAAGTTAGAACAGATGCCTCGCCTCTTCTTCTTGCAAATACCCCAGTATCTGACACTACTGTTGTCTTTCTCTTGCATTTGAAAGAGACCCCAAGTCCACAGCCACTCCTGAGTTCGGGTAGGGGATGTCAAATAGAGCGGAGAACACGAAACTCAGTCAAATTCGCAAAAACCCGGGCTCCTGCGTTGGTAGTTTTATCGGTGTTTTTTATAGCTTGAATTTTATTGTTCTCATGCTCCCGGTGGTTAACACGGAGATTCTCAGCGATGTTCCTCTTAGTGAGAAATTATCCATTGATCTTTCATTGTGGTAATTTTTTTTTACTGCCCCATGAATATCCGCTGAAGTCGGATGAATTCTCGAAGTGGATCAAAATTATGGTTTAAATGGCACCTAGACGGCTGATCTCATTTCACTCCGTTACTTTCATTTTCTCCATTCTCCAATGGAACCGTCATTATGAAAAGCTATCAAATACTAAGTCAACAAAGGAATAAAATTCCTACTGAAAAAATGGAAATTCCAATCAAATTTTACCTGGGATGCTCTACTTTCAGAGTGAAGCGAAACTTTTCTGTGATACATTTGAAATTCTTGGAGAACGCGTGACAAAAGATTTGTCTCAGGACGTCATATCTCATGTCGAAACTGCAAATTCAGGTGCAATCATCCGTAAATGTGAGAAGAAAGTCGGGATAGATGAAATTATACATTAGCTCTATATCAATTTCGTGGTGTATCATAATTATCGTCGTCCGATTCTCATAATTTAATAAGTACCGACATGTCCACTTAGCGAGATCATAACGTCAACTCAGTGGAAAGTAAAGAGATCATTCAAATGGATTTTCTACGCGTGGGGAGTTGTAAGTACGCGCTGATGGTAAATCATGTTTAATGAGAAGTTTCATGGAGTCGGTAGTGTGTTGAAAAGACATTTGTGGACTATTGTAACAGTTAACTCAATTATCCTCTTCCTGGGATTGTTTCCACCCGGTATTCCCCACTAGTGTCACCGTCCTTTCCCTAATGATGGGCGAAAGGAGAGCGACTGCTTCATTTCGAGAACTTCATGAAGTTTCGGCGATTTTTGAAACGGAAATTGAATTGACTGAAGAATTCTCACTCTCAGACATGAAAAAAAAACCCAAGACTGAAGGAAAAATGAACAATCAAATGGCTAGTGAGTTTATCAACCGAGAGCATCGACTTCATGCTCGTTTGAACATCCCGATCGGTCATACCATCGATATATTAAAAATCGTTAAACTAGGTCCAGATGGAGAACGTCTGCAGCTAATCGGAATTTTATCCTTTCTATTCACTACAGAATATTGAATAATCCCGTGAATCTGTCAAAGTAACTCCTCGGTCATATAATATACTCAGTATGTCAGACATGCCTGTCAGGTAATTGCAGATGCTGTTAATGAACCCGTCAAAAATCGCGTGAATCCGTTGGGAACGAGCTGCATTCTTAGCCTCCGGATGAAGTGCTCCAGGAGTTATTCCGATGGAATTTCAGGGATAATTTCGTTTGGTAGTAAATCTTGTTTGAGTACCGCTCATAATTCCCATTCCTCCGACTGTTCGAAGTTGAAACGCAAATCTTTTCCGAGAAATTGTTTTCATAAAGGTCATATCACAGTATATAGTGATATTAAAATGGATTAAGAAAATTATTAAGAGCTATTGGAAGGTCGTCTTCTTCATGGCAACCTCAAGTTTCGGATGGCATTTGGACGGAGCCAGGGGTTGTTGCATGAGTATTGATCGAATGAAAATTCAATGAAAATGTTCATGGTCATCTAAATGAGCTTGAGCGAACTCAAAGTGAGAGTTCAATATTCAGCAGCAAGACCTTGATGAAACTCGCCGTTAAGTGGCGTCTGCTTCCGCATTATGGTTCTCTATATATCCACAAGAAAGAGAAGTCCCCTACCACAAAACCTTGCGGATCAACGTGGAATTCACAAACCATGCCGTTATATGAAGTTCCCCACCTTGGCCTTCGCGCCAAGTGGCGCAGGTAATTGTCCGGTGTGGAGGGGCCGAGGCAATGACACACTGACCTTCATGCCATTGAAAAAGGAGGGAAAAGAAAAAAAAAAGCACGAGTGGGGAGTGAAAGAGCACCCGGAGGCTATTGAAAGGAAGGCCAATGGCAGTGTCGAGGCTATCCCCTCTGCTGCTCCAGTGACCTAGCTTCTCTCCGCATTCTCCTCCATTTCCTCCATTCTCTCCTCGTGTGCTCCCACTCCAATCACCACTTATATCCCACCCATGTATCAGAAGTATTCAGGTTATTGGCCCCTTCCAGAGCCCGGCGGAATGAGGATCTTCGGAGTCTCGAAAAAATTCCAAAAGGGAAGACCAAAAATATCGACTTTCTTCCCATCAATTCAGCCGACACGTGTTGACACGTGTCTTCAACAACAGGATTTATTTGACGACATTTTCTCAATAAATAAGGAATAAATACAGAGTTTATGCGGAATTTGGCTAATTGTTTAGGGTAAGTCCTGGTAGGGGTATGGGGCGTCGTTGAACTCTGGGGACCAGCCTCGGTAGGGCTGATTGACCTCCTCCTGTGATCTGTGCCAATGATCGTGATGAATTTCCGGTTTTACGATGCCGTAGCTCACCCTTGCTGCGGGATAGGGTGGCGGTGTCAGGATGGCCTTCAGGGCTACTGCTCCGGACAGGAACAGGGCTGCCAAACCTGCTCCGAGACCCTTCAGCCCGATCAGGGCAATCATTGTGATGACAATCGGCAGGATTATCAAGGCCTTCAACTTCAAGGCCAGGAGAACCGGCAGGAGCATCCTCTTCAGCTTGGTTCTTGCTGGAAAGAGCAGTTTCGGGGGATTAAAGTTAAAGTGTAGGTGTAGGATCAATAGAGGAATTTAGGGTCATCCCAATTTTATTTGAGAATTTTTTCTAATTTGATGGGTTTCAGTGGTTTGGAAATATTTTACGGGATTGACGGGCTTAATTGATCTCGAATAATATTCATGAGCCTCACGTTCTGGAACCTACTTTCTTCAATCGACCTGACACTCTCGTTCAAGGTGACCCATCCCCTCTATTCGAATATTTCGTTGTTTTTCATGAAACGGTCGTCCCACAAACCCAGAATCTCTACTATCTCTGTCGATCCTATGGCAGTCATCATGTCCCGATTGTTCCCCTTCACTCGACGTTAGAACCGGGAACATGTGATAATCCATGAATCCGGAAATTAATTGATTTTTTATTTGGGATTGAAATCTTGAATTCAAAGGACGATGAAATGATTCTGCAATGAGCTCATCCAGTGGAGCGGCTAATTTTTTTTTTGGGGGGATTTTTGATTAATTTTTTTGGGAGAAATTCAAATTTTAGCAATTCGTGAGATTTTTCAGATGCGCACACTTGGGAAAGGGACTGCGGTTACAACCGGTTAACCCACTTCCTCACCAATGTGAGAATCGAGTTGACGACCCACTTGGTGCTCATTGGTGGTCGGTTGGTGAGACTCGTTACTATAAAATTTGCTTCGACCCTGGCTCGATCATTGCACGCTGCGAAGTCCGACGCACTGCTGTACTGACGCATGATCTTTTTTGATACAGAATTCCGGGATTTTCCAGCTTTTCACGAATGTCTATCTAAGTATCTTCTACTTGATTACTGCTTGGTATCTCGTTAATCCATTTGTACTCAAAGTCTGACTTTTCCAATAGTTTTCCACTTGATTATATTCCACTGGGGACATTTCAGATGGATTTTATCAGTTATTAATCCATATATTTTTTCGAGGCAAAACTATTATTTCTTTTTTTTTAAATATTTATAACATAATATTTGTAAATTATTGTATATAAAAAAAAGCGAAATTGGATGCCTAACAAAAATTTCCTTTTCTCTGCCTTTCATTTTTCAATTTTTTATTTATTAATGAAATGAGGAAAAAATCGCCCAGCTCTCATAAATTACTTATTTCCACTGAAAGCCTCAGATCGATTTTAAATTTGAAAAAAATACTTGAAAAATAACTTTCTCCATGTCACTATTTACCGAAGTGTTAATTATTTCCAATTCCCGAGTCGTTAAAGACAGACTCAAATTCCATAGCTGCAGCCATCTTCACTTTCCGATCTCCTAATCCTCAATTATCCTGATCATACACGAGAGCAATACTCCTTAAATTCTAAATTAAAATCAGACCTGAGGAAAAAGCGGCTCATCAACACGAAACCGTCAAACTTCCCAGAAACCACTTATTTCAGCTACAGAAAATTGCATCGAATCTACCCATCCCAATTAACTCTCTCAATAATTGCTCATCAGTCAATACGACATAAGTAGAACTCATTTCTAAAAAAATTTCACTCACCTTCGGAAGCCCCATACGTCAATCCCCTCAACTCAATATCAATTTCCTTCTGTCCAATTGCTCTTCCCAGAAAGTCAGCAGGGGATCCATCACTGGGAAGACTGATCCGAATTTTTCTGGAACTAAGAAATTGATCGATGCTGGCCACCAGAGGATCCTCTCCAGGAAGAGACCGCTGATCTCCAGCATCCTGGAGCTTCTCCAGAGTGACGATATCCCCATAAATTCTCAAGCTATGAGTTTTCTTCAACTCCTCCATCTTCTTCATCATCATCTTCTCCACATCCTCCCCCTGACCGGCAGGATTACCGCAAACCAGTGCCAACAAGCATAAAAATATCACAATCCTCGTCATGCTATCAACGATAAATCCACGTCTCTCCGTCAATCTTCCACTGGACGAAATAACTTTTCGACTGTTTTTGCCCCTGTTAATTTTTTACTTTTATATCAAGCGCAGCTTTGCATGGTGGGGTGGGCCCAGGTGAACCATTTGGCAAAGAAACATGTCGCTCACGTCAGGAATTACAATTCCTCATTCCTCACCGTATACCAATGGCAATGCATTACAATGCGTTTGACTCCCTGTGCGTGACATTCTTCCTCTTTTCATGTTCAAAAACGAGAACAAACCGGAGGACTGATTTTCCTTTTATTGGCAATCACTTTCGACCCTTCGGTGCAACGAGCTTTAAACATCTCTTCAAACAGCTCTCAATTAATGCAACGGCCACGCCTTACCCAACTTCCCTTTCACCGGATCGAATCTAATACTCCAAGAATTTTCATCTTCTGCGGTTGGTAAAATAACATGTGTATTTAAATAATCTTTTGTCAAAGCCAAGGAGGTCGTCTCTTCATGATGTCTCATAGTCACGTGTCAGCTTGGCTACCGAGAAACGATTGTTCCCTGCATAGAGACAAATTCATGTTCCATTTTCTGTCTCTGCAGTATTAAAACACGTGTGTTGTTTTACCTGGCGACAATGCGCATTGATAAACACACATCGTACTTTTTTTTTTCTCTCTTTCGTGTGGACAGTACAACTGGAAACAGGTACCGGCGGTATTGGCTTTCAGGTGAGAATTAGTTTTCCATGTCTGTCGTGACACAGTACGGCATGCAAAACTTATGCCCTGAATCTTCTTCTGTAGTTATATTGGCCAGTCTCGTTAGACTCATGTCAGGGAAGTCATAGTAAAGACCAATTGGTGGAGATTTTTTTTTTACACTTGGGAGGGGCCAATTTCTAATTTGATTAATGGAACTAGGTAGTTTCGGTTGGAATCCACTCCCACTGAATACTCTAATAAATTATTCAAACCTTCTTCGGGATTTTAGTTAATCATTTGAGCGTCGAATCGAAATTTTGAGTATCCAATTGGATCGCTCTCAATTTTATTCAATAATATTATTACCCCTCAAAATATTATAATGTGAATATATTATTTCGCGAAAATATTAGTCCGAAAAATGTTACAAGTCAAGATATTAAATTAAGGATTATGATATAAATTGTTTATTGCGCAGAAGTATTATTCTGGGAAAATATTGTTGCCGTCAATTATTTTTGAAGCGATTGTTTTTCGCTGGATTCAATTCGTCATTCGGTCTGTGATGTGGAGTATCTTCGAGGCATCAGTCTTCACGTTATTTTGCGATTTGAAATATTGAAAAATTATTGGTGCATTGAGGGAGTTATAGCGAGGAAAGTTCGGAGGTAATTGACAATAATATATCGAATATGGGAATTTATTGTTTTTTCGTTGTTATTGTAATGTTTCGAAATAATTTATTTCGTTTAAATATTTTTTTGTTGGGATTTATTGAGGTAATATTTTAAGCTATGTTATTTTGATAGGTAACCGTAATTGGTTGCTAGGAGTATGTCGATATTTTCAAACACTGACAAGACTATTTTGTATGAAATAATTTATTTGATGGCAATAATTTATCTACAGAAAAAATCCACACAAATCTTCAGTATAAATAAATATACTCATAAATACTAATGCTAGCAGTCGTGAAGGTGTGTCAAGTAGACCTGCACCTGCGTAAGATCTTTTCTCCTCACGCAATGATTCCCTCGAGATTTTGTCTGGATATCGTTTTTACGGGTGCATAAAAATGAATTCAGTCGGTCTCAGTGGGGATTTGTGCTGAGTATGCGAGATGCTGAGCGGTTTTGCCATCGTCGAAGCTCCTCTTGTAGTATCCCTGCTGGGGCTGTTGTGCAGCACCTGAGGACCAACCCTGAGAGCCAGCGGAGCTGTCATAGTAACCTGAAGCGGGCTGGAGGTTCTTGAAGAAGTTGGAGGCACCTAAACCACTGACAGAACTTGCACCACTGCCGAAGAGCCTCTGGAAGGCGAGAATTCCAGCGATCAGGAGAGCGATTTTGCCAACGACGAGAGCCTTGAGGACGAGAAGGCCGAGTCCACCGAAGAGAATTGGCATCAGGGCGAAGATCTTGAGACCAGCAGCGGCGACCATGGGGAGGATGAGCTTCTTTATCTTGGCGCGACCTGTAAAAATATCTATAATAAATATCACGAAAGAACTTGAAAAATAATCAACACCTAAAAAATCAACGAAAAAAATTGTCTCCTGACTCAAGATAAACATTCACAAATTTTTTCACAGCATCGAGAAACTTCTTATCTCTTTAAATACAAGTTGTTTGGGGGTGGAATTGATTGTTGAGAAAGTGAGAAACAAATCCATCAGAAACCGGGAATCTCGATAAAAAAAAAATGAAACCATCACGTTTGAGAACGAGTTAACGATGAGTTGGTCAGTGAAAGTCACGGAATCACGTCAATCCGCGTCTTTCAAAGCCACGCTGCAACGAGCAGAAGCAATCACGCAACAATTATGTAATTTTATTGAATCGAAGAATGAAGTTTAATGAATGAAGTGTTATTACCTTCGGTGAGGGCACGAGACATGGATTCCTCTGGCATGTTGATCTTGAGGCTGTGGCTCTTGAGGAAGGACACGGCCGATTCGTAAATCATGGACACTATTTTCATTGTTCTGTCCGAGGATTCACGAGGAAGTTCGTTGAGGATTTCGGTCTCGGTCTTCAGGGCTTTTCCAGAGCGCTCCACTGAAGACAAGGCAACAGAATTAGTAAAGCATTTGTGTACTTCCAACTGATAATTATCACCGAAACGGCTGATTTATTTTGTGGATGCATTGAGAATGAATAATATCCACTAATTAAATTTATAATACCAAGCAAATTCTAGTGAGGCAAGAAATTAAAAGCAGAGAAGTAATTTCACAGAGATTCCGTTGTCTCAAGTGTTTTCAATTGGGGGAATAATTTTTCTTTTTCAATGTGGAATAATTTAGTCACTTACTCGGTGTATCGCGGATGAAAGTTATTCCCGAAAACAGTTGGATGTCACTGGATCTGGCAGCTCTGGCAAGAGCATTGTTGGCTTTGACAGCGAGACAACTGAAGACGGAATCCTCCATCTCCAAGCAGTCCAAATTACCAGTGTTACCTGGCATTGGTACAGCCATTGCGGAGGCAACGAAAAGCCCGAGTATCACGAATTTATTCATGTTGATTACGACTTTTTCTTCTCACAGGAGAAAATCACTGGAGCTACTATAGCACTGGGTCCAACTGTGTCCGGAAAATTTTCGGAGTTGAATGTGACTTGGCCCTCTCAAGCATGAATCTTTATACTCCAACCTGGGCGTCTCCCACCCCATAGTCAAACCTAACGACGTCGTCTCATCTCCACCCATGTACACACAGCGTATTCTCTTCGTCACACATACGCATCTCAGCTAAAACTTTCGTCGATAATTTTTTAGACAAACCAGTGCTAAGCGACGCTCATTGGGCGAGGCCCATCGCCTCCTACTTCTTGTGGTCTTCGGTTTTTTTCGTGCTGGCATTAGATTAGGACTTGTATTTGGGTCAGGGTGAGAGGATTCGTTAGAGGAATCGTCGGAATGATTTCGGGTTTGGGCCCGATGCATCTTTAATTGTTAATTTAGATAAGTTTAGATAATTTCAGATAAGTTCCTGCATTTTTCATTTCCCCTGGGGATGTTCATTAATTCGGAATGAGTGATTCAAATTATATTTCCTGGTCTTAAATTAACCGTTTGGTACATGCGAGTAAATAATAAATTCATTTTGGTGAGAAGAAAGAATCTCGGGAGAATTCATGAGTCAGGATGGAATGAATATTGTTCTTGTAAATGTGTTCTTGTAAAACGGTATTGAATGAATGAACCTCCGCACTAAGATGTTAACGACTTCGTGAAGATGTCATATGGTAAGCCAATGATCTCTCACTCGGTTTTCCGTCGATTGGGGTTTATGCTATGCATATTCAAGTAAACGTTTACATACTCTAGGATATGAGTTGAGACTACAAGTTTTCTTCCTCCAAGATGGAGACAAATCACGGTCTTCTCTGTTATTCTTTTCTTACCTCGTGACCCCTTTACGCGGGCTATTATCCATATCTGTTTTTTCCGGTTAAATTTCGGGCAACAAATGGAAGAGAAGAAAGTTCATGGAAATTCTTATGTATCAATTGAGAATAGAGAACGATTCATTTTCCCAGTAAACATATTCTGGGAGGATTTTTCAAGAGAAATGTGGCATTAACTTTCAGTTTTTCTCCTGTATTTTCCATTTGAATCTTAAAAAATCGAGGGAAAGTTCTCTAATAATTTGAATAGACTAATTTGTGTAAAATAATAATCCTTTCGGTTCTCTCCATTTTTTATTTTCACTTTCTAACAACAATTTCGAGACCATTCTGAATAAATTGAAGATTTATTGAATTATTGGAGAGCGAACGGATTCCTTAAAAACTTTGATGGAAATCTGTCGAATGAATCAGTTAGGTCTTAAACATTTTACGATTTCTCTCTGGAAATCTCAATAGGCATCCACTGAAGGTGTTGTTAAGAATGATTTTTTGATGGTCATAGTCGGGATCAATGGATCCCAAAAAATTACCTAGGATTTGTGCCAGGTAGAAATATCCCTTGTGCATCGTGACTGCAGTGTTACAAAGCCGCTCGCCTTGACCCAGAGAAAGGCAACCAGTGGAATATATAGATTACACCACTGTCGGACATTCTTATATAATTCATTGCATTCCTATGCACTTCCTGATTATGCACTTACGATTTATCCTGAACTCCCGAAAAACCTCCAGTAACAATTACGTGGTGCGAGAAGGAAAAAATTTCAAGAGAACTATCAAAAAAAGAATTTATTTTTTAATATAATCCATGCAGCTGAAATTGCCCCAAGTCCCAATATCGTTCTAATATTTTCACATAATTTTTTCATGACGATCTAAATATTTTTCTAACGGTTTTAAAAAAATTCCTTTCTTATTAAATTCTATGAAAATTGGTGGTGAACGATTTCTCATTGATAATTATGTGAATTGTTCGACAATTTCTGCTGGATATTTATATCTGTGGGATAATTTTTTAAGTGTGAACAATGCTTGTCGAAAAAATTATGGAAATCAGTGAAGATTGAATTTAATACTAATTTGCGTTTTCAGTATGGAGAGATATAATTGGACGATCCATTGTGTTTCATTGTATCTGTTTTCATATTCAATAGGGACACCTCATATTTATATTTAACGGTACACGTAGGTACGAATTTAATTCTAGGTCGTATGATGAATTGTAAAATAAAATCACTTCCTCTTTCATCCACATCATTGAATCATGGGACTGGAATTTTCAATCGCTTCTTTTTCGGTTAGAATTTCTCCTCGGAGTGACGCAAGTGCGATTGAACAGATCTCAGAAAATGGAAAGTATGCCCAGAAATATTTCCATTTACCTAGATAATGGAAGGACTTTTGTAAATATATCCGAATATGTGTGACGTGAAGTTAAAAATTTGGCACGTGTTAAACGGAGAAATTTCTCTCGTCAAATTTTACGAGGGGCAAAATCTATCATCTTTTTATACTATCGGAGTTGTTTGAGAATTTAGACGTTTAAAAATTTTCTATTTTTCGTCACGTGCGAATAAATAAATTGAAAAATGCCACAATATTTTTCACTGCATTCCTTAAACATGGAATAGACGCTTTGATAGAAGGTGAAAAATTCTTTCTCACCGGAAATGATTTTCATCAAATGAGAAGTGAATCAACTTCTTCGAAATAGAAATGTTTTAGAGCATGGGGCCAAGAAGGGAAAGTAAGGACCTTGTTAAAAAGTCGTTGGGCCATTGACCCGAATATGCTGAGGGTTTGATGGAGTCTGTCGACTTTGAGATTCCCAATGTATCATTGACCTCAATCACGAATCCCTTTAACCTGTTTCTCTCCGCGAGAAACCATTTGCCTAAAAAACTTGAAACGAATAGGAATGAGAATGATGATATTCTATCCATCCAAATGGAAGTGACACCAAAAAAAAAGGATCAGACACTTGAGATGATGAAATCATGCGTTATCAATGTTCCGTCCCTCTTTAATCCGAATTCCCAGATTGTCGACTTTCCCGACAAAATGGCGACCGGATGGACGCGAAAAAATATACCATTTTCACATTCACTGACTTCCAAAATATCTTGATCGCGCTATAATTCTCCTGCATTTTTAATAAGTATTGGCTGAAAATATATGAGGGAACTTTAAATTGGGTGATTCTAGAAGTCCTCTAAAATACGCGATGAACTTTCTCTGGCGTTCCCCCTTACATAACATTGACGAGGCACAAGTTAACATCAGTGAACTCCCAGACAGGTTCAAGTTCTCTGAGATATGAGCGGAGAAAAGTTTCTTCCAACTGTTTGAACACATGATGGAAAGTATAACAAAATGCGTTACTTTCCAATAATAATTTATCCCATTTGGAGGTAGAATTTTTCCAGTTACTCGATTATTCACAGATAAACCGATCCAAAGGTAAATTGTACATTTTGATTGATCGATGATTCTGATTAATGATGACGACAAAATAATCTCTTGCATTAAATCATTCACTGCGTAGGTGGTTTAGAAGGAGAGAAACTTTGATTCAGTTTAACGATATGAAAATAATGACCAGATTAATAATTTTCATTTTGATTCATTGATGAAAATAAAACTACAAAGAGAAAGGCCACAAACTGACGTGGCTCTGCATCCAGATTCATTCACAACCAACCGATTATCAGACATTAAACCAGTCTGCCCTTTCTTTTCCAAAGAGAAAGTTAATGCATCGAATTTGGTGAAGAAAAAACTCGAAAATAAAAATCTACAGTCCTGAAATCTCGTGGTAGATCTTTATTATCTCCGAGTATTGTCATATTTATCCCGATAGTACTTGTAAGGATCAGCTGGCTCATACGGATTTTCTTCCTCCATCAAGTCCTTTCTCTTGTACTTGCTGTAACCAGTGGGTCCAGTGCTGAAAGCGGCAGGAAGTGAAAATCCCGCAATGAGACGCCTGAGGCCCATTATCGCAGTGAGAATAAGACTGAGAAGACTGAGCATGAAGGACCCACCACTGAGTAGAGCCAGGCCCTTCAAAGCCACCGGAATAATAATAGATTTAATCAGCAGCCACCCAAACAGCAGAGGAATCACGTACTTATTCTGCCTGTGCTTGCCCTTCTTTTTCTTCTTCTTACCTGCAACACAATTTAATCTCAAAGATGATTCTCCCCATTCCCCACATCAAACAACAAATACATACACCAAGACATACATAAAGATCTTCCATCCCTTGCAGTGGACTCCACCGGAGATGACATGGGGACAATAGTAGCAACAGCATTTGAAATCTCCTTGGCTATCGCCAAACCACTCGCCTCTGGTCCCGATATTCCCTGATCTATCACATTATCAACACCATCTGGAGCCGTTATCATAGATTCTTCACATCTCCCCCAATTGAACAACAACAGAATCACCCAATAAATAATCAATAGAGCACGCAACATTTTTCAATATTTTTTCACGTGGCATCCCAACGTAGACTCACTGCAAACTCATCTTCTCCAGTTTGCAACCCTTCGTTTATATAGTCGCCCATCCGAAATGAAGCAAAAGGGGGAGAAGAGTTCATCTAATACAGCACTGATGCATGAAGAAACTTGCATTGTACCGTTTCATCTATTCCAACAAATGCATCCATCGATCGGTGAAAATTTTGTGATGCGAAGTATTAAATTTGAGTCGAGCGTGTCCGTTTGTAGTGAATTGTACCGACGGTTTCGTGAGATGGTGTCATAATAATGACTCATTTCTGCTTTTTTCATTTCACACTCGAATAAAATCAGTTGACAAATAGTGTTTAGGCATTGCCTGAGGAATGCAATCAGTGAACATTAACAAACACCATTGAAGACGTCTATTCTCAAGGGAAAATATCTCGATTATCGTGGCCATTCGCTCTGTAAATTAATGCGGTAAATCAAAGGAACGGATAGGACAAATATTACAGGGACATTGCCCGAGGATTTCAATCACTGAGAATCATCAGATCCAGTTGAAGTAATTGGAAATACCATTCCCACGGAGGAATATTTCGATAATCATGGGCATTCGCAGAGATATAATTTTCTTGTTCTGTCAATTAATGTGGCACGGTTCAACGAACCAGGATAATGATGAATATCAAAGGAATGAGCATAGGGATTATAAAAAAAATGAATTCCACTCTATTGGAGATAGAGGCTACGTATTTCGCAAATGGCCAGGGCTATTAACATATCGAGGACAAGAATTCCATTAGAATTTGCATAAAAATATCCATTCTCCGAGGACCCGTAAATCCGAAATTCTTTCTAATCCCAAAATAAATCTGGAGAGTGAAAAAATGGTGTTTATACGGTTTCATCTCGGATTTCGTGCATCACTATTAAATCTTGACTGTGAAAAAATGCATAACCGCGTAACCGCAACGAAACCCGTAATGACGATGATAGTCACTACCACAAACTTCGACCTCATGCTCGAGTTCTCCCAACCGTCGGCTCACTAATTGTTTCCAAATTCTCATTATTATTACAAGAATCTTCACCTCATCTATCACAGTTTCCCAAGAGAATAACTGTGAACTTGAGAGCGTTGCAATGTAGATTACGTCTGGAAAAGTGTCGAGTTTCCGGAGGAGAAGAACCACCTGAACCAGAAAACCCCTTCCGTGTCCCTGAAGCTGCCTCACCAGCCAGCAACGTATGCCATATGGTATCTGCAAGTAATGCAAAAAAATGCAAGAAGATCCATTGAAAAAATATGAGCGTCATGACGTGCTGAGTGCAATTGATTGAAATATCGATGGAATTGTTCCGAATATCTCTTCACCATAACCGAAGTAAGATGGTGTTTCTTCTGACCCACTGCGAGAGCCCGATAAAAATGTTATAATAACTTTTTCACTGAACCATGATTTTCATATTCGACCGCAACAAGCCAGGACGTCCCATTCGGATATAAACGACAGAGTAATATCCTCCGGTTATGGTGCCTATAAGACGCTTCGCATCCTTCCCCCGTTATCACAGTACTTACTACACGCATATTCTGTCCCAGCTAATTTTCCACGGACTGCCAATTTCTGTAGCAACTGAAGCATATCTCGTCATAGTGCCCAAGACCCATCATGTTTCCTAGTGAGAATCGCGACCGGATCGGTTAGTTCCTGGTCGTTCGTCGCGCTGTTCGTTAGCTCACCGGCATTGATCGTGAATATTAAAGACAAGGCTGTCTGATTCGGTGAACTCGTTCAACTCACTCAACCAAGTGTTGTTAATCTGTCATTGAATTGTTCTCTCATTTCCCCATCGGTTATTCTCTCCGGGATTCAAGGACAATGAGAAGCCAGCAACGAAATTGAGATGTTCTGATCGTCGAGACCCTGAATGAAGACGTTCCCGTTGCACCTTTCACACTGATTAATGGCGGCAAATCGATTATCGTCGTGACAGACTGATCATGACGGTTCTTATTGATAAATAGACATTCGAACTCGGGTTCGCTTTGGTTTACGCTACCAGATTATTCCAATATCTGTGTATATTCATATTGGCGAGTGTACGATGAACACCGGTGTGATTCTAGTCGTGATTGTGATGATGCTGACGTGCCTGGTCATGACTAATGGTGGCAATCAGGATGCTGAGAGAAAGGTCAATCGATTAGGTGCTCACAAGCTACCGGTCAAGATCAGAGGGACAACAGTTCGCTCAATTACCAAAGTGCACAAATCCGGGACGAAACCTTCTCGAAAGAATCAAACTGCTTCGGTGAACACCACCAATATCTCAGATTCAGAGGATGGGAATTTTTTCCAGCTACTCAAACAAGCCGAATTGAGGGGTAACTACTGAATTATAACGATACGTTGTTTATTTTTTATTGTGAATATCATTAAATGGTCGATGATGATTTTCAGGACGACCGAAAAAAAGTAAGAAGATGAAGCGCGCCCTGATGGCTCTCCTCCTGGCCTACAAACTCAAATTTGCAGCCCTCATCCCAGCTGTCATCGGGGGTTTGATACTGCTGGTGATGACAACTGGTCTCGCAGGATTCTTCTTCGCTCTCTTCGCTGCTGTGCTAGGACTCAAAAGCACCTGAGACTTAACGGATATTAATTGAAGGAAGATGATGGAATAATAATCGATGAAGATTGAAATACATTCATTATTTTATTTTACCTCGACGACTCGCGTCCAATTACATAAGTTAAAGATAAATAAATACATAATTAATAAATATCTGAATGTTAAGGCTGCTCATGGCGCCTCGTTTTCTTCTCATTAAATGGACTTATAAGTCAATCCGATTATAAATCAGACGTTTTACGTTATAACCTGGAGATTTTTTACTTCTCTCCATAAAATACTATCAAACTATTTCATCGTGGTGAGTAAAGATAACATGTAAGAATCAAAGTTCAGTAATGCATATGTACTATCGTGCAACAGCTGTGCAATAAGTGTGTCATTGGACTCGCTCGACACATAACGATCGATGTTGCAGGTAAAACGGAATCCAGTTCCGGTTTGCGGGAAATTTCAGCAAAGCATGCATGATACAATACCGCTTTACATAGAAGAGAGATAAAAAAAAATGATAGAAAACAAGGAAAACGATTACACATATACACACGAGTGATTGATTTATCGTATCGTGGAGCAACGACTTTGCGAAAATCTCCGGCAATATTTTCCACGCACAACTATTGCAGTAGGTATGTACCACATGACTCATGGTAATATTAACGAGAAAAAAAAAAGCACCGCTACCAAAGAGATGAAAGGTTAGTGTTTTTTTATCCCCTCTATTATCTATGTAACCGTTCACGCAGAAACAACAACTGGCCCTCGGCGAGATCCCTGAGGCCCACACGTTTATCCATCCGTTACGTCGTGTCAAGCGTCAAATAAATAGAATTTTGCATCTCCCTCTGTGTTCTTGAAGAGATTGAACTACAGCTGTGACTTCTGACCGCTGTAAGCGAGATTCTGCGCGTACTCGTGGGTGGCATTGTCGTTCTGGACCGCTGGCACATTTTTCAGACTCCTGTCCCATCCACCACCACCACCACCACCACCGCTCTGCCATCCTCCGTGGGAGTCATGGCCACCCCCTTGCTTCTGACTCAACAATTTCTTCAGCCCAATGATCATGGACAACACGAGTGCAATCTTGCTGATAATGAGGGCTTTGCCAGCCAGAAGGAATAGGACACCCATAGCTATCGGCACAAGTGCAGCCATCTTCATGGTCAAGCCCATCATCATCATGCCCATCATCTTCTTCATCTTTCCGCGTCCCTCCTCCACGCTTCGTTTCAGCTCACCCGACGATGTCTTTGGCAATCTTATCTGGATGTTGAAGCCATTCATGAGATTGGAGATTCTGTCCAAGAGGATGTCATTGAGTGTATCCTCTCTGGAGACACCGGCACGTCCGAGATTCTCAACATCACCAGACTGCGGATAGGTGTAATTCACTCCAGGTACTTTAACGAGCTCCAAATTATCGAATAATGGAAGATTATCGATTCTGCCCAATCTCTCGAAGAAGGAGATTGCCTTCTTCTTGAGACACGGTGAGACACCACCATTTCGCTGCTGGCACTCCTCGTATACCCGGTACAACGATCTGTATCCCTTATCGAAGATTGTCTCCTCGAGGGATGATGCACGGGCCAGGGTGATCGATCCACTGATCGACAGTAGCAGCACAACACACTTGATATTCATTATCAATAACTTTTAATGGCTTGAATGAGATCCAAGAGTAATGTCCAATGGACCGATGCACTCGACAACTGAGGCAGCACTAACCACCTGGATAATCCTCTAGTGGTTGACTGGCATCAGGATGTTGCTGGATGGCTCCTATATACCTAGAAGGATGCCACCAGTGGCAGGGCGCAGGGATATTGGTGTGAGAAAGAGCGGGTGTACACTTATTTCCCACGTGTTTTGTTAGGAGGAACGAGAGGGAGATGGTATCCGCTATCAACATCCGCATAGGTTTTACCTTGTCGACGAATCAACAGTTGGCTGTTTGGATGGTGCTTGAAAGGTGTGCAGCTGAGGGAGGGGAATAAAATTGCGGAATAGAGGGAGATAGATGAATCAGGAAGAGCGATGAATAAAGATGCATCGCATTCTCATGAGAGTATGTGACCTTTCTGACCCAGAGACCCACTCGGATTAAGCCCATCTTCTTTGTAACTTGGGGATCGTACGTCAAGCTGGAGGGGATAATGCTCGGCAAAAATGAAGGGACCTTGGCAACGACAGGTACTCGGTGTTAAAGTAGTAAAGGAGAAAACGAGGGGAGGCTGGGGCCCATTGATGTCAAAGAGGAAGACGACCAATTGAATTGCGATTCAACCGAGCGATGCATCAAGGCTCTTGGGCCCACGTACAACGAGATATCCCATTGGCGAATAGTCTGTGGCACCGTGACCCCACAACAGCTGACCTTTGGGCTACACAGGGAATCAGAAACTAGACCACTCGTGTCTGTTACTCTCTTCTTCAGTAGGAAGATTCTAGCGAACTGCCGATTCTGTCGGGATTGTAGCTTGTGGGTAAGAGTGTACATTTTACGTGCATTCCTCGTTAATCAATCTAGGAGAACCTTTTTACCTCGGAAATTCTTGCGGGAGCTTTAATCAGTGATCCCATGCTTGTCTCGGCGTAATTGGATGAGTATTGGAGAACGGGATCACTTCTGGATTTAATCGCCTTTGCGATATGACGTTTATTGTTTCATGGGAGATTCAGGAAAAGTTCAGGTGCACTCTGGGAATTTATATTGAGTGATGGACGATTATCATGAATGCAAAGATTTTCATGCAAATAGAGTAGAAATTTGTTGGAACGGTAGAAGGCAGGAAGGAAGGCGGGAGTTTAATTAGTGTAATCTACATTTACATTAAATGACTTTCTGTTCGGAATTGAAATTGAACTTTAATTGCGCAGAAATGCTCTTTAAAAAGATAATAAATGTTAAAACACATTCAACTCCGGAGTTACGGGAAAGATACGTCATTTAATTCAATATTCGCCACCGTGTATTTCAGCATCAATTAATGCAGTACCTTTTACCCGAGAGTCCAAGTTATTTAAATGCATTAATATCGCGTGCTCGTGTCTCTCATTATCCCTCTCTCTGTACTTCATGTGCGGCAGGTACCCAGTGACCGAGACTAAACGAGCGCAGAGTTCTACGAGTCATAGTTGCATCTCAGGATGAATATGGGAGAATGAAGATGATGCACCCTGGGACTAGTGGTTCGATGTTTTTATCTACCGCCTCGATGCTTATTTACTCTCCGTACGATCGAGGTTAAAGCGCATCTCTAATGCCTGACGACAAGAACGCACCAAATGGTCCAATCACGCGCGCAATGTGTACACCAATGCAAGTAACAATCCCTGCGCTCTTCTCACCTACTTTGTGCGCATTATCCCATGGAATAGCGATATAGAATTGAACCACCGGGACATGGAAGCCAATGCTGGTAACCATTAACACCAGCGTGCCACATCCGCGAGGTGCCACTATGCAATATACGATGAATTGAAGAGAATTATTCTTCGATATTCACTTGGATAACGGAGTCGAGGATATTGTCCTCATTGAGCACAATAAACACCTCTTGTCGACGTGTTCATCTGTAAACAATCTACACGCACATACAAATTAACGAACAATTTCCCGAGAATTTTCAGGATACACCATTTTCACTGGTTTTGGATGTAAGAATCCAGAGAATTCCAAGTCGTTTTATTCTTTTTCAATTACAGGAATTTTCGGTTTAAAATAACAGGAACACAAATATTCTATAATTAACGTGAATTTCCAAACGAAAATGAGTGTTCACGGTGGAATTCCCGGGAATTTTTGAAGACTAGCTGATTATCCGCAGAATTTCAATGTGAATTTTCTGCGGTGAATGAATAACTAAAAAAGAAAATTTTTCTGTACAGAGAATCTCCGAAAATAAATACCAAACAGTAAAATGCAGGATCGGCATTTTACCAGCTACTTATAAAAATAATTCTATATACAGTTATAGACTTAAGGTCCTCAATAGGAATGGAAAAAAATTAACTAGCAGTTAAAATAAATTGGATAAATTATGTGCCTTCATAATCGTGTCATACGTACCTGCGTACACAATTTTTATGGCGGTTTACAGCTGCAGTGTAACATACGTATGAAAATAACAGGGTAAATGTTATTGATAGATCTGGTGAGGCCGGAGAATTCCAGAGGATATGGATATGCATTACCTAAAGCATCTGATGCATTTTGTTTATGCAAATGTACATCATATCTGTCATTTTCCCTCTCATAAGTTAGAACTCATATCCACCTTTCCAATAGTCATGAAATGCTCGATCGTCCTCGTGGCCCACAAAATCCCGCGAAAATATCCAATGTTCTTTTTTAGACCTCATTATCCACTTTCTGCACTCGTCAGTCGATCTCGTGGGAGGACAAATACTCGTATTTTCTTGCCAGAGACAGATTGTGGAAATTCATTGTTCCAAGAAATTGTCAACTCGCCCCAGGAAACACTCGCGTGTACGACACATCGCGCCTCGTTTCCCTTGTACTCTCGTTCAAGTGCCGATAAAACACTTCCTCACCTCCAGAAAAAATGACGCTAAAATAAATATGACGCGAAAAAATACTGGAATTTTTGGAAATTTCTCAGCGTTTTTGAAAATTTCTTGTAGTGCACTGTAAATTATGTGAGACAAGAATTCTGAATTTATGAATTAAGATTATATTATAGGAAGGAATTTTTTTCCAAAATCAAATACTCGGTTTATAAATAAAAAAAAATTTAAAAACAATTCTAATCTCCAGAAACCGATCTAGGATGAATTGAATGGAATTTCTCACCGCAACGAAGCTATCGGTAAATACCAGATAATTTTAGAGCACTCGGATATTACTTTTAATGTGTTAGTAGTAGAAGTATCTTAAGTTATGTATCTGAATTTTCCGTTAGCTGATTCCTGAATTTCAAGGAATCCATAAACCATCTACCCATGTACGGCAATTCACAGTTTTTCATCTGCTCTTCCCGTAATGACGCGACCATTCATGACAAGTAATTCTCGAATCTTAGAACTAATATAATCACCGTTAAATAACCAATAATTAAAATGTAATTAATGCATAAGTCTTGAAATAGGCCGCCCCGATTACGCGCTACACCCGCGAAATTCCTGTCAACCAAATTGATCAACGAATCGCTTTTTTCCAGATATTCCGAGATCTCTCGATTGATGATATTAATTATTATGTGCATGAGCTTTCTTTAATAGAATCATCTAGCCCTGCAAAAAAAAGCCACGCAACAACCCAAATCTCCTTTCACGGATTTCCCTCTAGCAATTCCCATAAATTCCCCACTTCCATTAATAACTTCCGAGAATTCCTAGAAACTGCAAGGGATAATTCCCACTACAAAACCATAACAATTCTCGCGTTTTGCTTTCCTTCGAATTAATTTATGATGATCACCAACAAAACGAAGACCGATAGACACTGAACCAGTAAAACCTCTCGTTCCAGTGATACAGATGTCCATTCGTAATGTGGAACAAGTATCACTTAATATTGGACTCGTTGAAAGAAAAAAAAAAACTCACCCAGTAAACAAAATGAAGCTCTTCCCACATCGCGAAGCAACTACTCCGAATACAATAATAAGTATGTGAATCTATACTAGCTAGTGTTTATACGCGGTATCAAAGCGGAAGTAATGAGCAACGAAGCAATGATTACGTGTTTAATGCATCCATAGGTGCATTCACGCTCTGTATGGTGTAACAAGAGTTCTCGGGCACTTGTAAATAATTACTCCTGGGATCTTTATAAAAATGGTGAGGCTGACTTATCAGACGGTCAGTCTTTGTCGAACATGCTTGGACGGCTCTTCGTTATCGCGTTCATCATCATCGAGCTCAATGTCGTTATCAATACGGCGGAGCCAAGGTATCGGCGATATCCGAGATCATTGGTCGATGATAATAGAGTGACAATTAATTGTGGTAGTCATGCAGAGTCACCAGAGTGTCGTTCGGAAAAAAATACATCGTTAATCGGAGAACACGACGTGCAGAAAATTCAGGAGGAAGAGAAATCGTGGAACTTTGCGGATTTGTTTGATGATGCTATCGGTGATGAAGGTAGGAGCTACCAGAATCTACTTCTATCAGGGATACAGTGAAAGCCATCGAAAGAAAATGTCTTCTCTGCACTTATAAGTTTAATTTATTCGAGATTTAGGTTGATTGTACGCATTAGAATGCATTTGATGCTTCTGTTCTTATTGTCTTCTTATTGTAATCCAGTGGTGAGCACCTGCACTTGATTCTGTTGTATTTGTCACAGTGGTTTGTTTGTTTTAGCTCGTGGTAAGAAGGGGAAGAAGAAGGGAATGGGAAAATACATTATCGTCATGGCTGGAGCGGCTAAGGCCACGCTGATGTATGTGATGATACACGCGGTTGCCCTGCTTGCTGGAAAAGCACTGATTGTTGCCAAGGTTGCCCTAGCCTTGGCTGCTGCTATTGCATTGAAAAAGGCACTAGGTAATGTACCGGTATTGAGCCGCGAATCTCCTTGTCAAATTGTTTATTTTCCTTTGATATTTCCTAGCAACAATTCAATACTTCATTCATATTCGATTCAAAGGGAGTGTAAAGAAATTATTTGTTGAATTGGCTGAAGGACTTGAAATTAATTTGAGGGTTTACGTGATTTCTTAATTGTCTGTCTCTGCTAGAACACAACGATAAGACGTCAGTGGAGATAATCAAACATCCTCAGCACAGTTATCACCAAACCCACAGCTCTAGTGTGGATTATGATCATGGGGGAGGATACGAAGGACATCGACGAAGAAGATTTGCACGATGATAATCACTTCATAAATACCCCGAGCACTGTACTGTACAATTTTCATATCTCCATGTTAATTTGCTATTATAATTTATTACTATACAAATAAAAATGTATTCATTCAATAACGATCAATCTCCATTCATCCATGAGAATCCTCGGATAAGGTGAACGAATCGAAATAAGACATAAATTCAAAACTCCCGTTTACTCATGTTCTCCTCATGCTGAACTAATGGAAATACTCTTCATCACTTATTGAATGACAGTTCAAAAATTGGATAATTTCCCCACAATTTGGCTACAAATTAATCAGAGTCCAGTCTGACCCCATGACCCCCATAAATCTCTACAAGGGTTTACACATTGGTGAAAGTTTCGCGGAATTGAACTCACGACTATTATATAAATATGGAGGGAATTCAATTAAACCCTTAACGAGTATCTGACAAAAAAAAATAGAAGCTGCGATTCTTGAAGCGTCGAGCCATTACGGTATTCATCAAAGAAGAGGAATTAAAATCAACCACATAAGTTTCCATTACGTATTTAATGACAGAATAAATAAATAAATAAATACATGAATTAAACATTGATTGAGCATCATTTCTGTGGAATCATGATGAGACTCAGCGACTTGGCGTGGAGGGCACTGAATTAATGGACCTCTGCCAGCCGCCGTATCCACCACCGCTGAATCCTCCATGCGGTTCTGAGGCGGTCGCGTAGATGACTTCATGACCTCCCCCGCTACTTGATACAAGCTTCTTCAATCCGATAATGGCGCTCAACACGAGAGCAATCTTGGCTGTTAGCAGAGCAGTACCCGCTAGGAAAGCAATCTTGCCAAACGCCAGCTGCGCCATTACACCTGCAAATAAACCAATTAAATCATGGTCCAAATGGTTGCTGGTTCATAAAGCATTGTGCTTACCTGCCATAGCAAGACCTCCCATCATGAGAGCACCTCCCATACCACCCTTGTCCTTCTTCTTGCGCCCTTGAATGGCATCTCCAGGAATAGTGAGCTTGATGCTTCTCGAGGACAAGTAGTCATTGAACTTCCTCTCCAGCTGTTCATCCAAACTGAGAGCCGTGGTATTTTCACTGGCGGATCTTTGCTCCCTGGCCACAGCCGGATCTCTAGCAATGGACACGTAGTCGTTGACAACATAAACCGAATCATCCTTGACAGCCTGACTGAGGACATCAATAGCCCTTCGCTTGAAGCAGTCGAAGGTGTTCTTCTCGTTGGTACATCTCTCGAAGAATTTGGTGTAATCAGCCCTGGCAACGGCAACCAGTATCGCCAATAAAGCAATCCACAGTAATCCAATATCCCTCATATCAACGACCTCAAGGTAATCCGTACAACTCAACCACAAACAATGCTTCTTACGACTGCCAGATCTGTTAACGTACTAACCAGATCACTCCGTTACCACAAGTCTTTTATACCTGATATAAACCGAGGTATCCTTCCTACCACCTGCCTTCCTTTTTCAGTAATTTTTTTCCTCCGCGTATGGAACAACAGTATGCCCATTCTGATGACGCTCAATGTACATGACTATTCCCTACCTCTTTCTTCGTACACCACGCGCTGTTTAACGCCTCGGCGATGCCTCGGCGAGAGCACACCTCAACCAAAACAATGTCGTACAGGCTCTCGAGCAAGTATCCCTCTGACCCCCTTGTCCAACCATCCTTGAATATTGCCTCATTCGCGCGCCAAAGCGTTTCATATGCGGTTAACGCTTTTTGGAACAGGACGATTAGGTCGAGTGAGTCTTCTGGACTTGTACCACCTCTCCAAAACCTTTTGTCTTCCAATCGTACTTCATCCTCGAGACTATTATCCCTTTTGTTCTTATCCCATTAATTCTTCACATTCTACGATTCTTCATTCGTAATTGCGCATTCCATTGTCCTCCATTCGAAACAATCATGAGGGTATAAATTAGCGAGTTCTTTTGTGCTGATCAATTATCAGAAATCAGGATAGATTTAGCAGGGTGGTTACCAAATGTTCCGTTAGGATAGATAATTGCACCTCATGAGAAAATTGAAGGCATCGTTTGTTGATCAATTCTCAAGTTTTGTGGAACAAATTTCCGAAATTACCGTTGGAAAGTAATGGTAGAGGGTCATTCCCATGGAATGATACCCTTAGCATATTCATTAGCCTAATGGTTAGGCAGATTCACATGCTTCCCGGACATGGGGCTATGTACATGCTATATATTATACACTGGCTAAAAGTAACACTGCCATAGCTGTGCATTCACCATCCGTACATACTTTGTACAATTGGTTACAGTTAGTCGGGCCGGAAGAGCCGAGGACAGCGGTGTTCTTTAGCGAAAGCAGGATCTTGCGGTGTTGAGGATGTAGGCCCATGAAAACGATAGTGAACAGGAGAACCAATATCACTGGCTATGAAATTGCATTTCTTGTGGAGCTAGAAACGTGTTAAATCTGTCCCAATTTTTATCAATCTGCATTCTAAAAAATCACAAATTGGATTACCACCGGGGAATTGTGGAGAGAATGTGATCAAATCGCTCATTGAGACGGCATAATTAGACGGGAAAAATCTAGTTTTATTCAATTCTTTATTTTCATTGTCTCGCTGTCTGTCATGGTGGCTAGATTCAGTACACAATTATAAAGGTGATTACAATAATCTTAAATTGAATACTATAATTGGGGAGTTGAGTTTTATAAATAGATTGATTTAAAAAATCACCAATGGGTAAACAGCTCAATCGCTAAATTATACAGAAATATCCCGAAAATCGACAGCCTCGATACACGGAGAGAAAAAGTTCAATAAAAAATACGCGAAAGTTCTGTAATCTGCGAGTTGAAATAAAAGTCATCATTGGAATGATGGTTTCAATTTTTTTCTCCGTGCATCAAACTGTTTTACGGGGAATGGCAGTCGCCCGTTAATTTTTGTCATTTGATTTTCCCGTGTTTTCAATGCCGCGTGGCCCAGATGAAATTCTTGCCACTTCGGGGGGAATTGCTCGGTTCATCGTCAGCGGTATCAACCTCTGGATCATATACATTGACGACCTCCCTGATGACATGCTGGTTGTATCCCCCGTAGTCCGTTCTGTAGGGTCTGTATCCAAATTGATGACCACCATGACCAAACCCAGGATGATGATTGCCACCGTATCCATGCTGCGCTAATACGGGACTTCCGCCGAAACCGGCGAACCCCGGGGAAGACACCAGTGAATTCCATCCAAGAAGTCCGCTCAGCAGCAGAGCTACTTTAGTCAGCAGCAGGGCCTTCTTGGTGACAACGAGAAGTATCCCAAATACAAGGGGAATTAGGGAGGCCAGGCTGAACTTGAAACCGAGGAGAAAGGGGAGCACCAAACTCCTCACCAGCATTCTCCCTGTAATGTGAACAAGCGGTACAGGTGAGACACGGAAGTTTGTTCACCTGGCCATGGCCTTGAACGTGGTGCCAACTCGTGGAAGACCTCTCAATCCCACAGACCTTGACACCAACTCACTGGGAAAGTCTAGAGTCATTTTGTCTTATCGACTGAGGCGCAGTGTTTCACCATTTTCCAGCAGAGGTTTATCATGAAATTTGAATTCTAGATCTAGGAGAGAGTGGAGAGAGTGGAGAGGCTGTTTCTCTCGGGTCATTTGTAATTGTTTAATTGGACGTTGAGACTAATGATGAGTGAAATATGAGAAATAAATGTTTCGGTTGTGTAACATTGGATGGCCAGGTTGATGATAAAAATTTATAATTCTACCTGTTCCGAGTTGTCTATCCGTATGTCCTCCATATCTCTCGTCAACCACAAATTCCAAGACCCCATTTCCATCCAACATCGGGCCAACCCTCATCTGAAGACCCGGATAAATACTGGCCATATCCCACTTTAAATTTCTCCTCTCCATCAGTCTGGCTGCCGCCTTGACAACATTCCCAAAATCCTTGGGGTCATAATCAAGATCCAGGAGATCTCTTCCCTCACCATCACTCCGTTCCAATTTAACATTTCCAAAATCCAAATGATTGTGATCGTTCAATGTACTCAGTACACTGAGACTACCCCGATTAAAGCACTCGAATGTTCCTTTTTTATTTTTTGCAATGCACTTGGCGAATACATCGGTGAAACTTGCTGGGTTTTCGGGTTCGAGGTCAGGCTCGTTTACTCCGTCTTTCGGCTCCAGCATGACCGTAATACCAGTCGAGAGGTAAATAAGAAAGAGAAAATCACGGAATTGGCGCTTCATTTTTTCCCCCCACTGGTCCAATTTCGTTTATCCGCTGACGCGGTTTTAACTTTGATTTTTATTCCAAGACCCCGAACTTATGCGAGGACAAGACTCTAACGAACTGTCGACCCTACAATCCGCTCGAGGTATCTATATAGCTTTCGCAAAATTCACACACCAGAGAACAATCGGTTTCACCCGGCAGATCTTTTCATCATCACAGCGAAAGTGTACCTCACACATATCAAAGCCTTTGTTTGGTACCGAGGGGACCCCTGACTTTCGTACCGATACACCGGATGCACTTGACGGAGAAGATCTCTTCCTGCATTACCCTCGTTACAATAAAAACAAATTTCAGCAAAAAAATCCAACGGCACACGGAATTAGTCTCGCCACGATAATGAGGAGCCCAATTGATCCCTCCACATGCTCATGTCAAACCTAAGTGAAAGAAGACAACTCCAAGAGTCATCTGAGAGGTGAAAGGCAACAAGATTGATTCGCATGTTCAATAAAAATTATTTATTCATAAATAACAAATATATAAGTTACATGGTGATTCGACTGATTCGGCCGATATAAATAATTAATCATTGGGCAAATGGAATAAAGATAAAACTGTTACGTGCGAGATACTGACTAAGAGTCTCTCGGTAATTGAGCAATGGATCGAGCAATGTCGTCTTCAAGGAAAATGTGAAAGCAGTCGGGATCCAGTGCCAAGTCATTTGTTACCCCGAGGACCCCGGGGATTGTACGGGATGATCCTGGTAAATTCGATGATGATGATACCATGATATCCATGATGGTGATACCAGAGACGCCTGGCGTTAGCGTCCACGTTTAGGAGTTGCGGTCAAGCGTCAGTCAAGGGTCAGTCAAGGATTGGTCAAGATTCGACGTCAAGTCGCGTTGTCGTCAAGAGGAAACTTATCGAGTCTACTGTCCGTCTGGGCGATGAAAACATGGCACGTCGTCAGCAGGACGATAAAGCCCGCGCCTGTCTGGGATCTCGTGGGTTCCTCGTCCCCTGGTCCTCCAATTCGTCTATACTGGCTTTCTGTAGTTCGTCTTGTCATTTTGTTTTGCCACAGTGAGTGATACTGAAGTTGAGCGTTAATATAACGATTTGAAGAGACTTCTTCTCAAAATAAAATTATTAAAATTAATTAGCTGGCTTGTAAGCGCTGTAAGCGAGCTCTGCACCAGTTGCTGATCGTCCCCAGTGGCCGTCGTGATGCTCATCGTGGTGGGGCGGATGGGCAACAACTTCATAGCTCTGGCCGTGGCTCTTGGCGGCCAACAGCTTCTGGATTGCGATTATGACGGAGATGATGAGAGCGATCTTGCCGATGACGAGGGCCTTGAAGGCGAGAAGAGCGAGACCACCGAGGAGAATTGGGATGAGAGCAATGGCCTTGAGTTTCAGGAGAAGGAAGAGTGGGGTCAGAGTCTTGATGATCTTCTTCTTCTTGCCACGGGCTAAAAATTCCCACAAATGTCGTTAAAGTTTTGAACAAGTGGATTTGTTCTTTGTCTTGTATTCTTCTTACAGTCTTTCGAGGATATTTACCTTCGTCGAATGAGCGGGAGACCTCTTCGGGCATGCTGAGCTCAACGGTGTGAGTCGACAGGAACTTTCCGGCTCTCTCGATGAGGGCCTCATCAACAGCGGCTTCACGAGCAGCAACATCCGTTGGCAAACTGGCTTCAACATCATTCAACGACCTTGCATTGTCAGCGCGACTGTAAATTACAAGATATTCATGATTTATCCATCGCACCATCAATATCACCAATTTATCAATGTGAACGTATTCATTCATATACTCAAGTACCGTTACCGCGAGTATCGTATTACTACATTACTACATCGTAGAAATAACCACGTGCTCGGTAACTCCAGCCAGACTCACATAATTATCAAATCAGCAATGACACAATACATTATCATCATGCTAAACAAGAACTGGCAATGACCCCCCAAATTTCACACAATTACCAATCATTCCACCGATTATTTCACTTTCTCATTTCCCATTAATTGAATGAGGATAGGTAAGAATAAAAAATTACCTGCTCTTGGCCTCATCAGTCTGCACGATCTTCAAGCCATCGACGACAGAAATGTCAGCGGACCTGGCAGCACGATCAACGAAACGCAGTGCCTTTATCTTGAGACAAACAGCAAGGTCGGCTTCAGCAGAGCACGACGCGTAAACATCGAGTGCCTCCTCAATGAGGGATTTTCCCTGTGCCGATTCCTGTGCTGGTGCAGCAAATGCAACCGCCCCAATCAACGCAATAACAGCCACGTATTTGAACATGTTTAATGAATAATCAGTTTATCTTCAACAGGAACAACTTCACTTCAATATAATCCCGTATTAAACCGGATATTAAACAGTTGTTATCAAACTTCGATGAGTTTCCCCTCGATTTGAACTGTTTGAACTGCTTGACCGACGCCGATCGTATCGAAACTGACCAAAAGAATCACGATGCTGCCTTTTATCCTCGACGCGAACTGGGTCCGCGTACGTTTTTGAAATTTTGATGGCCCCCACCACGAGGTATCTTTGGGTCTCCTTTGTTCGTGGCCACACACACCCGATATTCACACACGGTTGTCCACTCCGTGGCTGCCCCTCTCGACCCGTTCCTCACCTCACCATATTTGTTTCCCCCCGAGGTATATGTGGGACCGCACCAGGCGTTTCGGTCCCCTCTGCACACTGCCGACTCCCACCCCCTCCACCTCATATTTTTTTTTTCTCTACGTATTGGCTATAACTGCTGTCCCATGGGCCTGTCATTCCCTCATTTGTGTCGTGTGTACACGATTCAAGTAGTTGTCCTCATCACCCCGCACCTCCAACAACCTATCCAGCAAATTTCATGCACAAGTTGTACCTCCTAGCGTGCATTATCCAAGCCTTTTTTCTCTTTCTCAGATTTTTTTTTTTCTTTTATACTCGACTCGCTCATTCCGCGAATGAGCTGTCCCTCTGGGTGATTATATGCTAATACAGGTGGGAACTCGTCGGCGGATGGGTCAAAAGCACTGAGTGAATCAGGTCCTTGGCCTTACGATTCACTTCCGGTGAAAATGAATGTCGAGGAAAGTCGGAATTGTCAGATGGGGATTTATTGAGAGTGTCATCGGTATTTGGTCCGCAGTTTAATTTGAGAATCGCTTGATTCTGGTCTGTGAAACGGTTATCCGGGGGAAGGGGGGAAGGAGGGGGGCGGGCAAGGGGGCGGTGGATTTTTGGGTGAAGATGTGTCTTTGATTTTACAGTTATAGGAGAGATGAGATGGAGAGAAGTGGGTAAACCGTAAAATTTGTGTCGCCTATGACTGGATGGTGTGGGCATGTGAATAAATTATTGGTCTTAAATTCCACGGGAGAATCGGCAGCAGAGGGGGCCGTTGTGTCCTCGAAAAATGAATATAACTTATCGGGATTATCCGTGGAATTCTCGGATGCTTCATGAATGGCGAATTCATTCATCTTTCTTCACGAGATATCGCCGTTTCGTTTGATTCCTTCGGGTGCTATTTTCACTCGCACCTGGTGCGATAAAGATCGAAAGGGTATGTACAATTCAAAGTGACAATCTCACTTGTATCGATATGTGGATGGATATTAATTAATGGATTTATGTGTACAGAGGTTGTAAAGTATCTTGGAGGGACGTTTAACGGTTTTTATGGAATGTACGAGCTGAGACGAGTGTTGGGAGTGAGCCAGACCCTCCTCGATGAAGACGGCCGCGCCTCCTGTTGACCCCGAACTGCGTTGCTCTTGCCTAGAGCGAGAAAGAGCCGAAAAAAGAGAGTAAAGTCTTTGAGAGGTGAAAAAAAAATGTATGACGAGGGGGAAAAGAGAAAAATCTGAGGAAGAAAAAATGCCCCGCGGATGAGGCGACGAACTTTCTCCGGTTCTGTCCCAATCAGCTCAGGCTCCCGTGTCAAGCCACCAGGTCAATGGTCAAATGTACGTCTGCCTAAATCATCCTCTCCACGTCTTCTCCACTTCGCAACTCAATTTCCCGGAATTTTCCAAAAAAGAACACATTAAATCGATTAGAAAGGCTGGGGGGTTAATTTTCCGGGGAGCATATGCAATATTATAGTAAAATTCAATTCAGTTTGGTGCGATTTTTCAAGTAAAACGGAATTTTTCTCCGTCTCTCTAAAATCGGTAAAAAAATGAGGGAACGACTCACGTAAAAATGTACTAAAAAATAACTCGGACAATTCACTTCTCTTAACACACTTTTTTCGCAAAAACTCACAAATATCACCCGTTTGTTGAAAATTACGTTCCAATTGGGTAGAGTGGATGGAATTGCGCATACTCATCTTACGCATCATAATTGCTCTCGATTTTTCCTATAAATGATTGAAATAAAAATTTCATCTCAGAATTATGTGAGTTGTCACATCATTCTCTCTCAATTTTCTTTTCGCAGACCGAAAAATCGGAAAGCTACCCACTCACTTTATCTCCATCTTCTTCTTCAGCCTGTAACTCAGTGTCATTGAAAAAAAACTAACAGTTAAAAAAAACCGCTAACTGACCGATAATCTCAGAATATAATTGCATTTTTTGATAATTTTTTATTGCACTCCCTCGTATATATAGTAATTGAGACGTAATTACGAAGCATCTGCAACATTGACAAAACGACTGTACAATGTAAATGGGATAATAACCATCTGGTTATCGATAACGACTCGTCGTAAATTAAAAAAAAAAGTTTGGTGTGTCCTCTCGAGTAATTTACCCCAGAACACACTTATTCCTGGCTGAACCGGCGCTGGGCCAATAAAAGGGGAAAAAAAAGAAATGAAAATTCCAACGATCCAGACATTAAAAAATGTATCGTACGAAAAATTCGTGAGTAGTCACTCGGGCCACACGTGAGGAAAAAATGCCGACTGGACTTTCTCCGAGGGGCCTATCAAATTCCTCCCCCCGGAGGCCATTCATAACTGAAAAAAAAAATGCCCACTTCTCTCCCCCTGAAGACGAACCCCTGGAATAATTACTCATCAAGGGGAAATGGTCCGAATTATGGCAGACTGGAGACATGAGTTGAACTCTGGAATTGCGTTTGTGGTATCACAGGGGAGAAGTGGTTGGTAATGGAACACTTTCCTCCGACGTCGGCGAGAGTGAACTCGCGGGAGGATCGAGGTCAGGTCAAGGCCCCCGTCCAACCGTACAGACTCCATTGCGCCGGGAGAAGTTACAACCTGGCCATTCTCTCTCTCCTCCCCTAATTGCCGGGCATTTTTTTTTTTCGTCGTTGCCTCTTCATCATCGGGATTACTCCTGCCCCAGTGTCCCACAAAGTGAGAACAAAAAATCATAACCCGTGAGAAAATATCAACGAAATATTCCCGCTGGAAATTATCAGAATCATAATTACTCATACATTGTTATCACTATAAGCAACAACCTCAGGAGTTAAGATGATAATTCTCTAAAATTGAGATGTGTCTCTTTGAGAAATTACTAAATGAAAAAGAAGTTCGTGGAATACAGACGTTACGAGATGTTACCAGACGTTGCCGGCCGTTGCTTCCTGGTGGGATGTGGATGGAGATCGGAGATTAGATTTGAGATTAGATTTTTAATGGGTTTTATATTGGAGTTATAAATTCAGTTTGTATTGGAGATATTGAGAAATACATTTACGGCTCTTCTCAGAAATGTATACACTGAGGGAAAAGTACGTCCAGAATATAGAGTAAAGGACAAACAAGCGTGAAAGAAAGAGAGAGAATCTCAAATAATGGACTTTGTTAGACGGGTCAACAGTGAAAACCCTTCAGTTTTAGTTATAGTCGTAAAAGAGATTTCGTAAGAGAAAGATATACTTCCTGTGTACATACATACTAAAATAACATTGAATATAATAAATAAGAAAATATATTGTCGTCTTATATTTGAGTATTTTCTCATCTAACCCGCCACTTTAATATTTATTTAGAGAAGCCGTTGTCAATAATCGCTGTAATTATGTTGGATTCTGAAATCCGTGAAGGATGACTGGTGGAATGAGTGGTCAGATGGAGAAGTGCGACGAGGAAGGCGGCAGTGGAAGCCCTCATGAAGAGACGTCGGCAGGAGAGCCGAATCCTCCCAACATGAGGTGCACGGATGCTGGCCTGTTCACGGCCTGGTTTACTTCCACGTACGTGAGCCACTGCCGTGTCACACGCACCTCAAACCACTGAAACCCACACACAGGAAGAAAATTTTTTTTTCCCCTCTCCATCCAATACCACGACAACATTCGCCGATGTATTTTCACAGGGAACGAGCGACGAGGATAGGTGAAATGAACGCGTAAGGTGCGTGAGCTGGGTCTCATACGTACATTTTATTTCGTACTTGTTTCGTGATCGTTTACTTTTATGTAGGTAAAACTGCCGGACGTAACGTCGACGATTGCTCCCGTGGCCTGCATCTCAGCCTTGAGTCGTGGAGAAAAGAAAAATCATGAATACTTCCTTGACCTGGTGAAATGGTTTATTAATTATTCAGCATTAGAATCTGCGTCATCGAGAAGTGATGGTGGTTCTATTAGTTTGAGAGGTCCTGGTACTTTCGACTTGAATCCAATGGCGAATACAGACGGCCACGTAGACGTCGGTCAGGCTCCAATTATTCACTCCCCACTTTTATCACAATATCCTTCACTGTCTCTACCTTACGCTCGTTTCACTTCTCGCATGATCGCGAAAGCCCGTTAGTCCAAGCACGTGTCCCGTAATTCCCTAGATTTGGCTTCTCTTCGGTTGATTAATTTTTTATTTTAACATTTTCACTGATTTTTTTTTTTTCTCTATTCGGAAATTTCAGAGCCGGAGAACCGGAGGATCGACTAAAGACTGATTAGAGGATTGTTTGAAGATGGGAGAATAATTTTCGGATAAATACACACAGAAGTTCATCTTATCATTTATTAGTCTCATTTTTGTCTTTCGTGTTTTCCTTCTTCTTGAATTCAAAGTAATTTCGTTTCTATAAATATACATTTCTTTTTTCTCGTAAATTTTGTCGACGTGATGCGACTTACAATATTACATTTGTGGTACAAATAAATACTGTGGGATGATAACGATCTGTGCAGATGATGAGGTAAGGCGAGAGAAGAGGATGGAGAATAGAATGAGAAAATGTAGATGATGGGAGTGAGAGGAGAAGATGAAGTAATAAATAGGAGATGAGCAGTGCTCAGTGCCATTAGTAATGATGAAGAGGAGAAATTCGAGTCTAAATCCGCGAGAGAAACAGCTGAAGATATTTGAATCACAGTGCAGCGATGTGGATGAGTTTGGAGGGCCCATCCAAGTTGGAAAATCAAAGGTAATCAATGAGGGTATCAATGAGACAGGTGGGAGAGAGGATTTAAATAAGTGAAAGAATGAGAGGGACTGATTGATATTATTGGCTCCAGACTTTAGTCCAAGGAGTTTACGAGGTGCTAACAGGTTTGTAAGCTGAGTAGGCGAGCTCCTGACCAGCCCTCGCCCACCCACTGCCCCCATGTCCACCGACCTGTACGACCTCGTGTCCGTGGTCGTGACTGGATACGAGTTTCTTGAGTCCAATGATCGAGGCGAGTACCAGAGCTAGTTTGGAGACAATGAGAGCTTTTCCAGCTAGAAGAGCGAGTGCACCCAGGGCGAGAGGTACCAGAGTACCTCCGATGAGAAGGGGAATCGCCATGAGACCACCCATGCCCTTCTTCTTCTTGCCTCGAGCTGAATAATCGAGTGAGAAATTTATAAGTCGGATGTAAATGTAAATGTCGGGTTCGTTTAAATTCTCAGCTTCATGTGGACTTACCTTCCTCAGTGAGACTCCTGGACAGCTCCTCGACATTTGGTAGCTTGAGCTTGAGTGTATGACTCTGGAAGAACCTGAGGAATTTGTCGAAGATCATGGTGTTGAGGGCGTCCTCCTTGTCCTCAAGGGATCTCGGTAAATTCGCCTCAATCTCCTGCGGTGTCTTTGGTGTTTCCTCCTTCTCCTGTATGTTCTCATCCTTGACAACAGTCACACCCTCAGCGATATTCAACTGCGCACTCCTCGATACTCGATCCATAGCCGTCAACAGTCTCAGCTTGAGGCATGAGCTCAGCTCAGCACCCGAGCAATCCTTGTACATCTGGTAAACATACCGCAACTCTCCGAATATACCATTGGATGATCTACCACTCTGATCATCAATTGTGTTGGCTTTTGTCTCCGTCGATCTTGCCGAAGCAACACCGACCAACAGCAGAGCCATGCAAACGTAACGGTGGGCGAATATCATCTTTATCTTCCTCTTAATTCCCTGTTGAATCAACAAAATAACTGTTATTAAACTTACGTCAAAGAGAATATGAATTATACCCAATTCACACTGTCCAGGATTACAAAAGTTAATGATATACCCGAGACTTGATATTAACGCGATGTAGACATCTAAACCGTTATTAAACCATTCGTAGCGTCAAACCGGATTATAATCACGACATGCCATTGCCAAATGACGACTAGGTCAGTCCCCAGGGAGATTCATGAAATATCATCGGCCGTTCCAAATGGGTCATTAGATTTTCTCGATAATCTCAATCAATCACAAATCAACAAGTGAACAAATCCGATAGAAAAATAAATGAACAAATAAATACGTCAGAGTCCAAGAATGAAATCACAACACGATACTCTCATATCGACTCGATCAATCATCAACAATCATTCTTTTTAGCCGAGATTATGAAAAATGAATAGAGTGAATTGCCCGAATTGGAATAAAAAAACTCGTCGGTAATTTCAATACTTGAGAGAAATATTAGCAAGATGCGTTACCCTCGAGAACACTCTACGTGGACTGTACGTAACGGAAGCCCTGCCCTAGCTCTATATATCTGGTCAGGTGTACCACAGAGCAAGACGCCGTACTCGGGGATATTGCCCCCTCCCACTTTGTTACCTTGGTGCGCCCCCCAACGATTTTCATACCAGCATCATAGCCAATGTGTAGCGTGTTGTTTTTAAATGCGTTGTAAACGACAAACAACCACCGGTGCGAGGTGAGACGAGACGGAGGTACCACATTCGACCATTTCAATCGTCTGCAACACCTAACCAATGTGGGGAAAACTCATACATCCAGTTGGTATCACCTTGTACATCGAAACTTCTAGTTCACCCAATTTTCCTATTAATCTCCCCCTCTTTCCTTTAACACCACGATTGCAGTGATCCTGGTTTTATCCACCGGGGGATTCTCCATCAGCTCCAATCCGATCAGTGGTGGACATCAGCTTCTCTAGTATACCTGCTTCACTCGCTCCTCCCATCTCCTCATTTACCCCACATTACTTAATTACTTATTTTTTTTCTCAACCATTTCTGCAGATTCATTCTGATGCACTTGGAGCCAATGCCTGACCTTTTCTCACATTCTTCTCTCGTTGCAATTATCAACGGTGCGGCATATTTTTTTATTTCGTTTTATGAGCGAGGTGTGAATGGAGAAAGGAGTGGATTTACGATTGCTTTCTAGGACCAAAGGGTAGTGTCAAATGGCTCTGATCAGTGAATTCCAGTTCATTCGGATTTGTGGATCACGTGCAGTTGGGTAGATTTGATTAATGGATTTTAATTATGCGGTTGGGTGGCGGGCGGATGGAATTGGAGGAGTTTGTGAGAAAAAATTTGCAAATAGCTTCTCTTTCACGGCCTTGCTTCCTTTTGCCAATGGGTTTTCATGGTACTGTGGGCTCGCCTACGGATCTCTGTGGCATATTAACTGGGTCACACCAAGTGAAAACCCTGGCTATGTACATGGATACCGTAGTTGTACCGGGTTTCATTCTTTGGAGAGGGGGTGGAGCGAGGGGGGAGGGGGAGAAAGGGGCAGCTTTGAAAATAGTAGATTAGCACAGTTTTCCCTCCCACCCTTTGTAGCGTTTTATCATCATTCGTATGCGGTGTGTGTAATTTTTTTCGTTCTCCTTGGTGCCCCTTTTTATTTTCATGCCCAAGACTCTCTTTTGTGTCGGCGGGGAAGGCACCGGGTTACTAATACCAGGTCTTCAGGGTTTTGATGGAGAGAATGAAGAAGAGAATAAAAAAAAACGCTGCCGGAACTCGCACGAATGGCATATGCACTCCCTCGCGCTCCAAACGATTTCCCGTACGTGATCTCGTGAAAATGATCTTGTACCGAGTATCGGGCGAAAGCGACGAGTTATTCCGGGTACGAGATGCGCAAGTTTTCAAATTGGTGGTTTTTGGGTTAGTGTTAGACGCACTTCCGGTTCCCAGTCGTTATTATTTTTATCGCGGTGAATTCATCGTTTCTAGGTGAATCCTTCTTGTCATTCTGGCGATGAAATCTTGAGAATTATTCAGCGGGATATCAGAGCGAAGAGAATTAAAAATTCTTCTCGGTTCTTTTTTTCACCAACTTTTTGTCGTAGACTCGAGATTGGTTTTTTATCTGGAGCAATTGGTGGGTCAGATCGAAAAAACTGTATCGCTTTTACTCGTTCAACTTTTGATATTAAAATTATCGAAAAAAAAAAAAAAATGGATTCGGATGAATCTTCATTGAGGTCGCCCCTGATTTCCGTTTCACAAATTTCACGAATATTCAATTCCACGGGCGTCCCGTTTTTTACCTCATTTCTTCGGCTCTTTTTTCATTCTCTTTTCTTTTCTTAACCGATAACGATCGTGTCCAGAAGATCAACCATGTGAATCGATCGCTCCAGGCGCACTCCCCGCATATTCTCAGAATTTATTTATTTATTTTTTTCAAATGTTTCTCCGAGATTAAGGCTTCAAAGGAAATGATCCAGCAGACGCCGTGAATAGATGATTTATCTCTACAAATTTTATTTCTACGAGCGGTGATAAAACTAAACGCGGCTATATCCTCAACGATATCACCGTTTAACTTTCTTTCGCAGATGTTGGATTTTCACTTGGCATATTAAACAATTCCGGACGTCAGCACAATTGATTTAACCTCCTCCTTTCCCCACCGACAATCGCCAGATGCCAGAATGAAGTACCAAATGAGTAATATAATCGAGTGAGGAGATATCGATGAGATTTAAGAAAAAGTGTGCCACTGAAAAGCGTGATGTATCCATATGGAAGACGTCCCCACAGTGCGGAACAGACGTGCCCATGACACGCGCTGTTTTTCCCCTTTTTTAAATAATTTTATGGCCTCCCTTTTCTCTCTCCGCATGAGTATTCCCATCAACAATATCCAGGTGGTCATTCAAATAACCGTGAACCCATTGAATGTTCATTTGTCCATCGAGCTTAATCTACCGTGAGGCAAACGAACAAGCGCTTCATTATCACCGAGAAAAACTAAGAAATCCACGAACAAAAACTGCTAATTACACCTCAAGGCATTGTCCGCTGTTTGCGTTCGCGTATCGCAGATGTATTTCAGCGAATTCGTGTGAACCACTGTAGGACCTCTTCTCATATCCCCCGAAAAAGCCCTGGGAACCGCTACAAAATTGTGTTGCGTTGCATAACGGTAAATGACATTATCTCCAGAGATTCGCAGGTATGCGAGAAATAAGGTTGTGCTTACGATACATCGAATTTATTCAGGCGTTATTTAAAGTAACACTGGGTGCTACCTACGGATTTTTCAATCTCCACTGGCTGGTAAATACATCCGGTGAAATAGTCGTTTGGTTACTTTCCTACCCCACGCGAATTCCTTTCGGATTCACACCAGTCACCGTGTCAATTGCATACCTGAAGTGATTTTTAACATTGCTGTAACTGATAATAGGAGTCGTCAAACGGAACCCCACGGCGTGACGAAGACTCGGTGGTTTAAGGTCGAATAAACAGGAAGTTGTCTCGACGTGCTATTTCGATAAGTTTGATGGGTTTCATGGAAATATAATTATACTGTTATAATTTACGCTCCTTTACTCACTTACATTTTCTTTGGAACGAGACAGATTTGCTCGTTCATTATTTTATTACAAAATATAAAACAGGGGAACGATGGGGAACAGTCAGTGACAGACACATGGGATGGATAAAACGATACACAATAAATATTGTTGTTTGATTTAAGACGTAATAAATAACGAGGTGTTCGTCTTACAAGACACATGACGAGTATTTTCGAAGGTACAAGGTGAATGCACGAATTGGAAAGGGAAAATAGCGGAGAATGATATTCGGGCATTCAAAGGACTCGAGCAGTGAAAGGAGGGGATAGAATGGAGTGATAGAATGAGAGGTGAAAATGCTGGAGAATAAATAAGAAATAGCCGAAGAGAGGAGAAAGCGAAGAGTCAGATGAGAGAGGAGATTGAGGGAATTGGTCAATTATCTTATTAAATTCGGTGGATAGTCGTTGTGGAGATCTAGCTCAAGCCTGAGCGGGAATTTGTCCACGGTATGCCATTTGTTGGGCATCCTGGGGCAGACTCCTGGCCCATCCATGTCCACTGGATCCAGCTCCACCTCCGTAACCACCAAAGTCACCAGCACCACCACCGAATCCACCACCACCGTGACCATCATCGTGGCTGACTGTGTGACTGCTGCTGCTGCTGTGGTGTGGGTGGGCAACGACTTCATATGTCACGTGCTTTTGCTGTCCACCGAGGAGCTTCTTAAGGCCGATGATAGCGGAGATAACGAGGGCAATTTTGCCGACTAGAAGTGCCTTTCCGGCGATCAGTGCTATCGCACCAAGGGCTAGGGGAAGTAGGGCTGCGGCTTTGAGGGCCAATGCCATCATCATGGGCCCCATGAGCTTCTGAGCCTTCTCTGTAATCATCAATGTGTCATTAGGGTCAATAATCTTCATGTCTGACTCGATGAATCGTGATTTTAGCGCAACACATTCCTGGTGGATAATAGCAACTCATGAAGATTGGATTTGAACACAAACTCCACGCATCCGTCATGTTAATCACAATCATTAATTCAGGTATTCGCTAATGTGGAATAGGGGAAGGTCAAGGCAGAGTGCCCTCTCGTGATCTTGCCGAAGAAAGTGTGTCAAAAATGTCGGCCCCCGGGCTCTATCCTCCTCCCCGTCAATTATTCCATCGGCAATACCTATATTCCCTCTCACAATCTACCAATGAATCATGGGGGCTCTATCACGTTTATAGTAAATTGACGCGTGTGATCGTGGCTGGTGTGCATGGATTCAGTGTAATGAAATAAAAGAATAAAATGAGAAAAATGAAAACCAGTTTTGTGAGTGGGTCAACGGCTCTTGGCTGAGTGCCCAAGCCCCTCACCGCGGGGATCAGACTTCCACATGCTGGTGTCATTATTATCTAGTTGCCATTGGCAATGACGAAGTCCACACTTGCTGTCTTATTTCTCCCTCCCTTTACTGTTGCCGCCCCGGAATCGAGGTGAATGAGGAAACCAGGCAACCCATACCCAACCATCTGATCCTTAATACATGAAGACCGTATGTAGTACGGTGCATCGTTTATTTATGGGCTTCCCGGATAATTGCACGAGTCGACGCCGTTTCACTGCGCTGTGCAAATGCCAAATGAGGCGAGTGATAATTCGTGGGCATTCTTGAAGACTTGTGAAAAATTAACCGTCGAGATAATGAATAGGAAAGTCGCCTAATTAATGCCTTCCGAGATTTATCTTTTTGTCAATGAGAGTAATGGGAAATTTTCTGAGCTGTTGGTTAAGCCTCGTTAAGACCAATACTAACTCTTTTTGCCACGACCCTCGACAACACTGTCACTGATGTCCTCCAGGCTGCGTCCAGCTGACTCAACAGCTCCAAGGATATCAGTGCCCTTGAGATCAACTTTGATGGAGTGTGTCCTGAGGAATCTGCCGAGACGGTCGAAGATCAGACTGTCCACATCAGTGGAATCGATGGACCTGGTTAAATTAAATTGAATTATATTTTATGACGTGGTAATTGTCTTATTTTGGATGGATCTCTCTCAAGATATTGAGGAGCGTTTGAAGGGATGGTATGTACCTTGGTGCACCTTCCTCAGCTGTTGAAGTCTTGACGACGGTGATGCCCTCGGACAACGTGATATCCTCCTTATCAGCGAGCATCTTGTCGACAAACGAGAAGACCTTGTACTTGATACAGCTGACAGACTCCTTCTTCAAACAGTCTGAGTAGATAGTAGCCATGAGGTCATTTTCACCAGTATTTTTTTCGCTAGCTGGCAGTGCTAATGCAGCTGATACCAGCATCGCCCACAGGATTGTCACAAACATCTTCATCCTCGCTTAGTTTATCAATTTTCAAAATCTTCCACCACACAAATTTTGTTGATTAAACTGTAACGAGCTCAGCTGACTCCTTAATCAGTATCAATTAATACTATCCACGAGCGCGAATGATGCGTGGAGAACACGTGACGTTGACGATGTATAGAACTTGTATGTTGCATCTAAAAGAGGTTTGCTTTGCTTTTATACTGATGCGGACGAGGGGATTCATGCGGGGCAACAGTGGCGGCACAGTTTGGGGATCCACACAGTGGTGGTTTGCCTTCTTTTTACCTCTCTCTCCACCTCCTCAACAACTTCCCCTTGTCTTCTCCTTCACCCAAACAGTCGCACTATCTTTGAGCTTGTAACCATCCACAGCGATGCCTCTCCTTTTCCCCCCGTCGTTCAACTGCACCAACACAGGAATATCCACAGCCTGGTCATCCCTATCACCATTGCCTCCCTCTCCTCCTCCCGGTTAATCTCATCCATACACGACCTGCTATCTCCGGCGTCATGAAGAGAGAGGTGACGAGTTGACCTGGCCCTTTCTACTTTTGACCTCCTGGAGGCACTGCATTCAACTCAATCTCCAGGAAATTCTCTTGCTTTATTATGAAGTAATGGAACTACAACTAGCAATTCATATTACTGTTTTCATCAATTAGTGAGTGGCCAGAGGCACCTCAGTATGGAATAGAGTCATTTTACAATTCGACTGTTGTCCAAACTGATGAGACAAAAATTTTTATGCCAAAAACAATTACAGACATTAGGGCCTGTAGCTTCTCAGCATCAGGTGTCATCATCATTATGACCATGAGACTCTTCGCCAACGCCGTTGAGACCTACTTTAGCAGCCACTAAATATTGGTCAGGAAGACAGCGGGGAAGGCATGACGAGAATTGAGCGGTTTGATGGAGGTGAAGAAGGGAGAGTATCATCTCTCGGTTTTCTCGTCCATCGATTCGATTGTCCGTCACGATCGTTGATTTTTATTGTCCATGCGTTCGCTGTTGTGAGTCTGTGTGTGCATTTAGCCTCGAATCATGCGGTTTGTTCTTGTTCGATCATGAGACCAGGCACCGACTCTGATGAATTGTTCAGGCGCTCCCTTTGTCGGTACCCCTTTGGTCGACTCGCTGCATTCAATGGGCGGATCTCTTTCTCCAACATTTTCGAGTGAAATTCTTCAGAACATTGTGCGTCACTCCCCAGAAGCCTTCAGCTGCGAATATCGAGGGATGGAATTACTAAGTAGATAATACTAGATGTCAGACTGGTGGTTTCTGTGCCAGATATTCTACAACTTTACTAATAACTGGTTAATGAAAATAGAAATAATCGGTCACCGATTACTGCATCCGGACGAGCATGAAACCGTTCTCCAATTGACCCTCATCGCCATTACGATGAAATCTTGGCAATCGTTTGATGAATCTTTTCAGTGTCGGATTAAGCTCATTGGGTCTAAACTCCTGGTTATCCTTTTATTTATCCATTATCATTTATATTGTAAAACATATGGCAGCACATTGGATTCTCATTTCTGGGTTAGCAACACGATTTCACGAAATTACGGAGGTATATTTATGATGAGTGATCGACCGATTTCAAGTGGATCCGACATGGAAAGCGTCAGACACTATTTCGATTCGCCGATTTAACCTAGAATCCAGCGATGAATTCTATATCGAAAAATTTTAGTTTTTTGCAAATTAATTTTTTTGGGAATTTCTGGAATACCGTAGGTGAGATTGACGTAAAAAAATATTCCCTTTTTAGGTTTTCTCGTTATTCAATTACTCGCAAATTCTTCTACGATCATGAGACTTGGTGAGACATTGAATAATAATAAAACTTAAAAACGGTATATTCCTTTACGTCAATTTTATCAACGGGTTCTCACAAATTTGTAAAAAAAAAACTTGAAAAATGAGAAGATATTCACAATAACTCCTTAAGTGATAGATCCCCACGATTTGTCCTCCATGGAATAATTAATCAAAAATTCATAATTCCGATGGATTTTGCAACTAAATTGTTGATCATCTAGTCGAAAACTCCAATAAATCCAATAAAAATAATAATAAAAATTTTTGTTGTCCCAAACCATTACAAAATATTGAGGTCTCATAAAAAGAAAATAATCATTCAATAGTACGTCCCTCTAAAAACAGGCCCAGTGACAATAAAAAATGAATAAAAATCACCAGAGTGACGTTGCTCTTCTTGGGATGCCAAACGCCTCGGAACAAACTTTCATGGCAACTCATTTCTAACAGGCCATTCAGGACGAACAATGGAAAGTCAACAGTGTCTTTTGAGATGTCTACGCCGACACGAAACGGTTTATTTCCTTCATCCCAATCGTGCGTTCGCACACAACTAACAATAAACCTAATTACCGTCAACCGTACTTAATTAGCGTTAGTTAGCGAATGGTGCACGATGTGTTGAATAGGGAGGAGGTGATGAATGAAAAAAAAAAAAATGAGCAACATCAGTCCTGAGGACCTCTTCACCGTTCTCCCTCCGATGAGAGCCCGAATAACCGGGCCACTCGCCTATTTATAACTGGGTCATTCGTACATGTATTTGTGCACACATACAATCTCTCTGGTTACATTCAACATGTAGCGGTGCTTCCTTTCGGAGGATTCAGAGAGAAGACCCCCGTCTGTGAAAACTTGGCTTTGGGGCAAATGTATCGGCCCTCTTCGTCTGACATTTGCCTGCATCCGCATTATTTCATTATTTCTTTCATCCTTCCTGTGGAGACCTGCTATCATTTTTCGGTGGAAATATTTCGTCATTTTTATAAAGAGAAACTGAACGAATCATCATTCTAAATTACGATTATATTGACTAACATCGGACTATTGTCATTGGACTGGAATTACGAGAATGTAGGGTGCAGTAAAAATATGTAGAAAATATGAATTGAGTCAAAATTGTTCTGCATTTAATGCAAAATCTTTTGACCTCTTTTTTCTTGTTTTCTTCTGCCTAGTGTTCTTATAATTATCAACCAATGACGGTCTGCTAAATTATCTAAGTGATAATCGAGTCTCAAAGGTTTAATTGCTCGGGTAATTTGGAGAAATTTATGTTTGGGGAAAATTATGAATGGAGATATTTTAATGATCGAATGGTGATATTCGAAGACGCGGACAAGTACGTTGAATAGATTTCATATCGAAGAACCGCTATTGATAGATATGAGTGATTTCACTGACGCCTTCGTGTCTCTTGGGACAAAACCAGAATTTCAACACCAAACTACTCGCCCAAAAAGATTGATCAATGGGAACAACTCGTAGGTCGGCGGTATAATTACGCTATTAATTACACGGTCATTTGACTGATACCAGTTGCTCCTGATTCGCTGGGAGATAACGGTTTTCCGTTATTGTTTTCAGAGGTCTGTGTGGGTGTAGGAGACATGTTTCTAAGGCCTCGGAAAATGGAAGGGAATAAATCTATTGTTGGTACGACTAATTGCGGTCTCTCAAGAGCTCAATGAATTATTCTATTTATATTCAGATAGATGGATATAGAATTAATTGCAATTACAAAACGATAAATTACCGTTAAAAAATCGTCATGAAAATCTGATCAAATTTCTCATGATAGCAAGCAACAAAAATATTCAGTGTACATTAATTGTTCGATATTGATACTAGAAGGAAAACCAGTTGATCTAATTTAATCTTTTGATAAAATCTCAGTGAAACTTTTTATTAACAATTTATTATTTCTTGATCGTAATAGATAACTACGGGAAACCCATCAATAAACTCGATCTTATTTCAAAAAAATATTTATGATAAAATAATAACAACTATAAATGAAGGGGTTTTCATACGGTAAAATGAAATTAAGGAGTCATAATTTTTTTTTCTCGTATATATATTTTTTTTTGATTCCCCCATTGATTTATTCCTTACATTAATCACGATCATGATCCCCTCCCGAATTACAACCCAACATTGTTAATCTGTTTGTTGTCCAAACAAATAGTCATAATAATAACCCGCATTAGGTGGGTTTTCAGTAAGAATTCTAGATCCGGTTGAAATCCTGACGTATGCAAATCAGTGACATGGAAAGTTACTTAGTCAACAATTTTCTACATTGCATTTTTCTTATCGGCAGATGCAACTTTCATTTTTTTTCATTGGATGTATGGATGGTGATAATGACGAGGGTACCTTATGAATAATTTATCAAATAATTTTTGGCGGTGGTGGGTGGGTGGGGGAGGGAGAGTTGCGCGTGGATGTTCTTACCGCAAACGAAAGTACCAGCGCTCTTCCTTTCAAAGTAACTAGCCAGACATTTTTTTTTTGTCTCTTTTCAATCCGCTGAACCGACAAACCAACCTTCAACGTCCTTTCCGCGGCACTCGGCTCCTTCCGACCACGTTTCCGTCTTTCTTTTTGCCATTACGATGATCGTGTGTGTTTATGTATGGAGGTTGTTACTGTCCCAGTCAAAGAAAGGGGGAGAAAACGTAACGAGGCGTGAAAATTGCACTCAACTCACTCTCGTACAAACTTGGCCACTCCCTCTCGTCCAACATTGCGCCAGTCACAAAACACTCTGCACTCTGAATTTTAACGCTATTCCACTCCCAACATCATCTCAATTTTTTAATGCACCACCTTCAATTGTATTTTAATGGAAAATCTTCACTTATTAATAAAGCGCATGTTCCGGAAAATTCGAATGTAATTAACGTCAACTTAAATTGTCTTCTTAGAGTCAATTTTCTGATTAGTTAACCACGGTTAGTCGCCATATTTAAGTACGGACTGAACGCGCCCGTTGACCGCGATTTAATCTGACTTTAATTTCAACTAATCGGAGCTCTTTGCCAGAAGTTAACTTTAACTTAATCAAAAGTTAATCCGGGTTAACTTAACCAGGAAACCTGATTAATTCGGGGGTTTTTTTAATTCACTAATTTCATTGATTAATTTTAGGATTTCTTTGAATTCTACAAAGTAGGAACGAATTCCGAGATATTAACAAATTTTTCTTCTGTGCACTTCCGGTAAATGTTGGAGAAAATGAAGAACGAGGAAAAATTCGCTGCGGTGGAAAAATTGATGAGTTTTAAATTAGTTATGCAGAATGGGAGCAGATATTAATTTTGTAATGATTCTATGGGTCATTTGCAAAAAGTAGGTCTACACTTTTCTGGAGTTTCAGAATTTTATTATTAACATTTTTATAACAAAATTTACGCAGTAGCACGCAGGAATGTCAAATAATTTCCTTTATAAATTCATTCTGATCGAAATTCTACACCTTGTATTAGTTAGAATAAAATCAAAAAGAGGATTGGACTAGAGTATGAATAACGGTTTTGTTCCCATCGAGTGGGTCAGCAAATTTAATCTATCGGATTGTGGAATTATGGCCTACGAAATTATGTTCGCCAATTTTTAAAGGAATTATGAAATGACCCGTGAAATTATGATCGTCCGATGAAAAATATTGCGGAGGTGTGTCTGTTTCGAAAATAGAGAGAAACATTCACTCAGATTTGAGGATACAAAACTGGAATGAGGAGATGCTCCTACTTAAAGCTCCATCAATTATTGTTAATCAATCAATCCATAATTGCAATCGTCGGTAATCGTCTGGAAGTGATTCGATTGGAGAAATGCAATTTTTCGAATTTTTTTCAGGTTCATGGATGTTTAGCGAAGATTATTCTTCTCTCATTGTTGATTCAGGTACATTTTTTTATCGTTCAGGCAGACGTGAAAGAAGAATAACCATCAACGCAGCCGCAAGTGCTCGACCCGATTCCGAATGATTGAAGAGACAAGCCCCATAGCTAGTGGAGAAGGAGTTTGTCCGGATCTGGAATCGCAAAGTGCACTTTCCCCCTTGGCTTTGCAATACCACAGAGACAAATGTTGTCTTCAACAGGTACGCTCTTCCGTACAGGTGGATTGCGTAGACCGGTAATACCTTGAAGGTCTCGGCGTTCAAGTTCGTGACAATGATCTTGAATTTGCTGGAGACACGCGAGATAAAAATTCCGGAATTAAGTAATTCCCTTGTACGAATGCCACGATTTCGTCACATTTTTTTTTCTTCTATTTCTCTCATTGAATAGATCTCATTGTTTACAGATTTTCTGCGCCATTTTCGCAATAATTCGCGTTTTATTTTAATTTTTTTTAAACTTTTAAAACGAATCACAGAGGAAATCTCCGAAATTTCGTCAGTCGTTAATTAATGGGAAAACGCAAAAACGTTATATTTTTTCACGTCAGTTTTGTCACGGCTTCGAACATCCTTAATTGGCGAAACTTTGGCAAATTTTGAGATAAAATCATTTTTTTTTATCGTTTGAATTGCCTCCCTGTTAATCAACCATAAATCATCTCCTAAAATATTCAAATTAATTCACTCCCGAACTGCTCAGAATTAAAAACGGTATCCGTCATAAAAAATCCCAGGCATAATTACTAGAAATTCCTTGAAATTCGTCCTACTGGCCCCATATCAATGGTCATTTCTGTTGACACATCATCTCCTGTGTCACTTAAAGTACAACGAAGTTGTTCCGATCCAAGTGCCAGTTTGGAATTCAAGTTTTCTCAACGATACACGCGATGTCACGGTATAACGGGCTCAGTACGATCGAAATTCTGTATGAATAAATATCTACACTCACAAAAAAAAAAAAGAAAAACAAACTCCATGCGATGTTCCAAGAAATGCGAGAAAGTCACGTCAATTTGCCGGGAATGCGATCCCCGGGGAACTCAAAACTGGGACAATCGTTTTTTTTGTTAATATCTCCTGGTTTTTTAGGGACTCGTGCATCGCCTCCCAATCACCTCTCCCCCCTCCATCCCAATTTCACCCAATTAAATTTCTCACAAGATCAAAACTGAAAACAGCGACAAAAAAATATCACGAAAAGCATGTAATGGAAAATTTTGTATTTCAATTCTTCTTTTTCATCCATAATGAATCTAGAGACATGAAAAAGTGATTCCCTTGATTAATTACAAGTGAATTCGCAAGTGTTACAAAACTATGAAGAGAAAATGACAGAGTAATTACTATTTAACAAAAGTTGGCAGAGTGAAATGCGCGGAGTGCGCGTCGTCGACAGAGAGAGGCAGATGCTTAAAATATACATTTGTTTTCATGTAGAAAAATACAAAAATTGTCAAATATATATAATAATATATATACATTGAGCCATTGATAATTGGTCAAGGCCATTCTTACAAACAACGATAAATAAAAAAATAAATAAATCCCCATGGACTGCGGGGAATTTCGCTACATGCCCAGGCGAACATTTGGCTTCATCTTGGATTCAACGAATGCCGATGGAGCGTTAAATATTATCGTAGGTGTAATTATTTGGCAGCTGTTGGTGTTTTTGCGCTAGATTTCAGTGGTGATAGCCGGAGAATGCCTGGCTCTGAGCAGATGCGTATCCGGCGTGTCCATCCTCCCAACCACCACCGCTGGACCATCCACCAGATGAAGCAGGTGCTGACCATCCACCGCTGTTACCATTGCTCCAGCCACCAGCATTGTATCCAGTGACGTCGTGGGAGGCGCCCTTAGACCACAGTGACCTCAGTCCAACGAAAGCCGAGAAGATGATGGAGAGCACTGAGGCAATCAGAGCCTTCTTGGCGAGAAGGGCAATTCCGAAGTAGGCGAGAGTCGCCAGAACACCGATTTTCACTTTAGCGGCGATCAGGAGAGGGAGGATTTGCTTAATGAGCTTCTTCTTTCCACGACCTGAGAACAATTCAAACTCGTCATTTATTTTTGGAAATTTACCTGTGATGTACTAATTTCAAGACATCCATATGGCAATTGAAAATATTGATATTTTTTCAAATATTTCTTTCCAACGAACAATGATAATGAGCGAAGGTTACTTTAATTATTGATTGAGCTTGTTTTAATCTCGATAATTAAATATTCATAATAAAAAAATCCAGACTAATAAACAGTCGGATTGACCCATTTCGTTAAGCTATTTCAAAGACAGGTCGATCTTTACCTTCAAAAATCTCGCTGGTGGCATCAGCGGCCTGCTGCACTTCCTGGGGAACTGAGGCAACCATGGCGCGTGCAGACTCACCCATTTTCTGAACAGCTGGGGCGAAGTTGATCTGGAAACGCAGTAAATACGTGAAATTGAAAAATCCATTCGATCTCTTCCACCAAGAGATTGAATTTCGAGTGAACTTACCCTCAAACTGCGACCAGTCAGGAAATCGCTGACCTCTTCTCCAACGAAATTCTCGAGTGCGCTCTGCCTGTCAGCGACATTGGATGCAGCTTCGATCTCCTGATCGTAAAACACTTCATTACCAGTTCTAGAGCCCCTGTCTGCACTCTTAACCAAGGAGAGACCGTTAACGATCTCCAGGTTGTCTTTGCCGAAGAAATTTTTGGCATGCCTGTAGAGGCTCTTCTGGACGCAGGAGATACTGTCCTGTCGCAAGCACTCGGTGATATCCTGGCCGCTGATAGCGACCACTGCCATCGATAGACACACGATTGTCAAGAACGATTTCATTTTCACGTTTTGTGTATCTCCAAACTAAATAGCCAGTCAACTTGGAATAATCTCGGTTGAGAACACGCGAATTGATGATGAATCTCTTGAGATTGTTGTCGCGTTGTCTTGTAACACTTGCTCACACGTGGTGAAAATTTCGTGTGGTCCATCCGACAAGCTCTTTACCTTATATACCTTTATATTTGGCGTTTCTCCCACCACCTTTGCCAGGCGAGGTCCCCACCCCGGGTCCGAGGATCCACATGTGTTATTTTTTTTCTCCTCTTTCTATTTGCGTATGCGTTTGTGTGGGTATGAGTTATTTGTCGTGTGGTCGTGTACATTGTCCCGCGGTTCGAACGCACGAGCCCGAAAGTTTATTCACTAATGGGACAACACCATGAAGTAGAATTCCCACCTCTAGGTCGACCCTGGCCACCACCCAAACCCCAGGAACATGGCAAATAGCCGCACCTCCTTCCACCGCCTCCTTCTATTTTTTACATTTTTATTTCATTATTTCAATCCATCGTACCCTCAGTTTTTCGAATTTCTCGAAATTCATCAAAATGCCAACTCTAACGGATCACATTTTTTGTTAATGCGTGGCACTTCGAAATAGAAAAAGATTATCTGTTTTACTCGTGACACGGAATTTGAGGTACAGTTAATCCCGTGGGTTTTATTCTAATTTCATTTATTTCGAGGAATTGATGATTATCGTGGGTTTATCGCTCGTCCAAATATCTGACTTTTAGGCTCCCGTCGGGAAAAAATGAGAACAAAATTCATAAAGGAGGGGAGAGATTTGTTTTGACCCCTTTTGCCTCACTCTCTCGAACGGATCATTAAATTAAAGTATATTAATACACGAGGACATTTTTAAGATGAAATTTCGATCACGAAATCGCAATCTCCATCGATTTTTTTAATTGTTAATTAATATTCCATACAGCAGTCAGATACATGCCGATAATTAATACATATCCCACATATATACCGTTTTCCGTGGGGGTGGATAAAATAGAATAAATGTTTTTTTCATCGGGATTAGTTTTTTGAAAATATCTTGGAATTGAGAGAAGATGCTGATATTTCCATGAATATCTTTTTTGTAGCTGATTTTTAGTTCTACAAACAATATATAAGCATAAATATTGCTATCTCGCTTAAATACTGAGATATCAGCTGAAGAAAAGGGTGGAAAAAAAAACACTTGGAATTTGCCACTTTGTTGAAGAAATCAGTTTCAATGATTTTCTCCGTTTGCTTCTCCACTCGGATGCTCTTTTAATAATTCTTATTTGTGTATGTTCTAGATACATCCGATAAATAGTGACGGTAATTGCTCTTTAGGGTGATTGCAGGGTCATTGTCAGTGTCGCGGGCGTTGTGTAAAAAAAAAGATAACGTGCGTCATAAAAAGTGAAAGTCATGGAATGGTATAACTATTCTGGGCACGAGCGTGTGGGGCACAGTAATACCCCTTCTACTATCCCTCTGGTTGAAATAAAAATTGTTTTTGATGGTTACGAGTAATTTAATCGTCGTTCACTTTCTATCATGCGTTCATCCACAGAATCGACAATTGGCTGAGGTGGAGTCCCAAAATTTACGTGAAAATAATATAAAAATTTGGAGAGTACGAAATAAAAAATGGCGATTGCAAAAATGAAGAACAGTTGGCTGAGATATAATTGCCGAACGGTGTAGCTCTTTGCAATTATCAACCACTTTCCCCACTTTCTGGCTAGCCCATAATGCACTTATCCACTTTCCGCCCCGGCGCAACCGCAGAACCGGAAAAATTGATTGGTAACTCAGTAGGTGACCGGATGTACCAAAGACAGATATCGTTGCATGAATGAAATTAAGCAAGTGCTAAATTGTATTTGATCGGCTCCGAGGAGATCCCGGATCCGACCTTCGTTGTTCCACTTATTTCACCACTTTCTACTCTGACCCATGCCACTGTCTTCCCTCTTTCTCCTTGCACCAAAGCCCGCCCCTATCATTATCTCGCTTTTCGTTTCGTTTTCTCAGTGAGAAAGGGCTCCATTATAAGTCATTGCAATGAAATCGACTGGTAAAAGTAAAATTAATTCACCAAGTAATCGTAATAATTTGGCTGCACGTCAAAATCCATGAATTATTAAAAACTTTAAGATTTTCGAATTTTTCCGATTCATTCCCACTCGCACGGGCCATTAAAACACATTTCATTTATTATTCTTGTTATTCTTATACATCGACCCTAATACGTCATTTACAGAAATATATGATAATATTATACCAATTCTGGGTAATCGGTTTAAACTATTAAATTTTTATTTCAAAAGTGAGGAAATCAAAATATCTATTTTATTCCACTGTGAGAGTAATGCTCGTTAATTATTTATGAGTATAATAAAATTATTACGAGAGAAGCATTTCCTGGGATTGACAATCAAGTTAAACATGTGAATGATTTTTTCAGATACAATTTATGTGATAAAATGTAGAGAGGAGTGTCTTATTTAATTTCATCTGTTGAAGAGTTATTAATAACTAATTATATTTATTTGTTATAGAAAATGAAGGGTTTCAGTAACTTTTTCAGGAAAATGGTGGATTTCATTTTTTCGTTGGCTTCAACCTCACGGAAAATGTCATGAGGTCATTAAATTCAGAACGTGCGAAATGATAAGTAATCGCGTGATTACAGTAGATTTACAGGAATTTTCAATTGCTCCTGGAAATATCTGAGATGAGAAAATAGGAAGAGCAAGTGGGCTAAACAATAGATTCACCTCACGTCTCTCGCTTTTCCTTAAAAATCAGTGGTACACGGAAAAGCCATCAGTATTCCCGGGAAGCAAGCACGTGACATTGTCACGCCATTAAAGGAAGTCACGTCAAGAATATTTTACGGCAAATTATGAAGGAGACCATGAAGATTGCGGCTCTTTAAAGGTTCTCCAGTTCAGTCACCGGTCAGATCTCCAGGATTTGGCGGCACATTCCAGTTCGAAATCCAAATTTCTACTCATGACAGATGTGTTCAAAAGAATTCTTCCAGAATTTGAAACGTAATGTCTTCTTTCTTCTATCCTGTAAATTCTGCGATTTCCACTACGATACGACGAAAAAATTTCTCAAACGAAAAATGATTCTGATAGCCACAGTTGAGCTTTTTTTTTTTAATTGAAAAAATATTAATATTATTATTATAGAACGGATATTAATGAATGAAGAATTTTATAATCATGTGACATTCAAGGAATGATCAATGAATTTGCATGAATGAAGATGGGTAGATCAATTCCCGCAGTTCATTCATTACCAGGGACCCATGAAGTGCGACAATGCTCAAACCATAATGTAAATTTTCAATGCTGTGATTGCAGTGGAGGGCCATTCTCGTCTGTGCGTCGCTCACTCCGCGTCTCCTCGTTTTATGATATTCGAAACGTAAAAAAGGAAGCGAGTGGAATTCGTGTCAGTGGGTCTCGGTCTCTGTCAGGGTTCCTGTAGCAGCTTGGTTGGTCAGAGGAAGGAGGTAAAAGGAAAGGTCTCAAGACAGTGTTGGTATCACCGAGGTAGGAGAAAAGGGGGCCCCAGCTACTTTTTAGTGGTCACCACTCTCCACACCATCGATTCCGGATGCAGTTACCAGAGAAATTTCATCGATAACACACTCGACTTCGAAATCACATTATCACTCAAAAAAATTCACAAAAAATTCTATTTCTCCGTCCAATATCAATCCACAAACGACTTCTCAATCAACATTCATTTCTGAAATCATAAAAACATTTATGTCTCTCATATAAATAATCTACAGATGGAAAAAATGAGTTACAAAATATCACAAATGATTCTCAATTGAAGAGAGGACACTCTAGGTGCTTATTTTAGGCACTCGAGGAACTGATAAAGACGGAACTGAAAATTTGCGATTAAAAAAGAAGGCAAATTGCGTGTCAAGGTCGTTGAATTGATTTCCTGTAGATTTATCGTGTGTACTACTTACTACTTGATTCAGTGTAGGTGAGATGTAGATTGTGGGGAGCAGATGCGAGGCAACAGGTCGGTGTCCCACTTTCCTCATTGGTCAGTATCTCCCCTACTGTCTTTATCCTGCATCTCACCTTTCCTCTCTCTTTTCCAATCCAATACAAACCCAGAAGACTCGTGTTAACATCGATGTTATGCGATGCTACACCGGACATGACTCCGATTTCGATGATCTCAATTATTATTATTTTTTTTTTTCAAAAGAAAGCGTCAATTAACTCAGCCCTTGGTTCATCACATTCGTTAAAATCTATATTTATTCAGGATCGGAGGATTTAATAAATAGACACAAGAGATAAAAAAGTTGAATTAACTATTTTAAAATTAGGCGTTTGGTGTCACTGATGGATGTCACGAGTCGCGAGTGTTCCACGTGATTTTTTAATCACTGGAAACTCTTGTTATCGTCAGGTTGATACGGGGGTTGCTGATAGATAAGCGTAGCCTTTGTACGGCCAGAACTCTGGATCATCGGTACTCCTTTTTGTGTGATGCCCATGACCACTGCTGACTTCCTGGGCATAAACAACGTGATGTCCACCGTCGGAGCTACCGGAGCTTGAGAATTTCTTAGCTGCCACGATCAGTGACAACATCAGGGCTAGGGATGACACCATCAGTGCTTTCATGGCTAGAAGACCAAGTGCACCAAAACCCATGGCACCCAACATTTTCCCTAGAAAGGTATTTCAGTTAATATATCCATCTCTCAAATTCTCTCGATACACATCAGAATTTTCCTGTCTCTCCCATAAAACTGTCAGCATTCCCAAAATAATTGTCAAATCCCGAAACATTATATCAAATAAATGAGAATTTTCTCTTCTCTGTCAAAGTTAATGGGAATCACTCGAAGGTCATTTTTTGACAGTTTGAATCGACAATTTGGATCAATCCAAATACAATCCGGGGTAAGTCACGCAATAATGAAAATACTTTTGAAATTCGTGTACTGAGGCATGAATTCACGAGTAGTACGGTTGCCAATTAGAAATACAGTGTACTCACCCATCATCAAAGCAAGAATTAGGAAGCTATTATTATTTCCCTTTTTGCCACCTCCAAGTCCAAGTCCACCGTTGCCACGTCTGCTACTGGGTAAACTCTCCTTGACAACATTTTCAAAATTATCCGGCAGCAAGCAAGGGAGTTTCACCCTGAGTTCCCTACCCTCCAAAAACCCGAACATGGAGTTCTTCATGGTTCTGGCCCTCTTGTCGCGATCGTTAGGCTGAATAATACTGATTCCATCGGTGATTTGAATGCGTGGTGCGTGTGCAGCCCTCTCCAACAGCTGCTGAATAACACGCTTGACAATTCTGACACCATGACAAGATATCGAGATGTTCTTAGGATCCTCCACCGAGCAAACCATGGGTATTCCCTTCCACGGATCCTTCGCATATTCCTTATCATCCTGCCGATAGCTCTCGCCAGAAATCACTAAAATCATAGCACAACAACACCACCAGATGAACGACATTCTTCTTCGTTATCAGGAGTATCCACTGATGATCGACAGCCTCAGCAGGACTAACCGTCGTCCTCACCAGCTCCTTGCCATTTATACAGATTGCACGAGTCATTTTGTACCTTAGAAATAACAACAAATCCAATACTACCAGAAACAAAAAGCGGCATGAATGGTTTTATCTTTCAGTGGCAACAAAGGCAATCCCCTGTTTTTCGCTATACAAGTGGATGGAATGGTAAAACTGTTTCACTCCACCCAAGGCCACATTTATTTTTCATTTTTATCCCCCCATTGGAGTGTTCTAGAGCGTTACACTTGGACGGTGGATCAGTACTGGTTACAAAGTCATTCCATTATTTAGTACAGTACTTCCGATATTTACGTACAACTTTTATGGGAAAAAAATGAGCCAACGGCGTCGTTATCCTCACTCATTCGCAACACAAATCCCAGGGATTGGGAGTGGCGAAGGAGTGCAATCGTTTCCAACGTCTGGGAATTGCAAATCCAAAAATATTTCGTGGGATACATAAATGGGCGATATCAATAGTTGAATTTTAGATGTGTGATATTGAATTTGATTATTGGTGGAAGTTGGATTATCGATTCACGGGAAAATTCTCGATGAAATGGAGAGAGACGGGAAAGATCGAGTTACTGAATCTAGTACATCTCCGTAGAGGCCTTTCTCTTCTGTTCCACTTCTCTCCTGAATATTTCTGCTGCATTTTAACCCTTCTTCAAGGTGATGGTCTGAACGGAGGGGATGGGTATAACTAGAGCTAGATTACGATATTGCAGGACTATTTCCAGCAGAACTGGCTAGATCAATCGATCTCAGCAAATCAGACCGTTCATTCATTCATGGATCAGTTCAATTACCAAAATAAATAAATCAATGAACGATTCAACCAATTTAATGGATGAAAATGATCAAAGACTATCGAAACAAAATTATCAAGTGTTAATAAATGGTAATGATTAATGAAAATTCGGAAGGCTAGTTCCTCATCATATCCAGCGGTGAGAGTATGGAGATGAAAATGCACTGGAGATCCGTGAGAAACCGAAAATCGCTATTCACCTGTGCCAAAAGCGGAATGAAACAGGAGAATGAGAATAATTAATTGTCATCAGGAATCAATGTTTCTTCAGCTTCAGCTACCTCCAATGGTGAAAGCTGTAACGCGTACGTTATTGGGACCGGATCCTCCACTTATTTGAAATAAACACAAGCAGAATCATTAATAAATAAAAGGAATAGTACTTCTAACTGCTTTAAAGCGAAGAGACGAGATCAGAAGTTTATCCCCTGGTGAGAATTCGGGTGGGGTAACGGTAATGAACACTTGATGAGTCATAACGATCAATGATGATTCTAATAAAATAACTGAAGGTAAATATATCGTTTCAATTCCAGAAATCAATCTCTCATCCAATCCTCCAATCTCCCAATCCACAGTTTCATCAATTAATTTTTTGATCGTGGAATTAAAAATTCCAATTATTGATGTTGGGATTAATAAGAAATTGATGAGTCAGCTATAAAAAAGTCAGCGTTAAAAAAAAACAGTAATAAATACATTTATTTCACACATAAATCCGTGACAACAGTTATTATACAATTTCCTTTCTCCCAGACAAACAACAGTAAGTAGGAGCTTGGAGCTGATAAACAAACATCAATAAATTAATGATAATCGTTAAGTAATAACCAACAATGATAGGGGAGAGGAAGTTATACGACGAGACCTTATTAAATGAGCTAATGATAAGTAATTAACGCCCCTGGTAACTCGTCCCGTCATTAACTGTCCGATCATGAGAATGAGAATAATAAATGTCAAATAAATAATAATTCTGTCTTGTGGTGATGATTATAATGAGTACGAAAATTCAGCTACTGTATCAGTCTAAGATTGGTAATTAGTGAGCAGTCCAGTGGGTTCACGTCATTTAACGTCGATGATAGAAAATGAGTCGAATGAGAAAAAAGGGAGACAAGGGAGACCAGAAATACAAGAAAGACAGGAAAGACAAGAAATAAAAGAAATAAAAGAAATAAAAGAAATAAGAGAAGGAAAAGTACAGATGGAATGACCATGAAGAGAAATGAGAAATGGAAAAACCAAAATGAGAAGTGAAATAATCATGGGAAAGTAGGCGGTGTCTAAGTGCTCATCGGCTCCAGACACGCACCTCCTTTTGTACGCATCCGTAATTCTAATACCGCTTTTAGCGCCGTCCGTTATCTAGTCCGTCCTCTATCACGTCGAGTGCATTAAAATCTACGGAAAAAATGAAAATGTGTACCCGTTGTTTTAACGTCTGTTAGTGACCATGTCCGTTTGCGTCCTTGTGTGGTCATTTGTGCTTGAGAATACCAGGGCTCTGGATACAATAATAAAAAATATGACGGAATGATGATGATGATTTGATTCATGATAGTGTTTCATGATTGTGTCCATGATTGGATCCACGATTGCGAGAGATCGCTTGAGCTTCAGAGTTGATCCTCAGACGCTTTTTTAATTAATATCGGTCGAGGATCGATGAAAAGTCGTTGATTCTCGGTTGATGGTTGTGATGGTGGTGAGTCTGGGGGGATGATTCAGACTGATGGAACGTGAGCTGAATAGGCTAGTTCTTGGCCTGTGCGTTGCTGATCTGGTATTGCCTGACTGTGGAAATTTCTTGCCCAACCACTTGAGTAGCTGTCACCGCCGTGACCGTGATCTGCGCTGTAGGAATGACTGGAGGAGTGATGGGGATGTGCCACCACCTCGTAGGTAACATGTTTCTGGTGTGAGAAGAGCTTCTTCAGACCGATTATACTCGCCAGAAGAAGTGCTATTTTCGAGAGGAGAAGGGCCTTGCCAACGAGGAGAGCCAGACCCTTGAACGCTAGGGCACCTACCAGACCGATCTTGAGGACTGCTGCCGCAAGAAACGGTCCCATGTTGTTCTTCTTTCCACGTCCTGTGATCGATCAATTTGGGTCAATTAATTTGTAATTCATGGTCTGATTCGTGGATTTGATTTGTTTCATGGGATCGGGATGAATCGCTTGCTCCGATAGTTTTCGTGATATGGGAGCAATCGATTTGATCGAGAGAATTCTCTTTACGTGCCTCAATAACCAGTGGGACAGAACGGATTCTTTAGTGTTTGAAAAATACTTTGAGATTCAGATCTAATCGGGTGGAGTCTCCGAATTGAAATTAGGGAGATTTTTTTTTATTTTTAATTTGGAAATTTTTTGGCTATAAGCGAAGAACTTTTTACCTTCAGCAACGGGGCTCTCAGATCTTTCGATGGACAGACCGAGATTCAGGGAGCCAGTCTCATCCTCGGATGCTGACACAACAACATCATCTTCAGGGAGTACTCTCCACTTGATGCTCCTGGACTTCATGAAGGCCAATACCTTGCTGGACACCAAGTCCATGAACTCGGAGTCCTCGTCATTGCTCCTACCAGACTCGTACGCAACAACCTCCTCAGTCGCTTGACTCGTCTTTTTTATCTCAATGTCATCCGTCAACTCAATGGACACCTTCTTCATGAGTTTGTTCATGTATGTGACGAGTTTGAGCATAACGCAGCTGCTGATGTCATTCTGAGAGCACTTGTTGTTGAGCTTTCGCATGAGTTCCTCCTCGTGTTTAGCTCGTTCAGTTAGGATCACAGTTTGCTGCTCAACAACACCGATTTTCTCGATTTTATCGAGTGGACTGGCAAGGGCAGCACTCACTGCACCGATGACCAATAGCACCAGAGCAACCTTCATGGTTCTAATCTATAAAAAATAATTAGACTTACTAGAATATTCCATAGAATAATCAAAACAAATAGCCCCACGCAATTACAACAGAAAAAATCCAGAACCGAATTGCCAATTGATCATGTTCAACTGAATTGAATTCATGTTCAAATGGACTTGACATGATTCGAAGAAAGCTGAGCTCAAAAATCGGTGGAAGTTTGAAAGATGGATTAATAATTTGGTGAGATGAGTCAAATGTGCCAATAAATGATTAACCAACATCTCACCTCTAATACCGAATCCTTAATCCCTCTCACGTGTCCACCGCTGAATTTCTCCGAATGCACACCAAAAAAAAAGGTGTCACGTGCCCTTATTCCCGTGGGTTGTTAGTACGAGCGATGCAAGGCTTCTGAACCTGCGTCTTGCCCCGGCCACTTTATATACGTAGATGCTCGCTTAGTAGATTACAAGTCGGTGTAACCACCTCCCTGGATTATTTCTCTCGTCCCATGGTACGTTGCACAGTGTGTGGAAGGAAACACCCGAACGCGAGCAAAGTGAGTGAGAGAACCTGGCATTGAAATAAGCCATCAAGAGCAATCCACCACCGATGCCTTCCAGAAGAGGATGGAGCGAGAAAGCTCGTATTTAGTTGGGAACAAACCTGGGGAGATGGTCGAGAGGGGAGATATCAAAGTGGGAAGGGAGTTTGAGGTGTTTCCTCCTTCTTAAACTGGTTAACCGATGCTTTTCCGTATTTCTTGCGGAAAATATTTTCCACCGCCAATTCACTCCCACCTCCGCAACGAGTCAACCGTGATGCACATCCTCCTCATGTACTCGTGTACTTTTGTTGTTATGAGAAGAAAAAATAGAAGATGCGTTTGAGAGAATCTATAATTCATACGTGACTATTCCCCGTGAATCAGCCCCATGGTGCGAGATGAGAACAGCACGAGAACGGTGTCACGTATGTAGAGCAACCATACGCCATCCATCCCGGTTTATCATATCTTCTCTCTTCATTTCATGACCATCTTGCACTCCACATTAATTGTAATGCATTCATTGCAGGTCTTACGGGGGTCCCTGTAAATCATTCATTAATCATCTCTTTTATGGCTCGCCCAATTTTTTCAGATGTGCCAATTTTTTCACACGCTTGATATTTTGGCTTGAAAAATTTGCAGTTTTTCACAACGACAATCTGACAGGAGATTTTTGGAGAATTATTCACCGATCACTCGGTTAATGTCGCAAAAGTTATTATTCTCCATTTTTACATCCTTATAGCAATAAAAACCTGCGAAAATGGGGGAAATTCCGGTATTCATTCCCTCAATTTTCAATCTGCAGTTGAATCTCGTTGGAGTCGCACCTCTCCACAATTTCTGTCTTCACGTATCTTTCGGTTCACTGATTATAATACCCTCGGGCTACGGGATGTAATCCATTGTTCTCTCCTATTCGAATTTGCAATGAAAAATTAAATTTGCGGTTGGATACAGTCGAATTTTCCAAATTCGCATTCATTACAAAATAAATTATAATTCCATTGAGTTGTACGTACAATTTAATGTTTTCAATTAATTTCGTTTACTGTTTAATTAATTTTTTTTTTAATTGTAGGATTGTAAGGGGATTAAGCGGATTTAGTCAGACTTAAGGGGCGAAGTCTCCATTGAAGCGTTACTTGAAATTTCACCCCATTGTTTACGGCTTGAATGACCTCCGAGGCGGAGTAGTACTCTCACCGTTTTCCATAGTAAGGAAAAGGAAATAAAACAAGAAGCAAAACGATATAAATACGAAATCCAGAGCAATCCGACTTTCCAGAGCGCAGCAGTGGCCGGAAGGTCAGATTAACGTGAGACTCCCGGGATTTTACCTTCTCCGGGGTCTTGATGAATGTCGACATTTTATTTTCATTCTTTTGCCGTTCACATATGAAACTTAATTGACAGTAATTCGTGCTCGCGGGGGGGGAGGGAATGAGTTTTTCTCGGAAATGGAGTGAAATTAGATCAATTTCGCGCATCATTTTGGTGGTTTAATCATTCACCGTTACGTTTAATTCTCTCGATTTCATCACTGTAAGTCGAAAAATGGAAATGGAGGCAAACAAAATTTTCCAACTTTCATTCAAACCGCGGACGTCAGCAAAAAAAATATGATAACGGCTCTTGCGTCTTTGGTTTTATTTTTTTTGTGGTATCGAAGTTAATTAATGGATTAATTCAGATGATTTACGAGTATTTTTAGTGATTGCACTGTGCAATTTTTTTGTGGTAGAAGAATTTCGGGAGATTCGAACAATCATTTTTTCAATTATGAAAAGTGTGCGAGCGGTGAAAGAAGGGAAATTATGCCCTGGATTGTTTTCGATTTCCAAATCATTGCGGAGTCTTTCATTATCTAGTGTAAAATTGGACTCGATTGAAAATTTCAGGGTTCAATAACAGATACATCAACGAGAATTTCAGGAAATAAAAAATGGTCCACTCTAGATTGATGGGATGAATGGCTCCCCACCAAAACGCTTCCTCAAGCCAAAAAATGTAAAAAATGTAAAAAATGTAAAAAATGTAAAAAATATAAAAAATGTAAAAAATGTAAAAAATGTAAAAAATGTCCATTAAAATTTGTATGGATTCCACAATTAAAAGTTTACGACATTTTGAGAAAAAAAAACAACAAAAATGGCCAATTGAATGGTCAATGGCTCAATTATTTATTCCTTAAAAATACCGTATAATTTGACATTTGAACGGTGAAAACTTATCGAGAAAACCTATCGCTCGATTTGTTTCTCGCGATGATTCGATATTTTCGATATGCGTATCGGAATCCCGACAAGTATAAACGCAAATTGACAGCAAAAAAAAAATGGATGTTGATGGCAATGGCGGCTTACCGCTTCCGGTCTTCTCGTAGTAACGAGGGCACTTGGTCAACGGGTTCGCAGTTCCGTCCGATTCTCAGGACTGCGAGTGAGAACTTATTCGACCGGTTTTGGTACACGTACATATCCTCATACCTTAATCGTTATTTTTTGTCCCAGGGAGAGAGGCACCTCTTGAACGTATTTAATCCAATAATTCGTCGAGGATTCTGCCCTCGGTTTTCTAAGCAAAGAATAAACGCAAAAATTGAGAAAGAAAAAAAAAAGAAAGACATGTTCACCATTTTTATCATGCAATTGATATCTCACGCGAGGTAGAGCGCGTGGGAGATCTTTACGAGCGACATTAGTAGCCCAGTGATGTTAGAAATTGTTCAGGAAATGATACTCCGGGAATAATAAGGGAATTAATAAACATAAGTAAACATCGGCTAATTGGTGGATTGTAATGGAGCTCAGCCACTGGTGGAGTTTTATCAATCGCTCCAGATAAACATGCTACCGTGAATTTTTTTTTTCATCGCCTCGGTTATTGCGCTCTCCCCAATGCCTTAATAATTCATTTCGTTTATGGAAAGATCATACTTTCTAATTTCATGTTAATTCGGATAATTAATATATCTATTTTGCAACATGGCGTGACTGGTTTGCGTCGTTAGTACAGGATTTCTTAAAATATCAGTCACAATGTCATGGAATTTCCATTAAAAACGCTCTCTAAAATTCGCGTTCATCTTGAAAGTCCAAGAAAATTGTTTTTTTTTTTGGATTGAAACATTGCTTACAAATGAAAACGAGTTCGTTGACAATTTCGAGCAATAACTGACGGGTTGGAAATGTTTTCTTTTTTTTCAGTGCAATTGCGAGTGATTAGTCATTTTTCCGCGGGAATGGAAGATTATGTCTTTGAATGGATTAACACTTGGCGGAAAGGAGAAGTCGCGGAAATTATTCCTGAGCACTTGTAAACACAGAACTTGAAGCAACGAAATGCACCAGTCGGCCGTGACCCTCTTTATCGCATACCTTCCGGCTCTGGCGATCATGGCACACCTTCCAACTTATAACGCGACGGGTTGATCTTAATCGCGAGTGAAAATAGCACGAGATTCCGAGAGGACGTGAAAAACCAGAAGTAGAACCGCGGAAATCTTCCCACTCTATCGATCAATTTTCATTTATTTTATTGAAGAATTCCTCCTAATTACGCGAAAGAAAAATTCAGGAAAAAAAAACTAAATCTCCGTTTCCCTTTAAAAAAAAAAGATGTAATGCTTCTTGTCAGCTTTTTCCCACTAGTATATCAAATTTCCCAATAGTGGAAATTCCCGAAAAAACTCGAGAGTCGAAAAAAAAAATTCGCTCAAAAATCCTAGATTGAGGCTAGACTTGAGGCTCTGACGAAAAGTGATTTTTCATAAAATCGTAGAAATATTTTCATGAACCGATTGTGTAATTCGACTCAAATGAAAAATTGTTCATTTTTGAACAATAATCCATTTCCATAATTTCTTCATAATTTCTTCATAATTTCCCTTAAACATAATGGTATGATTCAAGTAAAAAGCCAGTTATATTACCAGAAAAACAAACCATTTATTACGACTGCTGCATATTTACTGAAACTCATACATCATCCTGATGAAGGATGCTATTATTCATGGCAATCAGAATGAAGCGCAATGGAGGTGTGTCAAGATGGTGGAGCTGGAAGGTATTCAGAAAGAGGGTCAATTGTTGATTTTTCACATCGGTATTTACAAGTGCTTCGGAAGGAGCGGTTGCATTAAACGAGAGAGATTTGTAATGTATCCATTGTTTATTAAATTTTATTGCCCGCCGGCACTTAACTACCTCTCAAATTCTTTTATTTCGTTCTAAATGACCGAATACAGCCGATTCAGAAATTATAAAACTAGAATCCAGAACAAAAGAGTAATAATCAATCCCATTACTTTTATCTTCATCCTCATTATTTATATTTCGAATAATAAAAATTAAAGTTTTGTAAGAAAGTGGTAAAAAGAGGTGAGTCAGCTCAACTGAATTTTCCAGCAATATTTCCGAAATTCACGGAGATCGCAATTTTGTAAATTATCTTTTTTACCGCTCTGAATTACCGCCTTGAGAAAGGTTTTAACGAAAAATCCTCCATCTTTCTTAGTTTTAAAGATATACGCGGAAAATACACGAGCTCATCCCCTTTAGCACTTCATCGCAGAATTTCTTAATAATAGTGCGTCCAATGGGACTCAATTAATTATTCTAATATTGTCTATTACATTCCCAGCAATTACATCACAATAAAATCGTGATTCTACGGTTTCTCACAGCCGACGGTATATTTCCAACCGCGATATAATTTGAATGTCTCATTTTCCCTTTCTCCAGACGATTCTCTATTTCTTTCTCTCCATGCTCATTCCGCGTGAAATTTCTCCCGTTAAACAGATACACAGAGTGGAATCTGTACAAAAAATGCCCTAAGAGACAGTAATCTCGCGATTTATTATTCGCAAAAAAGATTTGCGCAGAGAATGAAAAAAAATGCAGACATAAATGACCGGACGGTTTCGTAAAATTTCTCTCACTAGGCTCACACATATGGGGCTATATACTATCATTTGACATACAAAATCTAAATATTCAAAGAATCTTAAATATCTAAAAAAATTGCCCATAATTTATGTTTTTTTCTTTAATTAAATTCAATTGATAAATACAACAGTTTGTTCTTATTTTAGACAAATCATTATTTATTAAAATATTATATAATATTATTTAATTTTTTTTAAAGAGAATAGTGAATCGAGAAAAATCCACTTGCCACTCAGAGGAAAAACAGAACTCTCAAAATCTAAAAAAACATCGAAGTAAAAAAAATCATTCTCCTCGTTCTTAAATCAGGACGCTGAGAAATTTGTTGAAATTATTTCTTTATTTTAAAATTCTTTAACAAAATCTAATTTAGTCATCAACAACATTATATAAAATTAAGAAATACAAAGTACAATACTGCTTAATTACAACTATTTACATCACTGGCTTGAATACTTACAAGAAATAATTATCATGAATTCAGGGTACTGAGGTAAAACATGAATAAGCGAATATCGCAATCCAAAAAATATGTACAAAAGGACAAGTGCTTCATACAAAAACCTCAATATTACTCCTGATAATGCTTCCACCCCTGATAAGCAAGATCCTGGCCGTACGAGGCCCCATCGTTTTGGTAACTATTGTGATAACCGTTATCCTGATAACTCGAGTGCTCTGCCGGATATCCTTGATTATTTGATTCCTTGTAATGCGGGAAAGCCAGACCACTCTGCGTGTAAACAGGCGGCTGATAATTATTCATTATTGGCTTACAAAATTTGAAGAATGCGATGAGCCCTGGTATCACGATTGCCATGAAGCCCAGGAATTTTTTGAACGACGCCAGGCCCAGGATCAGGGGCAGAAACAGGAGGAGTTTCAGTTTGAACAGCTTCAAGATTATTAACATCGGGATCAAGAGCTTCTTCAGGCGCTTCCGAGCTGACAACAATTCAAATAATATTTCAATTAAACTCTAAAGTGATGTAATTTTTATCTGTTTACCTTCTCCAAATTTTTCTCATATGTATTCCTATAAATATTCCATATATATAAATAAATCTATGGATGTATATATATATGTGTGTCTATATTAAATAAATTAATACATAAATTTACATACATATATGTAAAAAATTGGATTCAATGCATGAAATCAGCGAATATTTTCCTCTTAGAGAAAGTCATTTATTTTTCTTCTAAGAAAATCCATTATATAATTTTTCTTCTAATCTGCCACCTCAAGAGCGTGTAATGCACACTGTAAATTTTCTAGTACTTACAGAAGAGAGTATCTTTCTTATTCTCAAGGATATCGATCTCATCAGCAATTTCATCCAAAAATCTCGGAGCGTAAACCTCGTTTTCTCCAGTCACCCAGGATGGTATATTCACCTCGATGGCAACAGTCTTAACAAACCTCTCGGCTTTTCGTGCAGCAAACTTCACCAGCTGATCCCAATCAGACTCACCCGACCTGGAGTAGAGAAACAAGATTGTTATTAACGCGTCATAAACCGGTGGCTCATTGTCTGGTTTGGGTTTTATAGGATTTAAATATCCACCTTGGGGAGCTCGAGTACTCGTACGGTTGACGAGCGACCTCCTGGACCACATCTCTCCCCATCCTCACGAATTTTACCTGTTCGGTGAATGAGTATTCGGGCTGATCGAAGAACTCAGAGAAAGAGCCAAGTGCTCGGGATTTGAAGCACTCGGCGAGATCGCCATTCAGACAAGCCTGATTGATCCTCGCAAGGTAGGGATCAACATGCTGACCTGTTCCAAGACCTATCCAGTCCAGAAGATCCTTACCTTGACGAGTCCTGTTCCTTTCAGGGCCTCCGCCCGATAGCTTACCGTCTTGCAAATTCCCGGACTCTTCTGTAATATCTCATATTGATTTATTATTCAAAATTTTATCAAGTGTCTCAATCAAAATAATGAATTGACTTCTACAGAGATTGCCTCAGTTATTGATCACCGGGAATCTCGAGATAAATGTAATTCAAGTAGAAATGTAAGGAAGGGTTTCTACGATAAGGATGCGAATTCCCTGAGGTAATTGTTCTTGAAGAAGATTTCAAGATCTTTTCTATCGGCAAAGAAGAAACTTCCTCTTCATCTCCAGTGACTGGTAAACTTGACTTCGAAGCCTTTTCGATGCGGTGAAAGGAACTTACCATGATTTCCAACGGGACCTTCCTCAAAGGTAACAGCTCCTGCCGATGCTATTACCGATAGAGTGAGGACGTGAATCCAATTCCATCCTGATGGTCGCATGGCCGATTAGCTGTCCACCTGCTCACCTGTGGTAATTCCCTTGACAAATTGAATTTTCTCAATTAACTTTAACCCATTCTCTGACGTGCCTGATAAAAACAGGTCCTGAGAGCCATTAAAACACTGCTATCAACCGCCTCAACTCAATCTAACTCGCGCTCGCAACAAAATGACACAATTTTCAATAATTATCATCAAAGGGTTCATGCCCCGGCCTGAAATCAGGTGAAAGTAGATTTTACCTGAATCACCCATAATTCCTGTCCCGAAATTATTATATTAGTGGGGTAAATACTCGGAATAATAAAAATGATCAATTGAAACTGACAGTACGATCTCATTCTTATCTGTCACTTGGAATTAATGAGAGTACTCACGTATAGGTGATTCAAATGCAGTCCACCATGGCTATTTAATAAACCGTAACCTCAGCGTCTACTCGACTATTGCATTTCGACGAATTTTTCATTCATAAAGGTACCACAGTCCCCAAAAAAAAATTAAATCTTGAAACGGTGCACTCATTCGACTCGAATCGGCGCTCACGCGCACCTGAGACCAACTACCGGTCGAGTTGAATACAGACACGCAGTGGTGTATCAAAATGCCGTTATCTTCTTGGACCAATGAGAATTCACGGTGCGTCTCCGTTGGCACTTTGAATTACAAATACATAATCGTTCAAGAATTTAGGTGAATTTTCTATTGTCAGCTGCCAGGTGGTCATCGAACGTTAACTAATCGCGCCATATATCAATGATATCATTTTTTCCCATTTTTTCATCCGAATGAAACCACTGCAATCGTTGAATCTTAACTTTTGAATTTTTTGTGTTATGTCAACCCATGCTACCCCGAAAAGTGCAAAAATGCAATGTTTTTTTGCATATGGCAACTTTGAGAAATTTCATCTTCGATTAGGCGGTAATGAATACTGGAAATTAAATAATTTTCTTTTCTCATCTTTTAGTATTCGTGAGTCCTACCGATATTGATGAAAATTGGATTTGTTTATTAATTTCTTCAATTTTTGAGTTTAAGAAATCGATTTTTTACGATTTTTGAACAAAAAATATTTTGAAACACTTCAGTGATGACAAAAAATTTATTTTAATGCCTTGCCGACCGAGTTTGGAAATGGAAATAATAGCAATAACCGTTACATCGATATATAGAGAAGACTGGCCGAAATTCGGACTTTGGAGATATTTGAAGTCGAAGCCTCTCGCGGGATGTTCTACTTCAATCGAATTTCGTTAGAGTTTAAAATAATAATTTCAATGCTATACTGTTGAAATAAGGAGTGATTACCATAGCTCTATATATTGATATAATTTCTCGAATTACCAATTATGTAGTAAATTTAAACATGTCTTTTTTCAAAATTTTCTGTCCCACATTTCCGCCGAATAGTTGTTTCGAGAAAAGAAAACAAATCCTAATTTACTAATTTAGAAATACATACTGGGACATTTTACTCTGACACAGTGAAATCCACTTCAGTGGCAAGTAAAAATTCCACACACACTCAACAACATCTAATGTATGTCAGATTCCGAACAGGTTCTTCACTGACCAATCTATTCCAGAAATTTTCCGTGGGAATCGTAACGTCAATTCAATGCACACAAAAAAAAATTCTTTCAAAACCAAATTAACATGTAGCTGTCGATTTATTTTCATCACAACCAAAAAATCGTCAGAGAAATTCAGATACACGTAGAACAAGCCCGTTGCTTATGAAATCCAAAAAATTCAAGAGGTATTAATTAAAATTTCCGGAAATTTGGCATGACTGAAATTCTCCGCGACAATTGTCTGCAGGGGTTTCATCTTCATGAAGAAATGACAGTATAAATTGGTTTCCTCAGCTGGCACTTACCTGAATAAAACAGTGGAGTTAAAAATACTATCGGACTGATATATCGAAGACCTCGAATAGCCACGAACTCAAAAGGGTTTGACAACTCACGAGTATAGAACGAAACATTTTATATCCTCGTCCTGCTATTACAGGAGAAAGACGGCGTGGGCGAATTGCGAAAGCCAACCACGTAAGACGCGCCGAGAGATGGGAAATGGAAAACAATAAACAGAAAAAAAAAATAGAGAGTGAAAGTAATTCTCAGGATGTGGTACCGGAACTCAGTGGTACAGAAGGTCAGAGGGGATCTGGGTAAGAAGTAAAATCAGGATCTCCAGTGTCAATGACATTGCAGCAAGAGCAACCTGCGTCAGAGGTTCTTGTATAATTTCTTCGCAGCGTTTCACAGAATGTAAAAACCCTCTTTCACTTATTCCGAATCACCGGCGCACCAGAACAATAAGAAAATTGCAACTGCAGACGAATGAGAGTGAGCTTGTCTCAGTCTGCACTGAATCCCCCGAGTATCACCACAGGACCTAAATAAAATGAATAACCGACTCCCAGCGTAAAAGAAAAGTCGAACGCACATACTCGGTTCCACTCGTTTTAATCCAATTAAATAATTCAAGAAATTAAATAAATTATCTATCCTTATCACTATTAAGTTTGTTCCAAGTTTATGTGTAGTGTGTGGGGAATCATTCAATCAAATTCGTGAGAGGACCTCGCAGTCCAAAAACGATCCAAGAACAATGAGCATCAATTAGAAAATGTATGTCTGGTACTCGAGGATGACAGCGACTGGTGAACAAATAAACTTTCATCTTCTTGTCGTCCTACAGTCACCACGCAATCATCACCAATAATTCCCCAATAATTCTTCTCGTTAACGGTTGCCCAAGGGTCGCCAGTAATCACCGACTTTCGATTCTGGGAATAGAAAAGTCACCTGGGACGACCAGAAAAAAACGCGTGAAGGGACCAACAGCTGTTCAATCCTCTTCAGTGTGATCTATCAGCATTTCCTCAAAGTCCATTCATCAATCCACATTTCACTATTAATTGAACATCAACAGTCTGATACTTGACAGTAAAAAAAAATTTACAATTTCCTCGCGTGCACGAGTTTGTCGATATCCTGATAAGTAGCTAGCATCGCCTGATTCTGCCTGAGACTGGGATCATCTCTCGCTATATCACAACCGGAGTAAGCTTTCTCACACTTTATACCGTCCTGTCCGTCCTTGGCAGCCTTCATGTATTTGAAGAAGCGCAGGACATCTGGGTTGTCAGTGCTTGGTCTTCTCAGCTCGTTCAATTCCCTCGACAATTGCGCAGACACTAAATTTGAATACGGCGCGTACCTTGCTGGACTCCTGTACATCGCACAAACTGCATACTCACGGCAGGATTCGGTCGTATAACCCAAACGTGAAAATACAGCGTCTAAACGAGACAGCAGTGGCGAGTAGAATGGGTCATAGTTCGTCAACAGTAACGAACTCGTTGGTATCTCATGGAAGACCTGTGGAGGAAAATAACGGGTCATGTGGCGTTTTCACACGGTAAAATCATCCTTTTTTCATCAAATTGCACTTCCTTCGAGGACAACTTTTTTAGTCTCAGATGGCGACGCGATTGCAAGTTGTTAGAGAAATTATTTGAAAGTACTTTGGCTTTTTCTACGCTCGAATCAGTCGCTGCTTGGTCGTTCCAACGAACTATACTTTCATTTGGGTTTAGGAATTGTACTCCTGGAACACCCGTTTCCGCGAGTTTTTCATCAATTTTTTTGGTAGCTCACCAGTTTTTAAATATAAATTATCGGATGTATTCTTTCGATCCAGTCATTTCCATCTTTTTTGTAGTATCAAATTTTTATTGGTAAAACGCAATTAGAAATTTAGAAATTCGAATCTGATTCTTCGTCTTGAATTGTTAGGAAATATTTTAAAAAGTTAACAACCGAAAAACAAAACGTATTTTCACGAAGAAAATTTATAACAGAATTGTGAAATGATCACTGATTTCATTTCATTTAAATCATTTAAGTCCAATTCGAGTCAATAGAAAATTTGAAAAATTTCAAGTGATGATGACGTAAAATAATTCCATAATTCCTTCAAATATTTTGGCACAAAGGCAAAAATTACCTTAAAGTCCTGAGTCTTGGATAATCCATTAGTGGCAACATGCCTGGTATAATATCGATCATTAAATCCATTCGCTCCGGCATATCTAGAGTCGACATATGACAACCTGGAATCAGGTTTAGGTGATGGTTGCATAAGCATTCCCTCATCGTACATAGCAGAAGCCGGTAGTGTCCCCAACGGTTGCTTCATCATATAATCATCCCGGTAAAGATCGGAATTATCCTTGAACTCGAAATTCTCTTCAGGCTGTGCTGCACCACCTGAGCCTTGGGCAAATGAAGTAAGACCTACTGAGCGTTAATTACAATAATACACTTCCTTGAGGACAGCAAACCGGTAAAGGAATACTCACCTTTTCCAACAATTTTACCGATACTCCCGATGATACTTGGAAGGAAGAGGGCGACCAACATTGTTTTAATTATTTGTACACCGATGAACAACGGTATCATGAGTTTCTTCAGGCCGAATGCTAAAAAACCAAGTCCGAAGCCAGTTAAAAAGGGATTCTGTCCATTAGCTGTAGCTGAAAGCAAAAGGGTACCAGGCGCGAATTAAAGCAGATGGTTAGCCCAAGCGAATGCAGAAATCGGCTAGTTAATATCCATTGTATCGGCTACGGTCGTCCCCAAGGCTTCACCGGATCACCTATCTAGAAGAAAGCTCAAGAAAAGAGAAGATATTTCATGCGTTTTCATTCAGCACCGATTTGAGTCTTTCAAATGCCCTCTGTAATGCATCGGCAATTAGTTTCAATTCTACTTTGTGAATTCAAGCATCTCATGCAAAATATCTGAAAAGGCAAATCTCAAAATCAACTCAGTGTAACTCGCTAGACTGAAAAAGAAAAGGCTGATAACAGGCACAGGCTGCAAACCGTGCATTAATTTTGGAAGAAAGCATCCGCTCGAGCATCAGAGCATCATCCCCAAGCAATCATTTACCTCCGAAGAACATTCTGCTCTCTGCCGTGGGCATTAAGTCCTTATCAAGGTTGATCCTCATCACATGGCTCTTGGCGTACCTGTGAACCTTCTCCAACAGGCCCTCGTTCTCGTAAACAGGTGTCGTCACATCAGTTCTCACCACCTGAATGGCCTCAGTGACATTCACTGTAGTTCTCGCTGACATATCGTCAATCAGAGATGACAACTTTCTTTCGAGGCAATCTATCGATATCGAGTTTTGGCACTTGCTCCTTCGTTTGACAGAACTGTCCACCTGCGTTTCCATTTCGGATATCTTTTTGGAGTCCATGTAGATCATCTCTGAGACATCCAAATCGAGTTTAGAAGGCTTGTCTTGGATGCTGTGAGGGTGAGGTGTCGAATCCCTCTCGTCGTTAATCACTTCGTTGTTTAGGGGCACTTCATTGCTCTCAGTTTCATTCAACAACGTACGCTCTTTCCTGATACCCTCGACTCCGGACAAGGACCACACAATTGTCATGAGCACTAGACAATAGCTAGCGTGCACACTCAGCTGTCCCATTATCATTGTTACTAATTTTCTTCGCTTTCGTTGGAATTTTCCAATTATTAACTCATTCGTGGATTCAACTATTTTCAATCACTCGTCGGGATCATACTGACGATCGCTCTGCGTCACCTGCATTGTTTAAAAAAAATTCAGTTAACATATCAGTTTGAGGTGAATGAGATTAAATTTGAAGTAAAGAAAAAAATCATCACAAGTCTCAGAGGCAACTTAATTATCCTAATTAATTCTCTTGTCACTCTGCGTTGACAGGAAAACCTGGACCCAATTATCAGATAACTATTGAGTATAGTATAATTTTTTTATTTAAATAACCACGAGAAAATCCACATATTTCTAATGTAATTGTTTATATTAATTTACATGCAGCAGGTAAAATTAGGTGGTACAAGTAATTTTCTTAATTAATTCCGTTAACGATTGCGAAATTTCCTGGAGTTCCAGAGAAATTCTTGATGATAAAAATTTTCAAGACGTCTATTGAGAATATAATCCCAAAATTTCCAAAATTGGAAAGTTGTTGTGATGATAATTTCGACGTGCACTGAACACTGCGGATATGAATATTTATATCAGAAGTGTTGAAGTGAGTCTCGAATGAATAGAACAGCCGGCTCCATCGGCATTTACTCACTCAGCCACAGCAAAACTAATGGTAATTAATCCTTTCATTTAGGGAGAATGTTTCCAGGAGGAACGTATCGATTATCAGTTAAAAAAATCGGGTTAACGATTACCGTAACGAATTACCGAAATTACCCTACATTTGTAATTTCATTTGAACGAAAAACCGGACCTTGCTAATTCATGAGTTTGAATCGCGATCGTGGAAATATAATCCCGGGTCATTCACCGCAGCCTCAAGGACACTTGCTGGATAAAAAAATGAATTACTTACGATCGTACTGATAGTATTCCTCTCATAAATCCAACAGAAGAGATCCTCCGTAAGAGTAAGTAATAAGTAAATGTAGAGAAGAATCTCCGGAGACTTTGTTTTTGGTAATGGTGGGATTATGATTTTTTATTTAACAATTAAACGGAAAACCGTGGGAGCGGTTTTGAGGCACGTACGAAGGCCGGCACAGTACTGGCGAGCGTTGCTGGAGGAATCGGTTGAAGCAAACCGATCTGGGTTACCCGGCCATCCGTCTGTACGTCCTCTGCTCCACGTTCATTCGGTATGCCTTCCCCAAAGCCTTCCTTCCTTTTCCCTCACTCAACATCAAGAACACCAACAATTTATCCCACCTCGCTTCGCCGTTCATTCTACACATCACCGAACATTCTCGTTTTACAATTCCTATTTTTTATCATTATAATATCGTCCACCAAAATTTACCATCTTCGATAACACTTTGCAATCTCCAGTGAAGTGGTAACGGCTTTTTGCTAACATCCCCGAAGGGAACAGGAATTCATATCTTTTTAAAGATCTTCCAATGCAATTATTGTATTTACTTGCAGCAAGTAAATTAAGTGGGAATACATTATTTTTTTCTCAGTCCATATATATTTTTGATGGAATGAATTCCGTAGGGAAATTTACTGCGAGAGAATTACGTCAATTACTAATTTCAAATTTATTGCATGAAGGAGACAATAAAATTTGTTGTTAATACTGAAAGATGTGATTAAAGCAGAGATTATTGTTTACGTTCGCGATTTATCCGCTATTTATCATGGAGGATGAGTTAAAGTTCAAGAAAATCATCGGTTTGAGCGCGACAATTTTTTTTTCCGTTGTTTACAAGAAATTAATGAGGAACAATGACAACAGATGTTCTTAAAACCCGTGGTCATTATTGAATAATCAATGCATTCCGTAAATGGACTGTCTTTTTAAAGGAGTTATTACCGATATCCTCTCTTTTTCCAGTTTTTTACAAATTATTTCTACGTTTTTTTCCTGCGTTCTAGTAAACGTTTGCAATAATTCCCAAACCTTTATAAAAAATGTAGGAAAATATACGCACGACGATAAAAATTCGTGACTCATTGAATAATGGTAAAAGCGATATATTTTTCACGTCAATCCGATTGCCGGTTCTCAATATATTAATTAAATTAATAGGAAAAATGAGGAATTATCGGCAATAACTCCTTAAGTATTGCATAAATGGGGTGAAGTCCCTAATCACTAAAACCTCCTTACAACACACCAACAACCTGCGACAATAATCAAGTACTGTTTTTCCGATGAATAAGGTTTTTCGATGTGAAAAAAAAATACGTCGTACACACGATCGGAGGAGCAATGGACGCGTGACGCACACTTGTCGCAGGCGATCGCACCCATCGCGATATAGTCATATAGACCTGATACCCGTTACATTAATGCGACTTATTTTTATTTTTATTTTTTCTATTCAACATTTTTTCTTCGTTTTTCCCTCTAGCCGTAACGCACTGTCTCGTAACGGTCGAATCGTGCAAGTTCAGGAAGTTGTATCATTATTTCGATTCGACTACTTTATTCCCATTCACCATGTGATTCCAGGGATTTGGGGATGTGATTACCGGTCAAATATAACAAATTTTTTTCAAGGCCCTCGTTAAATGTAACGGGGGGATCGGCGATGCGTAATAAATTCAGTTTAAGGCAGTAAACCTACTTGATTAATTTAATCTTTTGATAGATTCGCACCAAGTTAATAATACCAGTAAAAAAATCCATAAATATATTATTCAAAACATAATTATATAGATTTAAAACCCAAAAATGAATTGTTCAATTATAAAAATAATTGTTTAAAAATATTTTCGTAATCTCAATATCTGAAATAAATAACTAGTTGTTTTACACAAATTTGTTTAATGCAGTATTTAGCACTGATTGCATACGTATTCGCGACTAATAGTTAATTTAATTTGTTAATTTAAAAATATATTCTTTTGATTCACTGAGTGTTTTCTCAGTGTGGACGGGCCATGGAAATCGATAATTTTTACTTTATTTTTTTTTTTGGTTTGGGTCGAGGTGGGTGAATGCGGAGAACGAAATTGTATGGCGCAGGTCCAAATCTGTCAGTGGGTCAGTCGCACGAGGCCATTGGACTCTCTGCCTATGTCCACCAATGCAAACGACCTTGAGGAGAGGATCGTCCCGGAAATTGGGTCGCTCGTGTCCTTGGTTTCGAAGGGTTCAATGAGTTGGAGGCAAATATCACCGGGGAACATGTAGAGCAGGAGCTGGAATTCGAGGCGGATGTTGATGGGAGCTAGGTCAAGTGACGTAGGTATTCTGTTATGTTTGCTAGGACTTTCGTTTTGAATTTCGTCGGTTCCGTCTCCTCAAGAAATTTTAAAATTTAATTATACTCTAATGATAATAATTCACATGGTGTCATTTAAAAATAAAAGAAATCATTTTGTGATGAAAAGAACCGCCCAATATATCTCAAATCCCAAAATGTATTTTAATGAAACAGTTCAACTTTTTGAATGAGTTTTTCATGCGTCAGCCGTTTCCGGTTGATAGTCGGTCAAAAAACGAGTGAAAGACCATTTTCACAGTAATTATTCGTCTCATTATCGGCAATTTGAAGAAAATATCAGACATTACAACATTTTAAGTATCTTTATTAAATTCTTATCTACATGAAAGATCATTCGAAGAACATATTACCCTGTTTAACTATTGAAACGAACATAAAAATAATCCTTAATCTGATTTCTTAATTAGTAGCTTCAGAATTCACTCCATTCTAGGACCAGTGAATGTAAATATAATTTCCCTAATTTCCCCCATGACAGGTGAAGGCTATTGAGTTCATTCAATTCGATTCATTCGTTGATCACTCGTTCTTACAACAAAATTCCAAAATTGATAACGCCTTGCACGTGCATTTTTATTTATAAATCCCCTCGGAGGAAAATCCATATTTCATGGGCCACATCAATTAATTTTGAGACACATGTCTCAAGTGTAAATTTCTCGCATAAAAATACATGAAACATATATTTTTACACGACAATGAGCCAATTGCGATTTCAAAGATACTTTTTTCGTAAGGAGGGTTGCAAAGTAAATCAGACTTATGTCTCCTGGTTATCATCGCTGTCTGTAGTAGGCAGGTGCATAAGCTGGTGATGGATATCCCGGATATGGATATCCCACGTTCAAGTCGTTCCTGTGAGCCCAACCAGATTCATCATGTCCGAAACCTTAAAAATCCACTCTAAATTAGCCTTCTCTCTCTGTACAGTACGAAAAATATTAATTACCTGTTGGATAATCCACTGGGGCCTCGGCCGCGGCATTCGCCCAGACGTGGTACGACGTCGGTGGATGCTGAGCGACTTTGCAGATTTTCAGCCTGGAGAGGATCCCAGGAACGAACAGTCCCCCAATCACTATCAGTTTCTTTATCATGTGAACGCCAAAAGCTATCGGAATCAGCATCATCTTGAGTTTCATGAGATTCAAGAGAATCAAAATCGGCAGAATTATCGACTTCTTCTTCTTGAAGAGTCTCGAGCTCTCTAAAATACAAATATAACAAATAAAAAACAATAAACATATGCCAACAAATTGCCAGAATGAACTCTTTTTGATTGCATAATATATCAATTAGCATAATTAAGCTGTAAATCATGAAGAATTATTTAATTAGACACAACAAATGAAATTTTTGATAATTACGAATTCATAGTTTTTTTGTTGAATTTTGAAGATTAACCTTTTCGAGAGATTTGACTTTATATTTAGTGAAACCCAATAATTTGAGGATTCTGATGCAATGGTTACTGGAACTTCAATAATTTTTTTTATATGAATGATGGCGTGTTTTGTACTGCACTTGACCCTCAACTGGAAAACTATTATCACGTGTTACACTGGCTATGCGAAACCTCTAGTGTCGCAGTTTTTTCCTAGATTCCACGGGAGAAAGGCTATTTGGTTCCTACATTTACAGACGCCAGGTAAAAAAGATCGTGATGCATGAGTGGAGTTGGATTTTTCAGGTGAAAAATTGTTTGGGTCTTCGATAAGTAAATAGGGGACTCTTGAGAGGAATTATCTTGAGTCAAGATAATTGCAACAAATACCGGTCAATAAAAAAGAATTAATGACAAATCTTCGCGGCTAATAGCTGATGTTTGAGGAAAAAATTAAGTAATGATGTAATTAATGAGTGGAGTTCTCCCTCTGGACTGACATTCCCTAGTTTATTCGTTGCACTAATAGGAAAACGAGTCTGAATAATTTGAAATGAATATTCTGATTTATTTGTAGGATGTTTGGGGTTTTGGCTTTTCAAGATTTGCATGGCAAATCCAAAAACCAAACATTTTGGATACCTGGTTGCCCCCTCTGGAGACTAACCATCTCGTCCTCATCCATGATGAGCGGTCCATTGGCAAAACCTCTCGAGTTTTCTGGTGGTGGTTGAAACGTGTAAACAATCGCTCTTCTAGTCACGAGATCCTCAGCGATATGTTTTATGAAACTCAGAGTCTCAGCAATTCCGAATCTGAGATCCCTGGGCTTCGGAAAGTCCGGCAGGACAGAATCCCTCGTCACCGCTGGTATTCGTATCACCTTGAACGGTCCAAAGCTCAACTCCTGGAGGAAAGAGAAACTTCAAAAAGGATCGTGAAAAAATTACGCTCTAACTAGGAAAGAGAAACGAGAAAAATCTTACAGGAAGAATCACTTTTATTCCGGAATGTCATCAATTTTTTGATTACATTTTTCTACCAATAATTTTGATTATTTTACAGCTTTATTCGAAGTTCAAGGAATTTTGGAATTCAAGATTCAAAGTCCCATGCAAAAGCCCATGGGAATTGTAAATTAACGATGAGTTTAATTATCTAATTAATAATTATATAATTTACTGCGGAATTTTCATGTAAACTTCGAGACTCGTGATTTCTTCCCTAAAAAGTCGAGTTGAATGCCAATCTTTTAACAATAACTTGCTGAAGACTCCGTAGAATTGTGATATTTTTCCAACAGGATTGAGAAAGGGAAATGAAAATTCCTCGGTGTAGAAAATAAAAGAATGCACAACAAAAAACCGCGGGACAATTACCTTTTCCCGAACGACTTCGTGAAGCCACCTGACCACCCGGTACTTGCCACAAACCACAACATCTCTCTTGATGATACAATCTCGTCTGCATCGGTCAACAAAATCCCTAGGTGTTGTGTCATTGGCAAATTTTCCCTCAGTGGGTCTAGTGCACAGAATAAAAAAAATCACGCATTTCAGAATATTCCCCACCACATCATCACTTCTAACAAAATCACGATTGTTCCTCCTTGTGGATTGGCAATTCCTCGTCATCTCCAATGAGCCCAGTCCCCAAAAGGTGAACGATTTCAAAACAAAAAATTATGACAGACTCCAAGTGTCATAATCCTCTAATCCACAACTGTAATTATGGACTCATTGCGTGGAGCTAATTGAAGTATCGATTCCTTCCGGTTCTTCGTCACCTGAAGGATACAAAAGTCAGCCCAATCTGATTACGGATAATTAACCCGACAATTGGATGTGATGTAATTGCTTGAGGAAATGGAGATGAGATGAATGCGGATGATGGTAAATTCACAAGCTCACTAGTCGTTGTTAGAAGATATCCTGTCCATATATACCATCGGCATATAGGTCGGTGGGGGTAACGGTTCGCGTTGCTTAGATCGTGTCCTGCAGAAAACACGAACAAGAATGCCTGATGCACTCCAGCAGCCAACTGCTCAGAAAGTATCGTTGAATCTACTATATATTATCCGTTCATTTATGTCCTCTCGCAAATTCAATCCATCAGTCGTGATAAAACACCAATTTTATATCCTTCATTCAGCAAAACTACTTAATGAGTGGACACCGAGATCTCATTTACAACAAAAGCTCATTCAATTGATATGTCTTCACAAACGACAAATTAAACTTATCAGTGGTAATAAAAATTGTAGTTTATTTTATTTCAATCATGGAAATATTGACAGAAAATTACTGGCTAAATAATAGACAAAAAATCGAGAAGTCAATCCATCGGTGGTGATAAAAGTTCAGTTTTATATCTTCCATTCAGTAAAACTACTTAATAAGTGGACACTGAGATCTCATTTACAATAAAACTTTATTGAATTAACTCTCAGTTGTTCGTAGAACTGAATAAAAGTTATCAATAGTCATAAAAATTTTATTGTACGTCTTCCACAAATTCAAAAATTGGCAGAAAAACATAGACTGAATAATACATATAATATATAATAGCAATAAATAACGGAATTAACACGTTACAATGAAATTGGATTATTATTTTTATTTTCATAAACCGATTCCTAGTATAAATACCAACGACTGACTACAGTCTTCTTTTTTTTTTTACCAATAGCTGTAGTAATTCATTGCTAATAAATGTTCTATACGTGCGTTGAATCTCGAGGGGATTGTTGAATTTTTTGTATTCAATATCCGGGTCAATAGAATGAACCACGAATCCTCATTCTACCAACATTACTAATGCGTCGGTGTTGTCGGTTACAAGAAAAGGGGACACTGCAACCTTTAAGTGGAAAGAAAAATCCAGGAATTGCGATAAGGCTCTTCCATCCAGTGATGATACGGCTATGAGATTCGGAAAATTAATTAAGCGAATTTTATTGTCGTGGGTCAGGATTTAAATAGCAATGGCAGGGGCATTCTCCTGGCTAGACCGGTTTCGTAAACAAATGGGGCTTATGTCATTCAGAGCTGCTCCATGGCAGAATTTATTTTCTATTCCTGAAGAGGAAAGGCAATTGTCCAGTTAATTGTTCAGCACGTACATCGAATCATGGACTCGGTTTCTTTAATTGAGAGCCATCTGAGATTTTTATTTTATTTTTAGTCGTCATTACGAAAAAAACCTGATTAATTGGTGTGCCGATGTCTTTTCATTTTTTATATATTTTTTTTGTAAATCTCTGGGAAACATCGGATTAGATGGACATGAAAAAATATACGGTTTTTAGGTTTTATTATTAGAATTTAAGTGAACTCTATCGGAGTTTTTCGCCGACTCTATTCAAATACTCGATAGAAAATGCGCATGAAAATCACATGAAGAACGCCACATCACCGCAAATTAATATCAACAAAGCGGTATTTGTCAGTATAAAAATGTCAACCCAATGACATAATGACCGTTTGAGATTCTGGATTCTCACGCTCATGAAAAAACTTCCATAAAAAAAATCAGCGGCTCCTAAAAATGAGACTAACTGTAATGACAATTACAAGAAAATCCAAATCCCAAAAAAAAAAAACAAAAATACGTAACGTATATGTTTTGTATTTATATTTTGTTATAAATTATGAAAAATAAACGGGATTAGCCGTTATATATATATCTTTAATTTATATCGTTTTTAATGGGAATCGAGACGATGAGGAAGAAGTAGTAGAACCTTGTCTTCTCGAAGCATGAAGTTTGCGATGCATTTATCTAGAAAAGCGGGAAATTTGTTAGAGTCAATGATCAAGTTGCCCAGAGGATGAGGATGTTGAGCAGTTGCGACCAGTTGTACATTAATTCTCGTTTTCCTTTTTTATTTCTTCTGTGTCGTCTCCGCAACTTCTCCACTTCTTCGTGACACAGTTTGTTAACACGGGAATATTAATCGATGATTCCATCGTACGTGATCCCGATACCTCAATACCTATGGCAATGCACTTTAAATAACCGGAAGTTTTTCTTATGCGTTAATCGACAAGTTTTTTTCAGATTCTTACGCGATTGCTCCAGAAAGCCCGATGGATTAAAAAAATACAAACAATTAATCACATACGGGGATGATTTATCTTTCACCGGCAATCGAGTCTTGAGTCAAAGGTTGCATAACAGAATACCAGACAAACGTTAGATAATTTTTTATCGATAAGCTCACTAGCGAAATAATTTATCCATCGGGAAATTGTGTCAGCAGGTGCGGCACAAAAGTACATCCAATAAAATGCATACGATTGCATCCTTTGAGTGCATACAAGTCACCTTGAACTTGAATAAACAAGAGTGAAATAAAACTAGTTACATTCAGCGGCTGATGATTCCAATGTGTTCACCTCGTTCCTTTAATTATTATTTTCGAATCTGTCTCAAAAAGGGGGTAATTGAGTTCATAATTGAACGGATAAATATGTGCAGAGATAATTCAGTGAAATTATTTATAGTTTCATCGTAAAACCTTATTTTATTAAAATATCATAAATTTGAGGTGTCGGGAATCTTATTGAAAAATCTTGAGAAAATTAGAAAAACATGTTTTTAAAATTCGTTTGTGAGTTGCTCTTACTCAGGATTGGCAATAATTCCTTTAGGTTTTTCCTCCTCCCAGACATTCTCGGCGGGAGTTTCAACTTGTGGCGCCATAAGTGGGTCAGTCAGGGCCTCATTTATGATCAATGCTAAATGGATAAGTGAAGAGTGAGATGAAAATCACCATTGCGGTCTGGCTGACAAGCATTTAGCATATCAGCTTGATCATTACTCGCTATGAATATCCCTAATATTCCGGGATTAAATTCCTGGGAGAATTTTCAGGTGTTTGCAGAATTGCTGGATTAACGATTGGTGACTTTGAAAGCCACAATGTTGATAGACCGCCATTACTGACGAATTTAAATTCCTAATCATATCTTAAGTAACGGACATTTCGGATTTCGTCTGGGAAATTGATTTGGAACGTGTGAATAATTGCGTTAGAATGTTCTCAGACGTGACGGGAAAATTGCATGATCCTGACGAAGAGACTCCTAGTGAAAACCAGAATCGACTTCTATGGCCAATAATAATAATATTTAATTGATGTCTTCGATTTCAGCTTCAGGGAATTGTTGCGGTTTCAAGTCGCACATACGCACGCGATTTGTTCATCGAGATGAATAAATAAATGAAAGGCTTTAATTGCGTTAAAAAATTAGAACTGTAAATAACTAGAAGGCAGAACCAACGAATTATATTTTTCTTCATTGCATCCTGATCTTTTTATGAATTTAAAACGCTCCAAGGATTTACAATTTTCTCAACTCGAAGGAAACGGAAATAATAGCGAGAGAAAAAAACTTGATTTATGATTGATTTCTTCGATTCCTGGTGAAGAAAGTATTACAAGTTCAGGGGTATCAAGAGACCGCATTCCAAAGTTGTCATCAACGTTAGGATATTTATTTCATTGCCGCCGATTTTCCCCAGGAATTTAACACTTCGTTAGTTGCACCTTCGGCAATAAATGCGCTCTATCAAATTTTTTCGAGAAACCATTTTCAGAAAAAATGTTCCTCAAATATAATCAAAGCCAAACGATGTGTAATAGTAATATAACTACTTGACTAAAAAGAGAATCCTTATCGGAGGCTGCGATCGCACCAACAAATTATAACTACAATTGACTAACTGCAAAAATATCGGCCTTGAAAAAATGCATTTGTCCTATTTTTCCACTTCACAACAGAATTATCAGATTGCCGACTAAAAATTGTGTAATCTGAATCAATTGATTGTAAAATTCGATTGAACAAGAAAATCTCCATCAATGGACGAAAACTGGTGGATATCCAGGTAAAATATCCGGTAAATATAATACATCGATAAATTTCCGAGTTATCAATTTTTTTTTGAATTTAGAAAGCCCCATCTTGTGGCTATATCGAAAAGCATATGAAATATCTGAGCGCCCCGGCGCTACCAGGAATTGAAGCAAAATCGAGAAAAGTGCGCACGCACCAAAGCCAATCTCGAGGGATCAATGTAAAACGTACATGAGCTTATGTATGTGTTAGACGGGTTTCGCACATTAATACATTGACTGGAGTGTGATTATAACTTTCCTCTACTTGGAGTTGGGTGGGAGACAGTACACAAGACATTGAGCGCGCGTAAGTGTTTACGGGCCGGTGTCAGTGGAATATAAAATAAAAAAAAACATTTTATAACGATTTACAATTTTTTGGCATATACTGGTGCGTATTGGGGTGTAATTTTCTGGTGGAATTGACTGGTAGTCTACGAAAAAAGGGACAGGGATAACGATGTCCATTTCGAAAGATGGAAGGATTGACATTGACAAGCCCAGATGGGACCAGACTACTTACCTTGGACGAGCCAAACACTTTCTTAATCTCACTAACCCATTGAATGTATTCGCCAGTGAAGAGGAACTACAGCGTTCCCATGACATCGTCTCCAAGTACAGGTAATTATTGAGAGAATGGATCTCGTTAGGGGTGACCGGTGTCTAAGGGGAGTAGCGAAATATTCGGGGAGACATTTTCTGCGTTCAATTTTTATTTTTATTCGGGCCCATGGTCCTTCAGCTAGTTTCACACGAGGTTTTAAATTCATATGGAATGGGTTTGGTGAACGAAGTTCTAAATTGTATGGGTGTACTGCGTTTTTTATTTTTAAATAATCTGTTTTGAAAATTCAGGAGCACCGCCTCGTTTTCGTTAGCCGAAAGTGGAAGCGGTGGGACAGTTTTCCCGTTAAAGTTTCTGGTTTTGTTTTTTTAACGTCGCCCGGATAAAAAGTTCATTGAATGACCCCGGGAATTTATTCTGCTCAATTTAAAATACTATATTATTGAGAGTTCAGAGGAGCAATCGATCCGGCGAGTGAACGGCCTCGATATTACGAAATTCTGAGAGATGACGTGACGCAGTTTCGTGGTTGCGAAGTGGAAAAGAGGGATGGGTTTTTTGGAAATATCTCTGAAATTAATGATGATAGCAAAATTTTTGTAATAACCTTTTTTGTAGCTACTGGTCATCTCGACAAAAAAGGTTCCAATGAAAAAAATGTTATCTCCCTTTTTGTTGGAGATATTAGCAAAAAGCTCTGGGGAGAACTCAAATCTAAGGACTTCGTGGGAAAAATCGTTACGATTATGTAAGAGGAATTGAAGTTGTGAAATTTATTTGCAGGAAGGGCGAGACCTTGGAGCACTTGAAGATAAGTGAAGATGATTTGTGGAGGAATAAATATCTGTATGATAGTGCATACCATCCGGACACAGGTGAGAAAATGCTCATCATCGGGCGGATGAGCGCGCAGGTGCCCATGAACATGATCATCACTGGAGCTATGATGACGTTTTACAAGTACGTATTCCTACGGTCTGACAAATAGATAGTTGGGTGTCACTCCTGGCGTACTTTAATTTGCTTACGGCAATTGATGAGTTCGTGAGGAGATAAAGTTTGACCGCAATTCGTGACCCTAGCTTGCTCTTGTGGTCTTGAAATATATGAAAATTTTGTCGCTCCACTTTAAATTCCTCGGCAACGCATTCAGCGGACTTTTCTTTTAGAGAAAACTATTTGGTTTGAAATGAGAAAATGATTTTTTCTCATTATCTCTTCCACTTGCTGCTCTCAGTTTTTTTTTGTATAAATATGAAATTTTCACATGGACGTCACAAATTTTCGGTAAACACGTAAGAATTTCTCTAAACAACATTCATCTGCGCAATTTTCTACAAATAAATTGTTTATTTCCGCTTGAACCAGCATTTCGGTTCCTGTGATTCATCACTTTCATTTAGTCTTTGTCGTCAGGCAAAAATAGAAACAAGATTAATAGAGACGATTGAACAGAGACTTGTGCCCCGATTTAGCGTGTTCCATAATTTAAATATTTATAATGCATTTATCGTCGTTTTTCAAAGAGATGTAGTTCAGATAATTATAAATTTAAATAGACCCAATGCCATATCCCCTTTCCTTTTGCAAATGCAAACATCAAATATTACGTTAAAATATCTGTACGCGTAGAGTATATTTCAAGATTATTTAAAATGTACAAAAAATAGGAAAAAAACAATGCTCCATTGTTTTGTTAAGTTCTATTATTTACTCATAAAAAAAAAATGTTTTTATAATATTTGAGGAAATTTTCGATTTGTCATAATGTAATTCCGTTGGAAAATTGTACAGCTAAAAAATATAATTGAACCCGAGCCGAAGTTCTGGCTATATTAAAAGCTAACTCTCAACTTTAGGTCAACGCCGGCGGTAGTATTTTGGCAATGGTGTAACCAGTCGTTCAATGCAATCGTCAATTATACAAATCGCAGTGGCTCGAGTCCAATTCCAACGGAGACTCTCGTGAAGAGCTACATCGGGGCAGTCACGGGTGCTGTAACAACAGCATTAACATTAAATCGTCTTGCTGCAAGAGGACCACCGTTAGCCGGTCGTCTGGTGCCCCTTGCCGCTGTGGCAGCTGCCAATTGTGTTAACATTCCATTAATGAGAATTACAGAATTGAAGGATGGAATTGATCTTTATAATGAGAAGGGAGAGAAGGTTGGCAACAGTCCCAAAGCGGCCAGAGAGGCAATAGCCTCTGTTACCGTCTCCAGAATCCTCATGGCCTCTCCCAGTATGAGTAAGTAGTATAATCAAATTATTATTAATGCTCTCAGGCTCGGTGAAATCCCGGTTTAGCAGAGTCGCAGATATTTCATGGACTCCTGCGCTATCGTACTCCAAATATGCTCATGGACTGATAAGATAATTACGAATCTCTTTCGTCATTTATTATTTCGTCATAGCTCAACATTATTTCAGAGTGAAACACCGAGAAAACAGTCATAAACACGTGCCTTCATATCAACAATTAAATAATAAATTCGGAATAACTCTCATGAGTCGTTTCTCATTTCAGTTTTATCTCCCATATTAATGACATCCCTGGAGCGTCGGAATCTCCTGGCAAACGCAAAATGGGCAGCAATGCCAATTCAACTGGCGGTCTGTGGAGTTTGCCTGACATTTGCAACACCCCTGTGTTGTGCTTTATTCGCCCAACAGGTACCAATCTCCATAGACCGCCTTGAGCCCGAAGTGAAAGAGCAAATTCTCTCTCGTCATCCCAAAGCCAACACTCTCATCTACAACAAAGGCCTATAAAACGATTTTATTATTGAAAAAAATGCATTTATATGTACTCAAACAGGCACTGCCTCACTGTTGACTCATGAATCCGCCCACCAGTCCAATTATTTTTGCCATCTTTGTGGTGCGGATGCATAAACAAGAACGAAACATTTAGATGAATTATCAGATTTGTGAATGTTGTTGGGTAAGAAGATACTTCTAGGTTTGATTGAGTGCAGTTTAATCTCAATTGTGAATCTCTTTGGAATTATATTTGGGCATCAGTGTAATGACGTATGATCTGGTGTGGTTGACCCGTATGACAACGCTACAAGACACCCACATGACTTGGGTAGAAACACAGACAATAACAATAAGTAAATAAAAAATATCGTTATGAATCAAGATGAATTTTGTTATTCAAGTGAACCTCTATCCCCATTTTTTCAGTGTAGAACAGTTAGTCTTAGAGGTACCTGAGGAGACGGAAACCTCAATAATTTATAGCTGAATGTTATGGAACCTCTGGGAATAATAAACCAACGAATCTCACAGTCCTTTTTATGAAGGAAGTAGATTTATCTGATGGGTCTCTTAATGATAGACTACATTTTGTATGCAAGTCGTCGGTTTTGCCATATCACTGGTTGCTGTAACTATAAATTATGGAGATACATTGGTAGAATATTCTATGATTCTCCTTATGCGGAGTAAAAATGTAAGGTAAATATCCATAAAGAGAGGAGAGGAGAGGAGAGGCGCACACTGGCCGTTCATGGTGAAATGTTTGTCATTAACAAATAAAAACGTCAAGAGTGTCAACGAAAAATCCTTTACTCAAATGATCTTAACAAATCTTCCCAGATTCTTCCATTGCTTTTAAATTACCACGGTCTGAGCTCTTCCTTATAGATCTTAATTGGCACCGAGGGTTTCCTGATGCAATCCAGATTAGTATTGAAAGCGGAATGAGTGAGGCGTTCTTCTTTAACGAAGACTATCTGGCCATCAGGGTCGTAGTATTTAATGGGACGAGGTGGTTTTATTTTCCTACCGAAACGACCAGTTTTCCTCTGCCAGAGACCACTCCTGGGTCGATTTCCCAGTTCTCTGTTCTTCTGGGCACTGCCAATGGGCGTTTCCCCATGGAGAATATTAGACACTCGTCCCACACAAGCGAGACATGTGTGGAAAAGACTGACAAGTCTCTTGCTGGGCAGCTGAACAATTACACGATCATGGCCATCCTTTCGGATGATCGTGCCTGAGGTACCAGCAGCGTTGATCAAGGTTCCCCCCTTTTCTGGGTACTTCTCAATGTTATAAACATTGGTGCCTACTGAAAGCGCCCCCAGGGGATAAGCATCACCCTCGAATGCTCGCACTGGTATTCGTGGAATTGCCCGAGATGTCTTGATTATCTGGCCTGGCTTCATATTCTCAGAGGCCAGGTAATACTTTATCTCCGAACCATGACCCACTAGGGCTATGTTAGCTGTCCTGCACCCGTCCTCCAATATTTCCAGGACTCGTTCTTCCTTTGGGGGGACATTTATGTCAGTTGGACCATCACGCTTCCATTGTATCCAGTGGTATTTGTGCTTTATTCCACCACCAATACCCTTTGCCACGACTCTACCTGGTTCATAAAATGTAGTTGTATATTCACTGTGTTCGCAAATAATTCATAAATTATCGTGAAAATCCATGTCATTCATTCGCCGGATGTCTGCGTAACGATTTATGTCGTGGAATCGAGAATATTGACAAATAAAGATTTACCAGTGATGGGGTCCCTCCCGGCGAGATTCGTAACCTCCAAGGGCTCCACTGTGTATTCATCTTTGAAATGAACGAATCTGCGATATGCTTTTCCATTAATCCCTGGTTTTGGTTTTTCAATAAGTCTCCAGGACTTCGTCCCTCGAGACTGCTGTACTTGACAGATTGCTGGCGAATTCAAGAGAAATAAGTCCGAAAGGTTCTTGGTGAAGATATTACGCAGCACAGTGCACATCGCCATGTTTTTTCCGACTGGAAAAATTCCAATTCTGTCGGTAAAACAACAAATCTACAAGTGCTTTGAAAAAGAGTTCTTTTACTCATAACAGCCGTCCGCGCACAAGTAATTAAATTCAACTGTAATTATGATTTCCCAATTAAATGGATTTTTTAGTGAAAATTCTGAGTTTATTATCATAACCGCACAATACAGGGAGGTGAGGATATTTATTGTATAACGAAAATGTTTATAACATTTGGGAAAAAATACGAAATGAATACGTATTCTCGCTTCAATGATTGTTAATTAAGAATGAGATATCGAATGAATCCAATTGAACGCATGATCATTATATTTCAGAATACATGTCACTTACGTCTACAATCAACTATCATCCTCCTCACATTTGCAATTTTTCCAAAATTTCAAAGCTTCCAAAATGTATTCAATAATTTAAACGTTGCTCTTTAATAATTTAGTTTCGATTAATTAATGAATGAGTAGAATTGACAATTCCTTGGAATTGGTAGTGTGATGTCAAGTTTATCGATTGCACGAATAGAGTTTTAATCGAGTGAAATTATTGATTGACTATGGCAGGGGGTAAAATGAGAGTGAAACGATGATGATGAAAAATATTAAATCACTTAATGTGATATTATGTGCTTATGTGTCATGATTGACTAAAATTAATTCCCTCTGCAGATTTTCACAGCTTGCATTTACCATAACTGCCCTAAAACTTTACAATTTCGTAGTTTTTTTTTAAATAACGAAGAATGTACAATTACCTAAGCAAAATTCGTAAATCACCGTTTTTTCATCAACTTTGTGGAGAAATTATTGATTATTATAAAATTGATGAAAAAATTAAAAAATTGAAATTACCCTATATTTTTTTTACAAACTCCCTATTACTCATTTTGAATTATTCAATTGAATCTCTGGAATTTTCACTCATTGAATTCAGCCACAATGTTAAACACAGAAAAACCATTCAGATGTGACAGTAATTAGCAATGCATTGCTAGACAAATTGGCAATATTACGTTTTAATGAACTTCAATTGAATTTTTAAAAGTTCATCCCCTTTACAATCACCAGAATGATCATTCATACACAATAAGTACTCCAAGAACAAACATTTCACAGGATTTTTCGCAATTCATCTTTGTTTATCATTTTTGACTATAAATTAATTACATAAAAAATGTTTCTTTCTTATTTATGTTATAACTTACTATAATACATCTACTATCATTAAGTGCCAGCTCATCTCAAAATTCATCATCAATAATTTTTTTTTCTTATTTTCTATTCAATTATTCCCTTGAAATATCTAGTCCATTTATGTTATTACAATTCTGTGGCGTCACTGTTCTCAAGTCTTCTATGATTCTCGTCGTTTTATCAGTTTCAATTTTCTCATTCACCCTTCAACAGCAGCTGTAGGAAAATGGTCGGTCAACTTCTCACGTGTCATAGAGCGCAGAAGAATTTTCCAAAAATAAGTAAGTGAATCCTTTTTAATTAAGACAACTCAAATTGTCGTGCATCCATAGGATGCGTGAATACCCACTTTTTGCCTTTTATCTCTTTTTTTGCCTTATTTGTTACACTTTTTTTCATTAATCTTTTGGTGATGTAGGTTTTTAGCTCTTCTACTTCTCTTCCAACAGCTCTGGAGCAATTTGGTTGTGATGAATTCTATCTTCTTGCTGAGACGCTTCCAGTGCACACTTACAACTCGTATTGTTACAATCCTTTCATACGCATCCGTGAACACATTGAATTCACGCACTAACCATTTATCTGCGGAGAATAATCACAGAATAAATAACTTTCAATTGCGGTGTCAGTGAAGAAGTAAGACAAGAGCAACTCGTAATTTTAATTTTCATTGACTTACAGGTGTATCACAATAGAGGAATTTTTATTTTGATACGTCACTCGAACGCTGAAAAATCGATAAAACAAAATAATGAAAATTGGATAAGCCAAATATCCAACAGTCAAATCAATCGGAATACTCACGAGAAGGAGATCTGGTGTCGACTTGGCTGGGAACTGTCGTGGGTACAACCTGTGAATTTCCCTCAGTTCCCTTGGAGTCGTTGCAGTTGAGGAAATCCCATATGAGTATCGTGTCGTCGTGAGACGAAGAGACAATCTGAAACTCGTCGAACTGCAAGCGGAAGACCCGTCCAGTGTGCTCCTGATATTGAAGAAAAAGAGAATAAAAAATTAGAGGATAAGCATCACTGAAACTGAATTAGGAATTTTCCCGGATTTTTTTTACTGCCGAAAAAGAAAATTCACTGGGGAAAATTAAAGCCACATTCCATGATCTCTCTAAATAAATCAATCAAATTAGATATACAAAATCAAAACGAAATCTCCTATTGATCTTTCCCATTTCCCATTTCTGATTACTTAATGGTCTGCAGTAAAAATTGTGCAAGAACCAAAATGGCTTCATTTATTGGCTTCAGTAATTTTCACGTCGAAGAGGGGGAAATTCATTTATACAATTCAATATCTACCACCAGTGTTCGCAGGCAGAGAGTACTGGCAAGTGCTCGAGGATCCAGTGCTGCCACCAAGTCCCACACCTTAATTTTCCTGCAAGTCATCAATAAATCAATAACAATTCAAATAACTCCATTAAATCAGTAACAAAGTGGTAGAGAGAAAGAGTGAGATAATTCAAACTTTACAAATCCTTTAAATATCGATTGACCTGAAAAACTATGGATTTTAGGAAGAAATACCAAAAGATCTTTTTTTTTTAAAATTCCATGAACTGAAAAAAAGTTCTTTGGAGGTCTCTCCTCGAATCCGTAGATTTCGAGATAAATCGATAATTCATGAAAAATATAATATTTGATTTATCGCACTTTAGCACTGGACTCTTGCGAATAATTCGTAGTATATTCACGAGAATGATAGAATCAATGAAAACCGAAAATAATAAATAGTATAGCCCACCCATCGTAAGCCCCGCTAACAATGTGCTTCCTATCGAATCTGATACACCGTACAAGCTCCTCGTGTCCCTCGAGTACCCGTAAACACGCACCGCACTCAACGTCCCACAGTCTTATTGTATTATCGCTGCTACCACTAACCACCAAACGATCTCTGTATTGTAAACACGCAATACCACGTTTATGTCCATTTAGAGTTCGGACGAATTCACAGCTCGAGGTGTTCCATACTTTAATTGTTCTATCACCACTCGCTGATACGATGTATTTTTCATCGAAATCAACGACATTAACAGCAGCACGATGGCCAACTAGAACACGACGGAGGGCAATTTCGGTTTGTGAGGTCATATCCCAAACGGCTATTGAACGATCCTGCAAGCAAAATAAAAATACGTTATCCTGAGGCTGTCACATTTTCTTCCACTATTTTATCCAAATTAATTCACTTAATTGGTAATTTGGTAATCAAATTATCCGTCCAAACATTATTGTTAGTGGAATTATGCAAGTAGACTTGTTATTCAATTTCACATGTAATCAATTATTATTTTTATGTATAAAGAAAAATAAATACAAGTTCATGATTATTGCATTGCAAGGAAAACATAAAAATGAAGTTCAACTGTTGGGGATATATATCACAGTTTTCAACAGATTTAGGTTTCAAAACTTTTTTCAGTGCAATCAATCTCAAGTTCTACTTGATTGGGTTTTATGAAGGTCAGGTGCATGCACCATTACTTAAAATAATTGATTGAACCGTTTTTCGTACGGTTTCAATGCCCTTGAGCTCAATTTTTTATTCATCTGGAAATTTCCTATCATTCCCTCAGAGTTATCGTTCCTAATGGATGAAGGAATTGAAATTCATACTGATTTATCATTATCTGAGTTGGAGTTCTGGATTTATAGTCAGCACTTATTATGTCTCGCTTGAAAGTAATCGATTACTGCAAGTAAAAAAAAAATAATGACATACCTTGGAACACGTAACCATCATCCCATTGTTAAATCTGAGATGCAGTACTGCTTCACAATGGTGAATCAGTGTGTTAACCATTTCCCCAGTATTGGCATCCCAGACTCTAACAGTACTATCCGACGATCCAGATATAATGACCTTATCGTCGTACTGTAGACAGAGTACCGAGCCAGTGTGGCCCGTTAACACCTTGATACACTGCAATGAATTTCTGTCCCATATTTTGATGGTATTGTCCCTCAACCCAGACACGATCTTCTGATCGTCGTATTGGAGGCAGTAGACACCCTTTGAATTTTCACTACGACAGTTGATTTTCTGCAGCTTGTGATTACCCATTCGCCAATTGTTATCGATACTGTCGATGTCCTTCATTATTGTGGGAAAGAGATTTCTGTAGAAGGTGTGATTCGGATGATTCTCCCCTGGACGTGGCTTGAAGAGATACTGTATCCATCCTCTTCTCTCAGCGAGACCCCGCCAAACTGAATCCGTTCGCACTTTACGCTCGATCAATTTTTTCCACAGCATTCCCTCACTTATAACTCTGTACCATTCTTTGCAGACGAGCTCGGCTGAGTATAACGATTCGGCATCCAAGTACGAGAGAATACTCTCGGCTGCGTGATCCAAACCTTTTTCTGTGTCACCATGAATACAGTTAGCATTTTTTCTCGGGGAATAATACGAAAGAGAGAAAGCAACAGTATAACCCGTTCAAAGGGTATATGTACTCAAACAATTCATGGTTAGAATTTAATGCAACAAAGTATTCCCTTGCCAATTAAAACGAGCGTGAAATCATGAGTGCTTGTATACTTAAAACACGAATTTCATCGAAAGAACTGCCTCTTGAAAACATTTCGTTTTATCTTTGTAGAGCAAAGTGAAATCTCCGCGATATGTCTTCGTAAAAAGGTTGGGCCGTTTCCTCTACTTTTGAAGATAGTGATAAAAAATTAATTCAACTGAGTTCAATATCCCAGAATCCAAGAGAACTGATGAAATTCTTATGATTTTTTTTTCGTGGACCTCACTTTACACCTCAGAAGAAAGTTTCTTTCCATCATCTGAGTCTGAAAATTGGGAGAGACCTTGCTGTTTCCACTTGACTACTCAATTTCCCTTTGCAATGGGTTCATGTTGACAATCTCAGGCCTGAAGGGAGACGATTACTTTTTCACGGATAAGAACATTTACGAAGAAGAAAAACGTTTTAATTGAAAATTTCAACTACTTACAACATTCAATACTTGAAAAAAAAGAGAAACAAATAATCAATCTCTATAAATGCAACTCAACCGATTATAATTCTTTCGTGCAAGCTCTAGAGCTTTTATAAAGTGTATTTTTCCACATTTTCCTCAGAAAAAACCAATTAATTACAATAAAGTTTTCCCCCCAACCTCCCCTGCTTCTCAGACCGACTCTCCTAAAAACCCTCCACCCTCGAAAAGCCCTGAGACATTAATCAAAATCTGTCCCTGTAAATAGAAAATGAGCTCATCCCATTTTCCGAGACAGCCGAATACAAAATGGGATGAATAATTCAAGAAATAGGGTGTACATCACCCTACAAACTCACTGGGTAGCAAAGAGATGAAGTCCCTCTGAAGCATAGGCTTGAGGAAGGTGTTAATGTGTCCATGCTGATAATGACACATCTTGGCGAGGAGTTGCTCGACGAAATGCACTTGCTCGGGTTCGCTCCATCTCTCGAAGTACTTCATACACATTTCCCGCTCCTGTGTGTACTGAGTTGTAAGTGCAAGTGCCTGTGATGTTGCCTCTTTCTTCCGAACCCCCGTGTCATAGAGTATCGTCATTGGGTACTGGAAAAAAAAAATCAAGGCAGACGAAAAATGGTGAGTTGCCGAATATGAAAACTCCCACACCGTGTGACTCCCTTCACCGAAGGATGATACCAGCCACCGACAATAGTGCACTGAAGGTGGATAGCTTAGTGAAAGGCGAACAATTATTCTTGGGATCGTCCTTCTGGCCTCTTAGCAACACTCAATGACCGAGGCCTCTCATTTCAAAAGCAATAGAAGCCTAGAGTTCCCCGTCGAAGGCTACAACCGGAGTAGGGAGGGCCCGAACGACACAACTGGACGATACTGAACTGGCGGGGGGTTCTTGACCTCTCAGGTGAACCAACAAGAGACCAACAAACATCAAAACCTGTATATTCAGTTCATTTTTTTGATAACGATTTGCCTATATTCCGGCCTGTGAATAATTCTACTTCACCTAATCCTCAGTTTATTTCTTTGTAAATGTAATCATTCCAATAAGTCTTTACCAGTCATTACAATTTTTCGGAGAACCAACAAAAAATACCGCTGTACCCGGAGATAAATGGTCGATGCAACTGACTGCTAATACATTGAAAAAATATGAAGCATTTGAATCGTTTGTAGAAAGTGCAGAAAAAAACTAAATACCCTGCGCATATCATTCTGATCGATGAGTAATTTAATGAGTTTTAAGCAAAACTTTTTATGGAATCGTGAAAGAGTGACCATTGGATGCCAATGAATTATAGCTTGCGGTTATTTACTGTTGCCTGCAATTGAGAATCTCTTCGGATGAGAAAATGAATACTGTAGTTAAAAACTGGGTAATTGAAATTTCACAATTTTCATTGTTCATTGTTCGGTATTTTTTTGGTTATCTCTGATTTTTTCGATTGCACGACATTATTGACCTGAGATTATACGCCGGGATAAAAAAATCCATATCAGTGATAATTTTATTTTTTCTCCATTCCCCCTAATTTCAATGAAAACATAAAAAATAAATGGGTTTAATTAGTTTTCCATCGGTTCTCTGATTTCAATGTCAACGAAAGAAATCCTCATTCTTCTCTTGACGGTTCCATTCAACATCGTACAATTCTCCATTCATGAGCAATTTCCGAGATTTAAATAAACCCGAATAATTGAAGCCCCAATGGCAACAAGCCCCACCTCACGAAGTTGCCTCGAAAAGAAACAAATAAGTCCTGACCCAGATGAGGATCTTTTTTCGTTATGATTTTGACCTAGCGGTATCACGAGCCTAGCGGGAGATGGAGATTTCATCATCACCCAAGAGTTTTGTTTTTAAACCTGCATATGCACTCTCCCACAGCCACCTCGCTAATACTGTTACTCTGAATTTTTCTCAATAGTCAGTTACCCGAGTAATTAACGCATTTCAACTAATGAGAAATGTGTTGCTGCCATGAAAATAAATCGGAGTGAGTCAATATCGTAACAAATGCGAATAAAGGAAATGAGCTCGACAATCTCCCTCCCCTTGTACTCGATGTTGACACTGATATCAGGTCATTAGCAACTCTAACCCGTGAACAACGAAATGTCGGCTAAATAACAACTAAATAACAATAAAATCACAACGAAATAACCCCCTCGACGCAATTTCAAAGGAAAAAAATCAATAAATAGTGAGTCCCCCATACGGAGGATAATATTGTGAGTGAAACAAGGGGAGAGAGTGAGAGAAGAGAATATAGGAGATACAGAGAATCGAATGAGGGAGAAGATTATTCTACTGAGCCGACTTGGATTCCCTTCATTTGCGATAACTGCATAAGATGGCGGTTGTCCTCGTAAGATGGGACTATCGAAAATTAACACAATTTATTCAATTTATCCAGTTATTCGTTGAGGTTATTACCTGCAGGTTGGTATTTGTGTCATCAATGATCTTGTCTGTCTCCATGTTGATCATTTCTCGAGCAGTAAAGCTCTCTGGGGGGTCTTTGTACCCTCGATGGCCTGCGCGCGGGCCAAAGACGTCCCAAAGGATTTAACTATTTATCGAGGATATTTTATTCAGCCAGGAGCGTTCATTTATTTAATATTCCAGGTGTAGATCACTGATTATTTTTCACTGGCACATGCACGTATTCACCACTTCACTGTCGAATGATTCAGGGAATGATTTGGTAATATTCATGTGGTTTCGGCGTTCTTGTTATCTCTTTGTTGTATTGTTTTTTTTTATTTATTTATTCTTGTGGACTATTGGTTGGTGCTCGCTCGGTGCGAGGGACGACGCTTACGGAGCTTCGAGGTATCGCCATGAACAGGAAGTCGATCCAGCATTTCACCCAACACAACGAGTTCCCGAATAACTACTTACCATTTGACAAAAAACAGAGTGAATTCTCCAATGGAGGTGTGGGTTTTGAGCTTTTTGAGGGGAGTTTCGGCCACTTTTGGAAGGCTCACTTTGTATTGAACAGGAATTTATCACGACTTGGCGGTATTGTTTAACTGTGGGGGATATTTGTTAAACAACAGAGGTCTAGGAGACACTGAGGCACATTTGACACGCATCTGTCCGTTGAAAAGAGCCCTGGCAGACTCACAACTCACCGCTTTCAGACATTGCCAACCGACATTTTCATTGGCTTTTTGTAGTTCCCGCGCAGCCCTCTGAGGGCGTTACACGCTGCGGATAAATTGGCGGGTAATTATGAACATGGGGTGTATTCTCTCGGGTCGATTTATTACGCCGGAAGGAATATTCACCAAATTAATTACAGAACTGATTATCTGTTCATCGAAAATGCAAGCGATTCTGAAAATTTGCCGAAATTTTCCTAGAAAAATAATTCTACAGTTCAATTTACTCGGATAGTGATGTTTCGATTTTATTGTTGTACGGAACCAATTCACAATGATATTTCTTCAACAGACATTCATTTTCTAAATCAATGGAAAAAATGGTGTATCAGTCTTAGACGTTTTAGTTTTTATCAGATCCACTTGATATCGCCCTCACGTTTCTCCTTTTTCAGATCAGGTTCCCCCTGTTTCAGCAATATCGAATAGGGTTTATGGCACATGTGATGGTCTAGTGGGGGGTAATAATGTCTATAACACAAATACGTGACGAGGAATCCGAGGGAGGAACCCACTGCAACATCTGTTATGGGGAAAATAAATATTACTGTCAATTGAGATTGATGAATTGATGGGAATAGTGCGAAGCACGTGCCTTGCCAGTGGTGGTGGTAATCGCAGGTACGACTCAGGGCGATTCCAAGAGCAAATCCCAGTGGAAAGATGAATGCGCAGAGCTTCCACGCGTGACTTTTGCCAGTCGTTCCAAATGTCCTGAATTTTCCGGCTAAATATAGAGCTATAAAGCCTAAACTTGCAAATGCAACTGAAAAAAAGTGATAATAAAAATATCTTCAGAAGATCAAAGTGATTTTAATAGTGAAGTGACTGACTAAAATTGGTTTTCCAAAATATTCAGCACTTCACTATTGACTCAAAAGTTCAATATTTAAGCTACAATAAGTAAAGGTGGAGCTTTACATGAGGAATGTCCACTTGGGAATGATTTTCTCCCATCTCTTATTTCGACTGGATTCCCCGTGCACAGGAAATCACTGTTGCCCTGACCATCTGGGAAGCAACGCCAGAAAAAGTCTGGCCTCGGTCTTCCTGCAATTCATATCGAAATGAATCGTTTTTCATGATGAAATTTACGTTTTTGGACGACCAACCTACCAACTATAAGCTTAATCATGTCGGTGATGACTCCATTTAAACCTAGTGCTAACGATACTGTCAGCGATCCTTCATAGAGATCTGCTCTTTCTCCGGTCTTGAAAAACCATAATGTGATGACTACAAAAGGTGTGATAAACACAAGTGGCTGGAAGGATAAAATAATTAAACATTGCATGATACTATTCCCATAAAATTTAGAATGGAATAGCAGAAACCTAGACTCCGTGATTATATGAGAATTAATGATTTTACCCAGAGGAATGATGTGGGAACGTATGAGTCCGTCTTTGGATTTCTGTAGAGCCACAGTTCGTCATCGTGAATTTTCCTGACGAAGGGCTCGGCCTTTTCCAGCGTCCTAATGAATATAAATAAATAAATCACACTAGTCGCAAGCAATTTTCTAGTTGATTTTTAATGACGTACACAAATAATACTGCCAGAACGACTCTCAGAAATATGTCGAACCATAATTCAATCGATATGCTCACACCACGCAGTCCAGTCATCATCATCCATTTAAAAGTACACGCACTTCCTCATCCGTACACGAAATTAAAAAACCCACATTCGAAGGTGTTTACAGAGATATAAAAATTGTTTATTTAAGGATTCGCTTGACAAGTTGGAGATAACTTGTGTCAATTGGAATTTTACCTGCGTGCCACCTTCGTTTTAACGAAAAATCCAAAGCGGAAAGATTAAGCCATCGATAACACAGAATTATCGCATTCCCAGAAATATGTTATTTTGATAAGGATAAGGATAATTTTGGATGAAACGAGGATAAATTCGCAAACTCAAGGTGTTGCGATTGTTGAGAATTGAACAATGGAATTTGAATTTTCACCGGTAACGTAGAAATTAATTATTGTTTAACTCCACGAAGAAAGGGGATTTTTTAAATAAAAAATTCGAAGATCTGGCGATTTTAATTGTTGGTAACGGAAAACAATGATTTCATCATTGCATGGAACAAAGTTATATTTAAAAGAAGCCAATAATTTCAACAGAGCGCAATGTTACATGCACCGCCATCTGCAATTGCATCAGGAACGCCAAAAAAGTAGTGACTGTCCTGTCTTGAATCGTTGAGACCCTGGTTTGACAGTTATAAATAATAGTGAGAAGCTCCACTATTTGAAAATCCAGGAGACCGTCTAGGAGAAGTTAATGGCTGCCGAACGTCGTTATCGACGTGCACTGTAACTCTCTCATTGCGACTTTTGTAGAAAGACATTTTTTTTTTCAAATTGAGATACCGGTGTGTGAACGTTAATGAAAGACAGACTGGAGGGCGTGAAAAAACAGCACTTCGTTATCGTCAACAGGCATCACTAGGTAAATTTCATGTTCTTCTAAAATTCCTTGCGTGGTTAAATCCCCTTCAACATACACAGTATTTTCCAACTCCCACTCGAAATCTTCTTATTTGGTGCGGTTTTGCACATTTGACTTTGACTCACTCGTCAAATGCATCATGTAGTTGCGCGGGTATTGATTTCACCGCCCTCGTCATTGTCATTGCTTTTGTTATTTATCTCATTACGTACCTCGATTCTCGTGTAAATAATACTCGGGATTACAGGGTATGGAGGTGAACTGAAAGGTAGAGTAACTCGAATAATTGTCAAAGTTCTGGAGAAAGAGATATCAGAACCCTTTATATTGGGGCAATTTATTTTGTTTACTTACCACATTTGTTTATTTATGTAGTCATTCATTGTTACAGAGACGCATAATGGAAGAAGAGACTGAGTTCACTAAATTGCCACTCGAGGACCGGGTGGTCCATAAGGTAAACTGTTGCATATTGGATTTCAATTTGCATAGAAGATATTAAAAATTTGGAGACGTAATTGTGTGCCAATAAGACAAGATTATTAGAGGGAATTACATGACTTTCTTTCTTGACAGTTTGCACTCTCCATTCAATGGATCTAATACCTTCTGAGTCCTAAAAAATGATAATCTTCCTATTTCAGTCATGGAAGGCTCGAGTGCACGGTTACGAGGAATGCACCAAGAAATTCGGTTGCATCGACGACGAAAAGTCCCCCGAATGGAATAAATTCCTCGGTTTGATAAAAAAATTCGTAGTGGACAGCAATGCAGCTGCCCAGGAGAAGGGTATGGAGGCTGCTTTGGTATACGTAGAGAACGCAGCATGTGCAGGCAAAGCTGTGGGTGAAGTGATGTCAGGAATCGTAAACAAGTGCATAGCAGCCCCCAAAGCGAAGACAAGAGATCTTGCAGTTCAGTTGAGTCTGATGTTTATGGAGATTGAGAAGCACGAGACTGTCCAAGAGGAGTTACTGAAAGGAACCGAGGCAAAGTATCCAAAAATCGTAGCAGCATGTATAAACACACTGACCCTGAGTCTGCGAGAATTCGGCCCCAAAGTCATCAATGTAAAGCCCCTGGTGAAGAAGATTGCAGGCTTCTTGGAGGACCGTGACAAAGCAGTCCGTGAAGAAGGGAAAACCCTCGTCATAGAGATCTACCGATGGATCGGAGCTCCAATAAAGCAACAATTGAATTCCCTGAAGCCAGTGCAACTCACAGAACTCGAGGCAGAATTCTCAAAACTGGGGGATGACAAAGCTCAACCAAATCGTTATCTGAGGTCTCAAAAACCCAAAGAAATATGTGTCTCAGAGACAGGGGGAGGTGATGGTGAAGGCGAAGAGAATGAAGAGGACGAGGAGGACGGAGGTGGTGGCAATGACATCGATCCCTACGATCTCCTTGATCCAGTCGACATTCTCTCAAAACTCCCCAAAGACTTCTACGAGAAACTGGAAGCTAAAAAATGGCAGGAGCGTAAAGAAGCGCTCGAGGCCCTGGAGGCACTCCTGAAAAGTCCAAAACTAGAGAGTGGAGACTATGGAGAGCTCGTTCGAGTTCTGAAGAAGATTGTCAGCAAGGATTCCAACGTGGTAGTGGTGACCCTAGCTGGAAAGGGACTTGCAGGCCTTGCCTCAGGATTGAAAAAAAAATTCCAACCGTATGCATGCGCCTGTCTACCTGCACTTCTAGAAAAATTTAAAGAGAAAAAACCGACAGTCGTTGCCGTCCTCCGAGAGGCTGTTGACGCTATTTTCCTCAGTATCACCATCGAGGCAATTCTCGAGGATTCCATAGCAGCACTGGAGAACAAGAATCCAGCTGTCAAAGCCGAGACATCTGCCTTCCTGGCCAGGTGTTTTTCAAGAACTCCTCCACCCAGTTTAACAAAAAAACTCTTGAAAGCCTATAGTGGTGCCCTTCTTAAGACCCTCAACGAGTCAGATCCAACAGTTCGTGACAATTCAGCCGAAGCTTTAGGCACAATTCTCAAACTCGTCGGCGAGAAGGCAATGACGCCTTTCCTCGGTGATATAGATAATCTCAAGATGGCGAAAATTAAGGAGTGCGCGGAGAAGGCTGTGATAGTCGTAAAGATTTCGGGACCGAAGAAGTCAGAGCGTCCGACGACAGCTCCAGCTAAAATCGAGTCATCTTCCTCAGGGGCTGCATCCAAGGCAAAACGAGCCAACACAACAACCACCAAAAAATCAGCCCCCGGAGTGAAGAAACCGGCTGGGCCTGGGGGAGCTGCTAATGGGAAGAAACCAGCAGCGTCTAAAATACTCCAGCAGGAGAAGGATTTACCAAGCGAACTAGTCGATGAAATTGCAGCAGAGACACTACCCCCTGAGATACTTTCAGGGCTGGTCGATGCCAATTGGAAAACTCGATTGCAAGCTGTTGAGCAGTTGTCAGATTTTATCAAACAAAAGGAGCCCGTGGAAATTCCCACCCAAGTCATCGTGAGGACCCTAGGGAAGAAGCCAGGTTTCAAGGACACGAATTTCCAAGTGCTGAAGCAACGATTAGAAGTTGTGAAAATTTTAGCTGAGGGCTACACCTTCTCAGTCACCACCTCCGGCTACTGCATTATGGACATCACTGAAAAATTGGGGGACGCGAAAAACAATTCGGTGGCTGCTGACGCCCTTTCAGCCATCGCTGAGGCCACTAGCTTCGAGCACGTGGCCAATGAGGCCATCGGCTTCGCCTTCAATCAGAAAAATCCCAAGGTCCAGCAGGAGACCCTCCTCTGGCTTTCCAATGGTCTCCTCGAGTTCGGTTGCACAGCTAATGTCAAAGTCATGATGGACAGTATTAAAAAGGGAGTAACTGCTACAAATCCCAGTGTACGTACGTCAGCGATTACCCTGGTGGGGACGTTGCATTTGTTCATGGGGAAAAGTGTCCTGATGTTCTTCGAGAGTGAGAAATCAGCGTTGAAGCAGCAAATAGAGCAGGAGTGTGAAAAGAGGAGTGGTGAGGTGCCACCAGCACCCACACGAGGACCTAAATCAAAAGTCAAATCAAAAGCAGCCAATGGAAAAGCTGTCAATGATGTCGAGGATGATGATAACTACGGTGATGACAATGGCCCCTCAGACCTGAATGATTTGCTTCCTCGAGTCGATATCTCCAGTCAGATCACTGAGGCACTCATTGCAGAATTGGGAGACAAAAACTGGAAGGTGAGGAATGAAGGGCTGATGAAAGTCAGCAGCATCCTGAATGACGCTAAATTCATAAAGGGATCGATCGGGGAATTGCCGAGGGCCTTGGCGCCTCGATTGACTGACAGCAACACCAAGATCGCTCAGGCTGTCCTCGGGATCTGTGAGAAATTGGCGATCGCCATGGGATCGCCAGTTAAACAACACATTCGTGCACTCTTTCCAGGATTCATTCAGTGCCTCGGAGACTCCAAGAACTGGATTCGAACAGCTGCCATTACCTGCATCAACACCTGGGGGGACCAGTGTGGATACAAAGAATTTTTCGATGGGGAAATCATTGGGGATGCTCTGAAGGCAGGATCCCCTGCCCTCAGAGCTGAACTGTGGAATTGGCTTGCTCAGAAGCTCCCACTCATTCCAGTTAAGCAGATATCGAAGGAAGAACTCATGGCGTGCTTACCACATCTCTACTCTAATCTCGAGGATCGTAACTCAGACGTGAGAAAAAATGCCCAGGAGGCAGTTCTTGGGTTTATGATCCATTTGTCGTACGACGGAATGGTCAGACAGACTGAGAAGCTCAAACCCAGCTCCAAGAGTGGGGTAATTGCGAGCTTGGACAAGGCGAGGCCAAACCTGCCGATGAAGCCGTTGCCCTCGAAGAAGGCCCCTGAAGAGTCACAAAAGACTGTCAAGAGTGGTGGAGCTATGAAAGCCGCTGGGAAAACAATAGTTAAACCCAAGTCTGGAAATGCTTCAAAGCAGAACAGTGCGAGAAAGAAGGAGGAAGATGTCGACACGAGTCCACTCCTCGCGATAAATAATCTGAAGCACCAGAGAGTCATCGACGAGCAGAAACTCAAGGTTCTCAAGTGGAACTTCACAACCCCCAGGGAGGAGTTCGTGGAGTTACTCAAGGAGCTGATGGGCTCTGCTGGAGTCAACAAGTCCCTCATTGCAAATATGTTTCACGCTGACTTCAGGTACCATCTGAAGGCCATTGAAACACTGACAGAGGACCTCCAGGATAACAGCAAAGCCCTGGTGTCGAACCTCGATTTGATCCTCAAGTGGCTGACTCTCAGGTTCTTCGATACGAACACCTCGGTGCTGATGAAGGGTCTGGATTATCTGCAAACTGTTTTCAATCTTCTCATTCAAGATCAGTACCACATGCTGGAGAATGAAGCTGCCTCGTTCATTCCTTACCTCATCATCAAGATTGGGGACCCCAAAGATGCTGTCAGAAATGGTGTTCGGGCCCTTTTTAAGCAGATTGCTCTGGTTTATCCTGTTAGCAAGCTATTCTCGTACGTTATGGAAGGCCTCAAGTCTAAGAATGCGAGGCAAAGAACTGAGTGTCTTGATCAGTTGAGCTCGTTGATCGAGAATTATGGGGTGACTATCTGCCAGCCATCTCCTTCTGCTGCACTCAGGGAAATTGCCAAGCAGATTGCCGATCGCGATAATTCCGTGAGAAATGCTGCACTCAACTGCATCGTTCAGGCGTATTTTCTCGAGGGAGAACGTGTATACAAACTCATTGGTCAGATCTCCGAGAAGGACATGTCTTTACTTGAGGAAAGGATTAAACGTGCGGGCAAAAATCGCCCACTGAAATCTGCTTCTTCAAACAGAATTTCCTCGGCTCCCTCTGGAATTCATCACGCTGTCGCGGCCCCGACCCCTGCCAATGCTGGGGGCAACGCTGATGAGAGTGGACCTGACGATGATATTGATAATGAAGACGACGTCCAGGACGATCTGATCGAATCACCTGAAGAGAGGTAATAAAGGGCAGGGGCTTTGTGCGCCTGTGGATTTTTTAAAGTTTATAAGAATTTTTTTGAAATTTTATAAATTTAAATTTAATAAGAATACATATAATCAAAGGCTTGATCTCAAATTAATTTACAATCTATTGAATCGTCTAACCAATTCTTTGATATATTACATATTTCAAATATTTGATAACTATCAGAAAAACTTAATTGATAAAGAAACGGTGGTGATTGATGCCAATTCATGAGCTCATGCTTTGCTTCATTACACAATTCCCTGCGGAATTCACTTACAGGCATGTAGAACAAAGTACAGAGATTAGCGTCAGCAATGAAGATAGAGTGGAGGAGAGACCCAACTACACTGTTAAATCACCAATTTTGGTGAACGATGGTAAAGTGACGATTGATGAGAATGATCCAGAGAACCGTGGAACTATCGATGTCAATGCCAATCGTGACTCTGAGAAGACGTTTGTGCTAATATTTTTTTATTTTGTATTTATCTTGGGGTAATTCGGTAGTGAAGGGTGGGATGAGAGGTATCAAGATAGGTTCGAAACCGGTTTTTGATTAGTGTTCTGGAACTCGGGGAAGGTGCAATTCTAATTAGGAATTAGGAATTAGGTTTTATTAAAAGGAGATATTTGCGGAAATTTCTTTTTTTTTTTTTTTATGGATAATATAAAATCTTAAAAATTAATTTGAATTCAATATTCAAATTGAAGATACATTCAAAAACAGTTTCTAACCGCCAACGGACACGTCTCATTTTACACTTCACTATTAACCTGGTGCAGGTAATGTGTGTCATTTACTTCATCTGTAAGAGTCTATCCACCAACGAAGATAATTCAGCATGAGAACTCCACGAGCTCCCAAAACGTGTTCAACTCATCTCTGTGTGCACTTGAAAGCCTGCAAATCATTGGTGAAACTGTTCTAATCGGTTATTTAATTTTCAGATACACCTCTCCAATATCCAAGTCGAAGGTGTCCGGCCCCTTCGGCCTGGATATGGACTTCTTGAAGAAACTGGAGGAGAATGCCCCAGCGCGCTGGAAAATCCCCCAGCTAACTGACCTGAACTGGGATCCAAACGAGACAGTGAATACCCTGAATCACCCTCCTGCAAACGTCATCCCTATTACCTCTCCCAGGATCATCACAACGCGATCATCCCTAGTCTCCCCAGTGAGCACACCAGTGAGCAAAGAAGACAGTCTGGAGCGTAGCATAATCGCCATGACAAACACTGAGTTATCAGCAGCCATACTAGCAATGAACACAATGGAAGCCATCATAAAGTCCCCTCAAGCCTCAATGATGCAGTCAAAAGAGGACAAGTTCATCCACGCCATCAACATGCAGCTGAAGATGCTGCAGACGTACCCCACGGTGGACGATCCGGAAGTAGCCAAAGGTTTCAGAATAGCTTTCGTCGTGACCCTGAGCTTCTACGACACAGGATTCCTCGGTAAAAATGTCTCCCTCCAGGAGCTCAAAGAGCTGGTCCACCAGATGCTGATTTTACTGGCAGAAAACAAATTATCTCACTTGAGTCAAGCCGATGCCTACATCCGAGTCGTCAACAGTATTGTCGTCAAAACAATCGATCACTCAAATCACACGACCATAATGTGCGTACTGATAAAACTTCTCCACTCCTGCGCCGAGAGTAAAGTCGCCCCAAAATATGAGGAACTCGTGATGAAGTGTCTCTGGAAGATCGTTAAGACAATGCCCAACTGGGTAGGCGATCTAGATTACGATACAATTCTCCTTGAGGTCCATCACTTCTTCAAGGACTACCCCTCCTCGTGGTGGAAGAAACGCAGCTCTGACATGCCCCTCAGGACCATCAAAACAGTACTCCACAGCATAACAAAAATCAAAGGTGCATCTATCCTCAATCATCTCACCAAGATCAATAATACCCATGAGTCTGAGCTCAAGAACTATCTGAATCGCCTCCTGGAGACTGTTAAGCCCGATGATATCAACTCTGGAACAAGAACCATCACAAAGCAGAAGCACCTGTCGAAGGTGACACATGCACAGCTGTCGGAGATATTTAAGAAAATTGGGTCGAAGCATCATACTCAGGAGGGACTGGCTCAGCTCTATGACTTCAAGCTCCAGCACCCTGAGGCTGATGTCCAGCCATTTCTCGTCAAGTCCCACCAATTCTTCCAGGATTTTATCGAGCAGGGGCTCAGAGATATCGATCAAGCCAGGAGGAATCAGAACGTTAATCTGCAGGGCAATCAGTATGAAAGTCCTATACATGCACCAGTAAGCATTACTGAGGAGAGGGCCTCCATGGATCCTCTGCAGAGGCTCGAAAAACTCAGGGCCCTCGAGGCTAAGTACCACGCCAATGCCCCCAGTCATTCAAACCCAACGTGAATCCAAACGCAGTTTGTGATTCAAAGATTTTAAGGGATTTATTTAGGTGAGATCATTGCTTTGTACATAGACATTCTCACTACTTTGTCTCTCTATTGTCTGCTCGTTGAACTGATATTTAAATTGATTGTTCATTGATTTTTTATTGACTCCGAAGATAGGATTATTGTGCCCGTTACTTTATATCATTTGGTTATTTATAATTTTCTTATTTGCGTTATCGGGGTTTGACTGTGACGATTCGGTAATTTTTTCTAAGAAATGAGGAATTGTATTGAACGAAGAGGTGTCTGTGTACTCGGTGATTCTCCAGTGATTTGGATAAGATAATGTAAACGTTAGATTTGATTAGTATGTATAGTTGACCCTAAATGATATATTGATATTATTGGAGTATAAACAGTGTCCCAGTGTTATATCACCAATCAAATTCATATTTATGCTTAATTTTAAACTAGAAATTTTCAATGGGGTTTCATTTGAATGGAGAGAAGGAGGAGAGTGTCCACATTGTAAGTTTCCTCCTCTTCTTTGTAGTTATTACAGTATTTTTTTACAAGCAACTTCATGTTAGATTCTTATGTCGTCTTAGCAAGTTCAGTAATTGTGGGTTACTTGTTTTTTCATTAATCTATTTCTTTTACGTAAAACAATGGAACAAAGCTGGACTTGAATGTTAACGCCGTTGATAATAAGTTTAATTAATGGTAGATTAATTGATTTGAATCTTTTGAATCTCGAGAATAAAGAGGAAAAACAATAATGTATACTATTCAATTTATTCGACCAAATATATCAACTCTTTCATGATTATTCGTTCTTTTGTCGCCTCTTTTGTGTCCTTTCTTCTACCGTTTCGCTTAGCATTTTTCTAGAAAAAAATAGTGGACTCTATCGCGGATAAATTGATATTTTTCTAAAATTTAATTAATTAATTAACCCTTAATCAAGTCCAACTAACCTTTAACCAAATCCACTTGACCGTTAACTAAATCTACTTAACCCTTAACCAGTTCCAATTAGCCTTTAACCGAATCCTTAACCCTTAACCAAATCCAATTAACCCTTACATCGGAGAGTTATTCACTGAAATTGAAAAATTCAAAATTTCAGTGCTTACTTTTTTGGTTAAGGGTTAATTGGAATTGATTAAGGGTTAATTGGATTTGGTTAAGGGTCAATTGGACTTGGTTAAGTGTCACATGGGGGCAAAAAATTTAAATGACTCCATAAAATTTTATAATTTCAGTAAATACCAATTCGGTAACGCAGAAAATAACATTCATCTTGTCAACTGGTCCCTCTGACAGCGGGACTGCTACTGAGGCAGTTACCGAGTTGGCTGACGGGTAGACACCCCAGCATTGCCTGTGGCGTCCTCCCTCTCTTGGGGTGCAGTACTACGATGCCGCTGGGGTCACTCAAACCCCCAGAACGGAACCTCTACTTTAGTCAATCCTCTTTGGTCAAAACTATCCTTTTAATTTCTTTCCTCAGTTTTTGTTGTAGAATTGTAGATCTGTTGCAGTAACTCAGCTGCCAAATTCACATCATGGCAGAATTGCTGCTGGACCCTAATATTCGAGGATGGGTGTTCCTCCCAATAGTTGTAATCACGTTCCTCGTGGGAATAATTAGACATTATGTATCTATTTTACTGGCTTCACAGAAAAAAGTGGAGATTCATCAGGTGCAAGACAGGTAATTTGGGGTTACCCTCGAATAATCGATTGGATTCTTTGATTATTCGAACAATTTCACGTGCGAATTGTCTGAGACTATGAAAATGTCATTGTTTATATTATTTTGGTCTGATGGTTGACAGCCAGGTGATGATTCGCTCGAGATTACTCAGGGAAAATGGCCAGTACATTCCAAAGTCAGCATTTCTAATCAGACGTCACTTTTTCAATAACGAGGAGACAGGTTACTTCAAGACACAGAAACGGGCACCTGCATCACAAAATCCAATGACAGATCCCAGCATGATGACTGATATGCTCAAGGGAAATGTTACGAATGTTCTCCCAATGGTTCTTATTGGGGGCTGGATCAATTGGATGTTCTCTGGATTTGTTACGAGTAAGTTCTTTGATTTTTCGGCAATTTTTTATCTCTGAGTTTTTCTTCGTGAAAAATATGTCTGAGGGGATTCTTTAATATTCAGTTTAATGAAAATCACCAGAATCAATTCATCTTTGTAAATAATTAATTTACTTTCCAGCGAAAGTGCCATTTCCGCTGACCCTGAGGTTTAAGCCAATGCTCCAGAGGGGCATCGAGCTCCAAACCCTCGATGCAGCCTGGGTGTCGTCAGCCTCATGGTATTTCCTCAATGTGTTTGGCCTCAGGTCGATCTACACATTAGTTCTCGGTGAGAACAATGCAGCTGACACCTCACGTCTGCTTCAAGATCAAGTATCAGGTGCCGCAATGTCGATGCCACCAGACCCCAAAGCTGCCTTCAAGGCCGAGTGGGAGGCCCTCGAAATCTGCGAGCACAATTGGGCCCTCACTGCAGTCGACCTCGAACTCTCTGGTGTTAAGTCCAGAGGGGAATTGAGTGACAATCTTTACCACCAAAGCAAGGTCAATTGACCCTGTCGTTATCACTAATGATAATTCAAGGATAACTATTCAATTAATTTTATTCATCTTGTTTCTTAATTTTATTTGTCACCGAGAAACCACGGCGAAGGGATAAAGGGAGCTGAATGAGTGAGTGGGAATTTTCCAGTTCATTGAATTTTGACTCATTGAGAGGTATTGATTTTCTGGAGAAATATTGAGAGATTCCTTTTTCCGAAATTTAATGAACTACAAAAAAGTTACTTCACATGGATTTTTCTATCCTCACCTTTACCACTTCGCTATGGAATAGCTTCTCATATTTATCGCCTATTTATCAACTGGCATTCATCGAGGGGTATAAATCTGTTCTCCGGTGATTCTCGCACGGCATATTTCTACGAACTGTTTCCAATAAATTTAGATCAATTTCTGCGACTGCAATACCTGTTTTTTCTGCGCACTGGGCTATCACAGCCCCCCAGGGATCAACAATCTGAAAAGTACGACGATGTGCATTTGTAAATTTAAATTCGAATACAGTAGAATCCCGTTAAAGTCGCTCTCGTTATAGTCGCATCTCTTCTCAATTTCTTTTTTCGCGTATTTGTCGGTTCTCAAATTTGGGGCAAAATAAAGCCGAAAAATAAATTCCTCTCGTATTCGAATTTCCTATGGAAAAATTCAGTTTTGGATCGTAGTAGTAGAGATAGCTGTATATAATCGGATTCTGCGAATTCCCTTCCCCTACAACCTCATGCACGCGACTATAACGAGAGTCTACTGAAGTACGTGGTGTTGATTCAATCCGAGTTGTTTTTATTTACCATGGCGTGACCCCAACTGGTGCGCTTTTTGTTGTGAGTGGCTGTTTGAGCTGCTGCGATTACATAGCACTGGGTCTCGATAGCACGAGCTCGGAGGAGCACTTCCCAGTGGGCAGCTCCGGTTTGGTAAGTGAATGCTGATGGAAATGTCAGCACCTCTGCTCCTGATTTTCGCAGGGTCAGAGATAATTCGGGGAAGCGCATGTCGTAGCACTACATTTTTGTTAAGAAGATGTAAATATCGCCGAGATTGGTAATGATCATTGATATTTCTAGTAATATCTTAGTGAAATACTAATCTCCATTAACAGTCGTGTATTGACTAATCAAAGTGATGCAATTTCATTAGTTACTGATTTGAGTAGATTTAATGCAATTTCCATAATAAATAACCGAAACTCCTTTCAATATAAATTGCTTATTTTCATTTTCATTGTACGAGGAAAACTTCAGAGAAAAATCACACCTTAAAAATTTTCAAAGTTCCTAGAGATGTCAATTAAATTTTTAAAGGAAATAGGGAACGTAAAGGATACAATGCTTAGCCCGATTTTTCCAACAGGCGTAGAAACTGGAGGAATTATTTCACCTCCTGGCACCACATAATCCGACTCCATGAGTCTCACCCCTGTATCCTTGTTGTCCATATCGAACAAATGAATTTTTCTGTAGGCAGCAGCGATTGATCCTTCATTATTTATCAGGACATGAGTGTTGGATATTTTTGGTGAGCCCTCAGACTGGCGTTCGTGCAATCCACCCAGAGACAGCCAAATATCATGCTCTACAGCTAGAGCTTTGTACCTTGAGACAGTGGGACCAGTCAGAGTTTCACTGAAGGCGACAATATCTTTTTTATTGTCTGCTAGGTAGTCGCAGGCTTCGGGGAAGAATGCTATCTACCAAAATAATTATTCATCTGAAAGCCTATCGATTTAACATAGAAGCATATAAAACTTATTTTTCTCCTACAATCAATAGTTCTGGGGATTAACCATTAGTTCTGAAGTGGTACTATTGCTTTAAATTTCTTCATAAAATTAATACAAGACTCACTTGTGCCTTTCTTTCTTTAGCTTGAACCACTAAATTTTGCACCACCTCGAAATTCTTTTCCTTATCAGCTGTGGATGTCATTTGACACACTGCCACTAATGGATTCATTATTGTGGATGAGAGTCTGATTGAACCTAATTGTTGAGCTCTGAATAAAAATTATTTGCATTTATTTGAGAAGAATGGAAATTCTGTAGAATAATTCATTTAAAAAAAACACATTTTTTAATACCATAATTCCCTCAATTTTATTATTTAAATTAACATTTGCCATGTTACCTGAATAGTTTAGTTAATAACAATAAACTTCGAGTCATAATTCAATGGATTGTTTAAATTAATTAGAGCAACCAGATATTCGTTTTAAACATTTGTAAATAAACTGCGATAGTATGTGATTTGTTGTCCGGAAAAGAAGACTGAATTGGCCAAAGGATGACATATGAACATAACCTCCAATTTTCATACTTACCTTATCACTAGGTCTTATCAATTTCCAGTGTCATCTAATATCCTGAAGGCAAGAACTGAATTCTCCCTCGCAGAATTGATTGAAGCCTTGATTCAAGTTAGTTGTCTATTTTTTTCAATGAGATGATATCAGCTGAGATTCGAGGGCATAAAAAATCATTGATAACAAAGATAACGAATGATGCAAGTGGGAAAATGAAACGCCACAAGTAAAGATCATAATTCCCTATTTTATATTCAATACACAAGTTCGAGAAACACAACATCTCACTCACATCTTGGAAATTCGCGTCTCAATTGTCCTCCCATGGTTTGCCAATTCTTAATATTCTATGTCCTTAATTAATTATCGGTAACGCGCCTAATAGCCAACATTTATACATATACAAAACGAAAACGTGGAAAATGAATAAAGCAAATTTTCGTAGCACCAGAAGCCTGACACGTTTGAAAAAATTCCACAGAAAATCCAACGCTTTTTTTTCACTTTTTAGTTAAACCTTATGATCTTGCTAGATCATTGCATTGCATTTCTACTGAACTTTTTATCAACTTCTATCCGATTCTAGTGGAACATTGAATAGAAATTTGATTTCCTACCATAATTTGTTCTACTGACATAGTCTCCAAATAATTAATTCAATTTTCTTAATGAATAGAAAAGAAAAGACATGGAAAATTCGAGAGAAGAAATTTCTATGAAATCTTTTCCTACGCGAAGGGGCTGAACACTAGTCATTTATTTTCCGCAATCGACTTTCTCTCACAAAAAAATGAGAATTATCGTCATACTTCATCGTAATACTTTTCAATTTTAATATTAATTTTCACAACTCGATATTTAATTTCTCCCAAAACCTGCAGTTATGCATAAAAATGATTTCTAGGTAAACCTATATGTTAACGATACGTATGGTGATGATTGCAGAGATTATCGTTCTCCCTCAATGATCCATCGAATAAAGTCCATAGAATACCCAATTGTTGAATCAACAAGTGGTTTTTTTTTATCGAATACCCAAATCACCCTCATTATTTCTTTATTTCATCAATAATATGTTCATGTTTCACATTTAAACGTGGATAAACGATACCAGGAACGACCATAAAATATATACACTCAGTTCTTTCAACGCATTGTAAATACTTTCCTTGCACATTCAATCGAGAACATAAAAATTGTGCGTCAAAACCTCCGATAATTCATCCACACCTGTTATCATTCACTCGAAACAATAAACTCTGGATGAATGCGGTCATTAACGAGCAGCAAAGACAAGAAAATTAATTTAGTAACGACGTAATAAAGTGATAGAGCATTATTAAATATCGATTTATCTAGAAAACTCTCGATTTAAAGGTGAAGCATAAAGAGACATTTTTTCTGGTTGATTCAATTTTCAATAAAAAGTTTTCCTGATATTTCACCGTAAAATCAATAATTTTGTGTATAAATCGATATTCAACTAAACATCGCTCCATCTTGATTACTTGGCGACTAAATTACGAAGGCCGCCCGTCGAAATTTGTTTTTCGATAGAAAAATTAGAAATTCCATTATTTTAAATGAACGCATCTCCAGCCAAAATGAAAGAACGAGTAGAAGAAGTTATTCACAACTCTCGTATTTCGAATGAATCATTTTTACACGTAAATATTTATTTAGAAATAACGGCTATCTAATTATTCGCTGACCCTCGAAAAATTCGAGCTGACTAGAATCATCAAGAGCCCTTTTCGTCTATTTTTTTAGAGTATCCAGTCAATCCCTCGATTCGGCTAACATATCACAAGTATTTTCCATCAATCTTCACACAAAAATCAGAAGAAAAGCCACCCCCTCAATGCTTCATCTTCTCCATCATTTTTTTTTGTAGTTTCTACCCACTCGGTAAGCTCAGAGAAAAAATGACTTCTGACGAAAAAAATTTGTTTAATTAATTTTCCTTTTCATGAGTCATTTTTTTTCTTTGGGTGTAGTACATATCCATTAAAAATTACAGTACAAAGCATGAATCGTTGGTATAAAGATATGCACTGATAAAAAATTCCTGTCAATTAGACATGCCTCTACGTTTTAATGAGCCGAAATATTTCATTTGGATTTTCCCTCAGTGCATATATTGCATGTTGATAAAGCGTAGTGTTCAAACAAAACCGATCAGATCAATAAAAAAAATCCCCACGGATGATCTAGCTCCGTTGAACTCGAATGGCAAATATTTATATCGAAAAATTTAATTGCGCGTTTTGGCCGTTGGATTTATTCAGCTGATCCCACCGTAATTTGTGCGATCCTCAATGCGTAGAGCAAGAATTATCAGCAACGAACTGCTCATATTGATACGAGCAAACCATCCTCTTCCCTAATGCAACGGCTGTTCGTGTCTCATGGCACCTTCTTCTTCGTGGATGTCTTTTTGCTCCGGGGGAGGGTCGCAAAGCTGGTGATCTGTAAATTAAAAGACGGAGTCTATCAAGTGTTTGTTTTTATTTGGGCGAATAAGTGGACTTTTGCGACAACAGAATGGCAAGCTCGAACAACTTCCGTTATGCTTCCTGCTCTGGTAGTTATCACACGTAGAGGAAAACAAAACCATTAAAACGGGCAAAAATATCCAAGTCCTTCCACAATTTTTTTTCCTCCGATTTAATATCTAATTATTTTATCAAGGTCTTTATCCTGGAATTTAATTACCATTTAAACCATTGAAACGCTTAATTTCATTCTCAAAATTGAAAATTCAAGAATAATTCTAGAATAATACATTTTTCGGCGGTGGAAACTATTCGATTCTTCATTTATGAAAGACAATTATTTAAGGCAATAACAAAAATAATATATTAATTACGCACTGTTCATCGTTTATGGCTATTCAATTAAACTGAACTGTATGAGGAACTTGGCTATTTATCAACTCAAAAAGCCTGAGATCTAAAAGTTAGATGGAGAAATATTAGTGATGAATGAAGATCGTCCCTTCGAAATACAGGTTTTTCTCATTCCACTCTCACGCAATTGCTGACATGAACCCAACGAACCATCAGTGTCAGTGCCCCGAGTCCTCCCACCTGACCCTAAATCAAGGTAATCATCCTGGAAATCAACACTGGTTGACCTCGACCTGGTGGAAACGGAGACATCGTCTTGATCCTTATGAAAATTATGGAAAAAATTCTTTGGGATCGCCAGGAACTTGGAGAGGCCGTCCTTGACCTTCCTCTTTTTTTTAGTGCTTGACGATGATGTGGGATTAGCAGATATATTTTCTGGATTATCGACATGCGTGAGGGTCTTTACAGTACCAGGTTGGAGGACGAGAGTAGCCCTGAGGGCTTGGATTCCCTCTGGCCCATGGATAGTCACGGGGGCCCTGGGTGCTGGTTTCTTGTGGTACTTTCCGGCTCGATCCTTTCCCTCAGAACCACTTCGCGAAGGGCTGGGAGTGGTCCAGACCTCAGGGATTTCAGTCTCCAACTCCTGAAGTCTCGATTCCTTTGTCAGGTCCTCGTGGGAGTTGCCTAGACTCGAGACTGCACTCTGGGCTGTACTCAGGAGTCTTTTCAACTCGGACATCTTCTCCTGGCATATTTCCTCGGTTATTTTCGTCATATCTATTCGACTGAGTTCTTTGGCAGTTTTTTCCAGAAGTTCTGGAACTCCTGATGTCGACTCTGGGAGGGCCAGGGGCTTCTCGCTATTCGCCGATGTGTCAGTTCCCTCGGAATCGAGTTCACATATATCTAGGATCTCCTCGTGAATCATCACGTGTCCCATCGAGGACGAGGCGTCAGAGAATGCATCTTCGCTTTTCGTGTCAGTTGAGTCTTCATGGATCTCAGTCACCCGCGCCTCGGACGAGCTGTGAGGGAGATTTATTCGAGAGAGGAGGAACAAAAGCTCCAGGGCTTGTTTCGCACTTATTTCGGAGAGGGTGTGGGGGGGCTCGGCCCTCGCGGTAAGCTCCCAATCCTCTTCATCCTTCAAATCCCAGAAATTTCATTGACATTCAGATTAAAATATATTTCTGCCAAGTAATGAGAGCTGAGACCGCGGCATCAATTTTTTTTTTGTAAGAATCTCTTTTTAAAAAAATTTTATAACAGATTTACCTTTTGTTAATCTTCAGTGAGAGATGCAGAGTACTATCAACTTGCCAATTGACAACTGCTTCAGTGATTTATTTTTAATTTATTTATTTTGGTTAATATCAATAGGTCAATAAAAATATTGTTGTATGGTTTCTTTTGTGAGTGTATGGGGTTGAACTTTTTCATTTTTTCCTGGGTTTTTGGGATTGGGGAGGAATGGAGTTTTTTTTACTAACCTCTGGTACCTTCTTCGCGGCTGCTCGGGGTTTCGATGACCTCGTTCTCGCACCTACACTTGAGGTCCTCATGAGGGATTCTGTGTGAGGAGTCATGCGATGCGGTTGCAGAGCTTCACCACTGCTGTACCCACTGGATATGTCGTCCGATGACCTAATATTCCTTTTGGAAATAAATTATCAAAATTTACTACGGGAATCTTGACAGGATTTTACTGAATGCTCGAATTTTATTTCTATCGGCGGTTTAAAATTTTCCAGATAAAACTGAATTCCGCATTGTTAAAAACTTTCTAATAATACATAAACAATCTGTGAAATAGCTGGTTTCTCTATATTTTCAGAATTTAACTTTTTCCCCAATCCTTCAAGATCAAACAATTTCCCACCTATTTTCTCCGAAATAGTAAGAAACTTCGATTTTCAGGCTCTTACAAGGAATTGATAAAAAAAAAACATATATCGTGAAAAAAATTGCTGATTATTTATTTATCAAAAAGGTAAAGGTGAAAAAAATTTAATTCGTAAAATATTTAATTTGATTCGATATAATTTGAAGGAGATTTGATTTTCTTGAAAATGAAAATCCACTCACGTTAAACTAGCTATTGGATCTCTAGGCCTAGGTTGCCTGACATCGACATCCACCTCCGAAAAGTACATCTCCACCCTATTGCAATTGGATTGCGTCCTCCTAGGACTGTAGCCACGTCTTCCCGGGTGTTCCCTCCGACGAGGTTCCCCTGAAAATCCCCGATAATAATTAATTTCCCGATGCTAAATTGTGAAAAACCTTCGACCAATCCGCAAAGTTTTTATGTACCTGTCATGTCTGTCTCGTCATGCATCGCCGATGTATTTCTATTTTCATCTTCCTTTTCACCCGTCAAATCACTCAGACTGTAGCTCTTTTTCAGCTGCTGCACTAATCCTCCTCCGCCCTGAAAAATTTCACAGGCAATCGTTCACTTAATTATCCAACTCCAAAGGTTCCTCAGTCATTGATGAACAAAAATTATTGAAACTAAAATAAAAAAAATCTTACCAACGAAATAAAAATGTTAATGAGTTATCTGCCATCACCAGGCGCACATTAGAATTCGTAACGTCTCTAGTTGTGAGTGCTTTAACAATTGGTGCATATCAATCTGCGACAGGGGCCAGTGTTTTTTAATCTCTATCTAATTCAGTCTGTACCAGGTCCATCTATTTACAGTGCTATTATCGTCAATCATTCAGAGGAGACCGCGGTGAAACTTGATTATTTGTATAACAATTAGCAACTCAATCGGCAATATTTAATTTAAATAAATAATAAAACCGTTATTTTTCATTCATGTCTGGCATAAAATCGATGAGTATTCCAAAATCTTAATTTTTTATTTTGAATATTACATCCTGTTAGGATAAATAAGGAATTACGACAGCAATCGATTTTACCGAAGTGCTTCACCTAGAACCACAAAAAATAACGTTTTGCGTTGCTGTCTTCAATGTTTAATAGAAAAGTGTAAATAAGTGATCTAACTAATTACTTTATTAACTTAATGATGAAAATAATTACTGATGACACGAAATATAAATTTCCCGCTCAGAAATCAGATCAACTGAAATTAGGAATAGAGAAAGGAAAAAAATGGAACAGTAAGGAATGAAAATTTTGAAAAATGAAAAGTCTGTTGGTAGAATCGTAAATTTTCTTGCGTCAATAAATCTTGTGGGAAAAGTAGATTGTTCTCTCACTGTAAAAGGGACAAATGTTATATCCCATCGTGTCTCAACACTCGCTGGAGATGTAGAAATCTCTTCTGAGGGCTTTCAAATTTCACTGCCGTCTCCCCTTTATAGATCATCTCGATCTCATAATAAATTGCTAAATAAGGTAATCAAAGCAGTAAGCGATATGATTAAACAGAGTCATTTGGCATGACATTAAAAGTAGGTTTATTCTCGTTTTTTATGTTATAATTCGATATCAATCATCTTTGGATTATAAAAACTTATTACCTACATTAATCACTCAACAATCCAGTTATATAAATTACATGATCAAAGATAACTGATGATTTAATTAATTCGTTGGATAAATCATAATTGGTAACATGATGACATCGTGATTATCTATTACAAAGTGATGAGGATTACTCAGAAAAGCTATCACATTGAGTTACAAAAGGCACTCGGTGGCACGACATGATTACGACAATATATCACTCATTGAGCCCAAATTTATTTCAAAGAGCATAAACTCAGTACGAGACATGGATTAATTCACCGATAATTTAATTTACCAACGACGTGATAAATTCGATTCATATAAGTCGATTTTAATGACCCAAAGGTGAATAAAAGGTAAAGGATAACAAATTGATTTAATTACCGAGTAAATTTCCGTGGAACATCTCGCCGAAAAACATCGAAATTTGTATAGAAACATGTAGTTCTGAATCCGTTTGATAAAAGAAGTCCTGAAAATAATTAGATTCCGAGATATTCCCCATAAACTCACCTAGATAATAAACCACATTATCCTTGACCTATTCGTGGCTCGATCGATTCATCTCGAAACCTATCGATTCACCAAACAAGAGGATTAAGCAATTTTTTTCCTTCAAAGAAGTTTTTTCATCTCGTTTATCACTTCGTCAGCGAATCTCATAGCCAAAAAATTTCCCTAAATTCCCCATTCATTGCCTCAGTCTTATCGAACCGTACGATTCTGCTCCACCAAATTTAATGATCGGAAAAACTCCTTTATTCTTACTCTACCGTACAAAAATTCGTAAAAAGACGTATTAAAGAGCGTTCGATAGCAGTTCAGCCTGACTGAACTGACGAATGAACTTAAGTCTTTGAATTAATAGAAAATTTTATCATTTGATCCAGAAATTTGATTAAGCATCAGTGCCATCACTGTAATCTGGATCGTAGCATCGTAGTCTGCCATCCCTGGGGGATACAGGGGCTCTACGACGTGTGATACGACGTTGTTTGGGGGGTTTCTCAGGTTCCTTGAACTCCTCGACGGTCGGGCTCTCCTCCTCCTTGAAAACAAAATCATCATGGCCATCGTCGTCTGATGATGGCTCAACCACAATCACTGGGCTATCAGTGGTATCCTTGGTAGAGTCACTCTGACTTCGTCCAGTAATACCCTCCACGCTGTCCTTCTTCGTTTTGCTTTTCTTCGGTGACAGTTGGTTGACTAAGCTAGAAACCGCCGGTTCTGATTGGCTCTCTGGTGGACTCGTGCTTTGAGGATTCAGCAGTGCATTCGGCAAATTCTTATTGTTTTTTTTTATTTGTTTATCGTTATTGTGGTGATCCAAGCATTAACCATGAGTGGTTTTGTTAATAGTTGCGATGATCGGCGATGATTTGGGTTTAATGAAAATGCGGGGATCAATTGAAAGAAAAAAAAAGAATAATTTTTAAATCATATGGTGTGTGGAAGGCTCATGAGGCTATTCTAGCAAAAACAACGCATTACTTTGTACTCTCAAACTATGTCAGGGCTTGGGGCTGGTTACCTTGATTGCTGTCTGCATCAGTACTGTCGTGGCGTAGTTGACACCCTTTGTTCCTAGGTGCAGGACTGCTGTGTATCCCTGCTCGGTGGCTCTAGCTAGGGCATCGTCGATCTCTGCTTCACGTCTGATCAAGGCTGGATGGACAAAACGTCGGTAGAGAATACTCGAACCCTTTGTCGCTGGACTCAATAGCCACAGAACCAAGATTATCTTGATTTCGTAGTAGAATGGAAACCTTTGACATGGGAAACGAAAATTAAGGTGACTGCAGAGTCCTTCATGAATTCAATAACGAAATGGAAAAATTGTTTAAATCCAAATAGGTAAATTTCACAGGAGACTTCAAACAGGAGAGTTCTCTTCCGAAAATGTTCTTCTGTTATTAATTTGTGCGAATTAATTAATGAATTTCATTGCAGTCATTAAATAATAGAATGCGAAAACGATATATTTTTTCGCGGTGATGAAATTAATAATTTGTCAGAAAAGTGAAGGAACTGATAATTTCGAAAAAGGCAAGGCAGAAAATCCTCGAACTGTTCTTATCGCTTCGCTACGGAATTGAGGAGAATTTTCTCAAAATAAACGGGACAATAATTCTAAATATTTCTATCGAGATGGACTTCAGGGAAAAATTGATTTCAATTTCCAGTTTTCAAATTTGCTCCGTACTCATACTCCTCTAAATCGACATTCCCCCGCATTTGAATACCTTCATGCTCGGTACATCGGACGAGACTTAACGGAAGCAGTTGAGTATGAACTCCAAGCCAATATTCTGTCTCGTCTCGTCCAAAATTAGACATGTTGGTATTCCCCAGAGTTACAGGATTTACATGAACCCAAAAGACTTGCCGTTGGAATTTGAATAATCAACACATAATGCGCCAGTTCTATTCGAAATTGTTTATTATTCTCACCAGAAACTGAAGAACACATCCGTGAAGGTCTCGGCACAGGTGAAAAGTGCGAACACAATCCAGTACATCATCCATTTTACCTGAGCAAAAATAAAGAAAATTTATGGAATTGCATCCCGCGAAGGGAAATTCTGCTGGAAAATTCCATTACACTGAAAATTTCATTGGATAACACGCGAATTTTTATCGTGTTAATATCATATTTTTCACAGACATTTATTACTCCAACGTCACGGAAAAATTATAAAGAGCCAACATATTCCACGATTAGTAAACGTCAGAATAAATTTCTACATTTAATATTTCATCCCCATGTTTGTCATTCTTCCAGTCCTAAATGAGAATTTTCCTCCGAAATCTATAGAGCATGTAGTAACAAAGTGGTAAATTAGGATAATTCAATTCAACAATTTTTCGTAATATTTAATTTATCTTGAAACCACAAACAGACATCACTCACATTATATTCCCGATAAAAAATTTTTTATGTAATCGTTTCCATCAAAACGAATAGTCTTCGAAATAAATTTAACGAAGACATTTACAAAGAGTACGACAATTCGACTAGTTTAAAAAAAAATATGAAATCCTATAATTTACTCACATATTCCTTGACATTTTTGGTGCGAACTGCCTTATAGGATGCGTAGGCCGGATACAGTGTTCCAAAGACCAATCTGAAAATCGGATAGATGAGAGTATAAGTGACAGGTTGTGGCATCACAAATGAAAGAATGACAGCATAACATCCGAGATTGCCCAGGGTGAAGCGAATCGGTAACTTGTGGAGTGAATAACGAGCCCAGGCCACCGATTTACGTGCTAATATGCGGGTTATGCTCATTCTGCGAGCCATTGACACTGTTATCTCATCAAGATCGGTATCGTAACAGTGCGTATCCACTTCGCACACATCAAGTACAGAACGACAATCGTCGGTCGTCGTCGATCCACCACCGGGATACCCCTTCCTCGTGATCTTTCGCTCGTTACCCATCATCACTCGCCACCGGATGTCTAATTGTCCCTCAATGTTCCTGATGAAGATGCTTTGAAGTTGTCAACGCAATCATGACGATTTATGTTTTGTTTTCAATTTTTTTTTTCTACGCAGTCGGCTCGATCGGGTTGAACCTCCAGTGCTGCGTTCGTCGGAACTGACGACCAACTGCACGTGCTATTTTTGCGCGAACCTCGATGCCACGGGGGGATGGGTGACCCCTTCCGGGGACGCCTGCCACACTTCACGGCTTTTTTTTTTTAGATTTTTGCTTCACTTTTTGGGGCGATGTAGCAAGGAACCGCTGTTTGTTTTCTCAAAGTTTTTTTTTTAGAATTCGTCCCGCCTTGTGTGAAGTCCACTGTTTTCCCACTGGAATTTTTTTCAAGAGTGGAAATTTCCGACACACGTTCCTCGGGGTTCTTACAATAATAGTATAATCTTATTATAATATTATAATGTCGCAAATCTGTGGCAACTGTCAATTTAAAATTCAAGGAATGGTGTAACGGATCAGTTCCTTCAAATACTTTCACTTTTTCCAGGTGAAAAGGTGTGGTGAGAATAATAATGATCTCAAAATTTAGAAGAATTTGGAAAAATTTCAAACAGCGGATTCTCGAAGTGAGGCACGTTCGAGGAGACACAGACGACTGGCGTTGGGGAGCAGTTGTCGATTCATGGGAATGATCATTGTTAATGCGAACTTCTGCGTTACCAGGTAATTCGATGATTATTGTCAATGTCGGGTGTGAGGGATTATGTAAGAATATGTGCGCAGCCGAGTGCTCTGGATAGCAATGGAAAATGTGGCTTTTGTTCTCGTTGAAAATTTCTGCGGCTAGCAGCAACTACTAATTATCAGATTCCACAAAACAATATAAATTGGTATTACCAAACCATCAATTCCAATTGAAAATTTTCCGAGAGGTTGAGATGTGTCAGACCTGCCAATAATCACTTTCTATTCTACTCCGGTCAAGTTCAGGACGAACCTCCACCAAAAGTTCCTGTTGGAATAATAAAAAAAAAAGCGTGATGAATTCCTCGATGAGTGTTCATCTGCAGAGCATTCAAAAATCAGAGTGAACGACACGGCAACGAAAACTCACCACAGTCTACTCAATTAAAAACTCCATCACTAAAAAAGAATAGTATTGATTCAAATTTGAATCAGGCTGAGAACTTGACTCGAATCAAGTGAACAACAATCAGACTGCTGCAGGCTGCAAAGATTAACATTTTTCCATGTTATAGTTGATTTCTGAGTGATTTAAACCAATCCCATGAACTCTTATTTTTTGTTTGCGAAAATCCTAAAAACGATCGACTGCACTCGGGTAGCATTATAATACCATGACGCAACGCCGACGATTGTGTAACGAGAGAGTGCACTGGGGCATAAAGGACGATGAAATAACGAGAGCACCGAGGCTTCCCCATAAAAAGCTCATCTGCCAGAATGAAATAAATACCAACAGCTATTTGTAAACGATTTTAATGGGTGACGGCAAGTGCTTTACAGCGGCAGTATTGACAACAGTGACTAGTTTGAACACAGGTGTATGATAATTCCTCAAGTATCTCTCAGCGGTGGGTGCAATCACAGGTGCATTACGATGATTTGGGGGGCTGAAACAGGCCATCCTGCTCCCAGGAAGTAATCGACGAAGGCAGTGATCCGGGCTCTCTGGAGTATGTTCAAATATCAATCAAGAAAATTGATGGCAGATGATCCAGCATTGGCCCCAATTGTCCAGCCTCCGGTGATCTGGTCGTTGACCAAGTTTCGTGCCCGTTGACCCCCCGTGAACTCGTATCCAATCACCAACTACTCTCGAATCAATTCACTTTCTCTCGTTGTTCCAATTACCGTAAATTTTTATTACTTTTTTTTTATTCAATTTCTATTCTGTGGTTCTATCAACCAGTTTATCCACGCTCGATTGACTCCTTTGTGCGTCTTTGTGGTCACGCTAGGTTCAATGACCACTCTTGAGAGCTCTTTGGGGGCTATTTATTATCAGGTAGACAACCAGTCAAAGTCGATGAATGGGTGGATAAAAGAGGAGTAATGAGTCATATGTAGATGACGATAACGCCGTTCTGGAGGAAAATGGTAATGCGTATCTCTCGACGCACAGGTGCTGACATTTCTCCAATAAAATTTCACTGCTGTTGATTCTTCACTGCTGCAGACAGCTCTGTTGGTTCTGGTGTGCAGGCCTTTTTATTTATTTTAATAACAATGTGCTGCAGATTCTTCGTTTCACATCACCATTTTATCACATCAAACAGAGGTGGAAATAAACTACGGGCAAAGGGAGAAGTTGGAGAATCTGGAGGGTAATTGAATCGGGGGTGGAGGCACTCCTCCTGGGTGTTTCGCGATGCGTCGCGACGCTGAGACTAGAGCCTGGCCCACTCTTACAACCGAATTTATATTTAAACGTCGGGGTGGATGGCTGTAGCCAGCTGAGAAAAAATGCGATTGTGACGCAGTCATCGACGTCACCATTTACAGATCGCGTGGGTTCGACGAATCCATTTATTGAAATATCCAATGGAACGCTTTTTTTTAAATAATTTATTCCACCACAGATCAGCTCGATATATGAATTTATACGAGGGGGAGCAAATACAAAAATGTTTTAAATATTACGGATCAAAAGTGAATTTTTGACGAGAGTTCGATAGTAATGGCCCGGAAGAATATATATTTAGTTCAAAATAATAATTGTAATTAATTATGAAATCAATTGTAAAAAGTGAAATTAGTATTACGAATATGGTTAATTGAATTAAAATTCAAATAAAAATTTGGGTGTTACTGCAATGTTATATTTAATCTGAGGTTTTTCTTTTATTTTAAATGTGTAAAGGGATCAATGCGAGGTATTTTAGAATTATCTTGACACGGAGTATTTTGGGGGAATGGGACAAAGGCTGTGGAAAATTATTTTAGTCCTCTCACATTTAACTTTTATTCTCTGAAAAGAAAAATATGGGGACTGTTTGTTCGGTGACAGGTCGCATGCACAATGTATCGGTGGAGAGGTGCGTGAGTCGATGGGAAATCCAATGGCTGTACAAGATTTCAAAGTTTCCACCCACGCAACCGCAAATGCCACGACAGTGTGTCGCACTAGGGAATCGCTTTCTTTTCTCTTTTATTCATCATCAGTCTTTATCTACACCTACGATGACTGTCCACCGGCCGAGGATAATTCTCATTCGACGAATAGTCAATCATGGATTGAATTTCCATCAGAGCTTCACTGTTACCAAATTTCCGCTGAAATATCCAGGAAAAGTCGTGAAAATTCTGATTCTGAGTATGTATTATTTGAAAATCTCTGGAATTCTTAAATTTCAGTTAAACGTGCCTTTAATGATAAAATGTGAATAGATTTCCGAGAGATAAGTCGAATATATAATATGAATAATGTAAAACATTTCTTGATTTTAGATTCATGACGAACCTTTTTATTCTTTTATATACCCTATATTAGGTGCCTTCTAGAAGCGATTCGGCGATGTTTCCGATGAAATGAATAGTTTTTCACACGAGACATTCACACGAATATTCAACGGACATTCTGATAAAATGAATAATTTTCCCCTGGAAAAAAAGAAGGGCGAAATTATACTGTCGCATTAATTATTATTTGGGGATGAATGCCAGTCAAAACCCTTGTCACGTTCGCGTGCTGTAATGTAGACAGGTTTTCAGACTCCGGTTATCGTGACTTTTCGTATTCATGCAAATATAGCCGATAGTTCACGGCTTTATGCCGGGGTCGATGATCTCTCTTCCTCTGACGTGGGATATCGAAGCAATTGTATTTATACTTTGTACAGACTGAGGGAATCATCGGTGTTATTCGTTTGCAATATTTTTGTTGATGATTGAGAGCAGTATTTTTTTAATACTGTCGGGTTATATTAATAAAGATCGAATAATCTTGGTTGCGGTGGGAGCGATTCATTCGTGAAGTTGAATTTTTTTTAGGAATGAATCAGAACAAATGTGCACACTTCCGGAAATCTGATTCAGAAGATCTAAAAGAATAAGGAATACATGCCTGTCTCTTTTTTGGAGAAGTAGAAATTCTGCAAAATATCCGACACCTAGTGTGAAATTTCTTTGGATTGAGAGCTCTCGTGTCCAAACCGCGACATCAGAAACAACTTCCCCTGACGGAAATCGTCAGATTGCTTGCTTCCCCTAATGAGAATCGATTTGCTGCCGAATCGAGGTCATCCAGTTGCTATCAAGGGTAGAATTCATCCCCATATTGGAATGCACCCGGTGGGGAGACTCCAGTCATGAAAATCGATCGTCGGAAAACGAGTCTGATATCATAAAGGAGGGTATGGGTGGAGGGAGTGAAAGAAAAGGGGCTTGAGATTTTCCTCAATCGCCAAGTGGTGGGTTCTCTGCTGTTGCCAGCCAGGCATTGATCCAACGAGTGCAGCGTCATTACGAGGTTACTGGGACCACATCTACGACTGATTCGTCCCAGAACGTGGCAACCATCATTTTTTCAAGTCCCATGATAATCCAGAGCAAAAGTAAATTTCTACTTTCTATCGAAAAATGGGTGGAAAAAATATATAATAATTTCATAAATTTTTTAAATGTGTAGAACATATATCAAAGATGTTTGAAATATTTTTTTTATATTCTTCAAAAAATTCAAATATAGTCACAGGTTTTAGTAGGTAACAGGAAGTGTTATTCACCTCTGTTATGAATTTCCGATAAAAAGCTTAAGTTTTCAATAAATGGCATTTTTGCTGCGATTGCAAATAATTTTATTATACAACAATCACAATCCCTAACGTCATTAAACAGGAAATAAGTTTTTTTCTTTCTTTTGAAAGACCAAAACGATAATGGAGGCAATAAAACTATCAAGATTCCGGATGTGATCGAGTGTTCTGGATTTTCAATGCTTTAATTAATCTCTCAATTCACTATATATAAATAGAGCTGGTTAAAACGATCTTCCGTGGGCGTAAGGAATAGGTTTTTCTGTGCGACCGATTTTTCCCAATTTATCTGAATTATTATTATTTTTTTTTTTCTGGGTTCTCCTCGATCTCGTTACACCGTTCCAGTTAGCGAAAGCCGCGTGTTTATTGCCAGTAGTCATGAGTCACGGAGTGCCAAGGCTGGGTCGTGTGTACGCCCCGCGCGGAAGGCGTGCGTTCACAACCGGAGACGCGTGCACCCTCGGAGAGGGGGAATGTCAAACAAAAAGGCGAAATCGAGATAACGATGGAACAGAGGTATGCAACGGAGAGAGAGAGAGGACAACGCATTCAGTGCATGGGTTTGGAGAGTGCACCAACCCGACGTGACGTAGACGATCAGCTGACGCTGGATGCTCCGACTCAATCGCTTGGAGTTTAAAGGAAAACAAATGGAGGATAAATTTGTTGGGTCGTACTTCCGGGAAAAGCTCTTGAACATGTTCTGCCTTTTACTCGAAATTCACAGTTTTGTAAATTTTAGACGAATTCTGAGATGGATTAATGCGAAAAATATAGCATTTTCGCATTTTATCACTGTTTAATGAGTACTAAAATGTCATTATCGGGCAATCATTTTTTGGCATTTTTTTTACAATCAACTTACAAAGATTCAGAAAATTTGAGAAAACACAGAAAAGTCATTGCGATATTTTTTGGACCTATTCGGTCAACTGTTTGTCAGAAAACTCGTTCTTCGATTAAAGTCTCAAGATACTCCTCCCATTCGAGCCTTTCATGTCCCCTAATGTATATCTCTGAGATCGATAATTCTGGATATATCCTGGTGATGAAGAAAAATATGAAATTCGACTTATCTCACCTAACCATTTGACTACTGCACTTAAAAACCCAATGTCCCGTACTACCAACGATAGAAAATGGTCTATTGCAAAATGTCTGGAAATAATAATTGATGGATGATTATTCTACCGGCCACTTTCAATCAATTTCTCTCCACTCAGCTGACTGAATTGTTTTTCTCTGAATTCTGGGAGAAACCTCATCAGAAGTCCATAAAAATAACCGAGTAGAGCTTTGAACCTACGTTTTACTTTTTCTATTTCGTAATTCAATTATGCAACTGGACGATCACTAATTCCTGTATCCGTACCACCACAGCATAATCCCCCAAAAAATTGTCAGTGTCCAACCAAATTTGAAAACCAGCAGATCGCCATAAAGGGAGTCGCATCCACCGTGGATTTACTTTCTAAAGACGCGTGCCAAGATGCCGTGTTCTCCTTTGAGGCCAAGACTTGGTTATTTTTAGATGGCCGGACCTCGGGTTAGTGCCTAATGATAGGCCTTATTCGGCAACGGGTGGATTAACAAGAACAAGGTCGATCTAGATCACCATTTTCATCATCGGACGGGGTCACGACTGACCGGGCTCCACTGCTAAAAAAATCCCCGAATTTCTCCGAAAATTACACCGAATTCTATTAAAAATGGAAAAACTTAGGCAACTTCACTTTTTCGTGAAATTTAAACGACAATCTTCATTTAAGGAAACGAAACATGAAAATTCTCCTGTGAATTCAATAACTTTCTTGTGTGAATTTCCCTAATCACGTCGATTTAATGAAAAATTGAAAAATCATTTCACTGGAATATAATCAAAATGAAATTTTCAGTATTCACATAATTTTTAATGAAAAAATTCGGCCAAATGTCAATAGAATTACACAATCAAGACTTAATTTATTTCTTCAATATGACCAGTATCTCAAACTGGAATAATTATCGGAAATTTGAGAGGAGCTGTATCGGGTTTGGAATTTCTCCCCTAAAATCGGAAAAATTGAATGAAAATATTTCAGGATTATTTACGAGATAAGGAATCCGGGTCCGGTATCGAGGCCTTTGTACTCGTAGATGCCACAATAAACGACTCAGACCTTTAATCCCCAAGTGAATGTAATGTCTCGTCAACCGAGAGCGTTTGTTTTGCAAGAGACTTGACGGGGTTTTGCTCAGTTGTATTAAATCCGCCGAGGTTTGGTTGGGACGAGGCCTTCGCTCGTTTCTTCTCACTGCGCAACACTCTTCAGGGATTCTCCGTGATAAAACCTGCACTTTCACTTAGCCACATGTAATTACCACGCTCCAAAGATCCTCTTTGTTTACTCACCATTCCTCACCCATACCATGTTATGAAGGCTGAATGATTAGTTACTTCATCAGGCACCCTGACATTGACAGGGGCTTCTCGATACAAATTCCACTTATCGGTTTTCCAGATGCAGGAGTCGTCTCCGTTCCCTTTTTTCGCCATCGATTTTCCTCGTTCCTTTTCACTCACAAACACTCGAGTTTATCCATCCAACAATATTCATTTACCAACGCTCCATTGTTACCCCGCTTTTCCTTTGTGACGTTCTTCACATTTTTGCAGAGAGAAAATCGACTCAGAGAGTCAAACGTTTCCCAACAGAAAACTTTATCATATTTAATTAGTCGGTTTTTTAATTTATTCTTCAGGTTAAAGAGGGGTTCTCGACGGAGGGATGACGGTTAATTTTTTTGCAACCGTGGTTTACAATCGTTAGAGCTTTTTCGCTCATTTTATGGTCGGGGGTGTTTTTTTTTAATTTTTATCGGATGATATGTTTGTATTGATACTCACATTACCAGACGGGATATTATCGATGATATCATGTTAGTTGATTGTGAACACAAAATAAACGACTGCTGGTGGAAAAAATGGTGATGTTAACGAAGCGGAGGAGAACGTAACACCGCCAAGCTCACTGATCGGCCATGTTGGACTGGCAGCTGGCGAGTGCTGCGCCTCTGACGTCACTTCGTGTTTTCGTCACGTGACCATCAGGAGCGGAGAGAAATTTCGGGACGATGGTGGGAGAATTTTCAAAAATTTTAGCCGCCCGATAGTGCAAGGTCTTCTAAAAATTCATTTGTTTTGCACCTCATTTGAATTGGATATTTTTAATTCGGATATTTAGTCACTGTCTCATTTCTTCTCATTTTTGACCTTATGTACATTGGATATTTTAGTAGATTTTTCATCATTGCCTAATTCTCCATATTGTTGGTAAATTTGTTTTGTTGGAAATTGTTGGGGGGAGTCTTCATTCGAAGATACATTTTTCCCAGAAACTTTGTTAAAGCCAAGGCATGGAAAATATGTCAGCCTCCCCCACGTGTTTGCCATCCTGGTCTCCGCCTCGGATATCAATCTTCCGCGTGAGAAGGGATGATCTTTTTTCCAAGGCTAGGCCTGGAAATAACTATTTCACGAGGAAGAAATTTTATTAGTATCAAGAGACGTTCTTTATGTGATAATCACTGGGTTTATCTCTGGGTTTATCGTGTCCAAGAGTTCAAGTTGCACGCGTCGAGACGTGATGCGTCCCCTGGCATTTTGTCAACTAGAAAAATGATGACCTTCTGAGTCTCTATAAAAAATCACTGCCGTCCCCGGGGGAGTCGCCCCGGGGGCTCTTTCCCCTCGTCCCTTCTAAAACCGTGGAAAAAGTCACTTCCAGAATTCAAGTGCAGTGTCTACACATTCCCGTCGGAATATTCCCTGATGATCACGAAAAAGTTGGAAAAATGACGCATGAAAAAATGACAAATGAAAAAAATCAAAATCAATATCAAAAATTTTCATCTTTTTTCAATAATTTTTCATTTGCCAATACAATTGATAGATTATTTTTTGACATTATTGTACAAGAAAGGCAATGGCTTCATGTCTCAGTGAATGAAATTTTGTTTTCAACTTCTGTAAATTCTAGGAATTTTTGGAAGCATTCTACAACGTGAACAGTTTATTGTCGAATTTCTGCTGAAATTATCGTGGTCAAAGGACAACGATTATTTCATTCCTATAGTAAATATTTGGAGCACGAGACGGGTGACGAATGTTGCCCGAGGGACAAAGGACTCGGCGATTCGCAGAAGTGTCGGGAACTGAAAAACAAAAACAAAGCGGTATCGATTTTCTGAGTTTGGGGGGGGGGAGTTTTAAACCCAACACTAGATACACAAGGTTAGATATTTATTTCCCCTCAAAGTGAAGTCGTGCTGACTAGAACGGGCTATTTGTGAAAATCCGTGGAGCTGTAATTTTTTGGGGGATTACGGAGTGGACTAAATTATGTAATCAACGCTCACTTTTGCAAGTCAACAAATAAAAATCGGTAAAATAAAAATAAATGATATTAAAATTTAACTAAAAATCAAGAATAACAAGAATAACAGTATTCTCAATATCGGATTATTAATATTTTCGGGGATTAAAAAAATAAAAATAAAAGGAAATAAATAGTTGGAGTTTCCGCTCGAGAGTTTCAAATCCAACACCAGATATTTATTTTACAACTTAAAACTCATAGTACCTCAATTCCAAATAATTGAAAAAGTGTAGGACTAAAATGACAATTAAAATGAAAAATAATAAATAATAAATTCAGTGTTTGAAGAAGAAAAAAGAAACGCCCCCCTGGAACTGTAAGTAAGAGTGCTGTAATTTTCGAGAGTTTGTTGAATTTTTGGAGATTGCGGGTGAATAGCGGTAGTGTGGTGAATTTGAAAAAGAAAAGGTAATCGATAGTTGGAGTTTTGGGTCGAGAGTTTTAAACCGAACGGAACGAAACGCTAGGTATTCACGGTACAACTCCGGGACTTTCCCCACCCCGAGCGGTGGTGGTGGGGGCAGAGGTGACGGGGGTGGGGCGCGCACAGGAGGTCGTTGAGGGCCTCCCTGCCTCTTTAGGCCGCAGTGCGCGCTACGCGATATCGCTGGCCGGTCATGTGTATATCCCCGTCATCCATCACCTCTACACCTGTGCCGTACGATCCAGTGAAAAAACAATCACACGAGTCCAACCAGTACAACCCAGTGCATATCCCCAAACAAACTCAACTCAATTCAGAACATCAATTTATCCATTGTTGTTGTTTACATTACTAATAGACCTGGCGTCTCCTGATGTTTTTTGGATTTTTATCGGTGAATTGTGGGGAGTGAGGGATGCGAAATAAGTGAGATAAGTGAAAAAGTGTCGAGTTGTGGAAATAGTTTTGGAAGTTCACCTGGTGGTGCTGACCACTGTTTTCGGGTTTACGTGGCAACTGGCCTCAAAACACGTCACGTGAGCCCAAGGCTTGTGGATACATCTAGCTGTTGAGAAGATTCTGGCAGACACCGTAAATTCCCGCCAACTCCTCTGGATTGGAGCCATGGGACCGCTCAGACCACCGGATTGACCAGCGAATCATTGGATTTTCTTGTGTTGTGATTGTGCGATACGGCGGTGTGCTTTTGTTTTTCATGGGATAGGTCAGCCGATTAATATGGCGTACAAGTTTAGAGAGGAAATTGTGGGGAAGAGATTCCTATCAGTGAGTGGTTTTGGAAAGCTCAAAGTGAATAAAATAAGTGAGTGGGGGTGGCGTGCTGGTGTTATTCGCGCTGCCAGTCATAGGGATAACAACTGTCCTGATCTTCAGGTGAGTTTTTCATTTTTTATTATTTTATTGTGCGAACTAATCGATGTGGACAATGTATCTACGTCCATGGAGTTGTTAAAAAAATTTTTAAACGGTTTTTTTCTCGATAAAAACTACAGCAGTTCTCGGAAAATTAAACAAATGACGCGCGGTCTACATCGTTATTCACTTGTTTCATCGGGCGAATCCGCCGGAATTTTCATATTACTCTCAATGCACGATTTAAAACTTCGTAGAAAGTTTCAGATGGTTAAGTTGAGTTAAAAATTCAGCGATGTGGTATGAGAAATTATTATGAAAATTATAAGTTCTGTAGAACTCTTGAGGAAAGGTATTGATTTTGTTTTCGATCATTCTTCTGATACACGAATTAAATTTATCTTAATTTCTTCATAATCTCTTGGAGTCCGGGGAACCGCGAAAAATAAGCGATTGGTGCTCTGGGAATTAATGGGCGGGGGATTTTATTCAACGAAATAGTCGGAATGATTTGGTGGCTTTTTATCGTCTCGTGGGGGAACTCTGAAAATCAACAAATCATTTCCCGGCCAGTGACTCTTGGGCGATCGATCGGGTCTCTCTCACTCTTAGGGGAATGTTATTATCGAGCGGAAAAAGGTTTTCTACTTTCTCGACCTTCTCCTCGACGGATCCCCGTCCCACCCTCCGGGGGAATTTGCGGTGTGGATTTATTCACGTTCTGAGCCGAGAAAAAGCCGCTGGCCTCGATCAATTGGGGGAGACGAGGGTTTTCTGGGGTTTTTCGGGAATGTGGGAATTGCCCCGGGCGCGGTGGGTTCACTCGATCATGGGGCGGGCATTTTTCGGATTTGAAAAAACGGAGAGAAATTGCTCATTGAACTCACCCTGACGTTGTTGGACGAATAATTATCGTAGACTCATCACGAATATTCAAGGCGTTAAGCAATTTTTTAGCAACAATATGATGATACATTTTCTGTCAATTTGGGATTATTGAAAATTCAAAATCCTTCCATTGAAAATCCCAAACATAATTTTCTAAATTTGACAATTTTTTTAAGAAACTTTTTTCTTAATTTACACTGTTAAATATTTTTTTTTTAGTAAAATTTTTCAACAATGTAGAAGTAAATGGAGGGAGTTTCGGGAGCTGATTAAAATTTTTTATTAGTGGGATAATGAATTGAGGGGACATATGCATTATTCTTGTGCGTTGTAATGGGAAATGACCTTCTGGGGTATTCAAAATGGTTATTGAATTGTAGATGGATGCAGTAAAGAAGGGATAAGGAGCAACCGCGTGTCATTGTGCAAATGGTGAGGGGTTTAATGGGTTTCCGATTTACGGGGAGATACGATGACACCGGGGAGAGGACGTACACATGTATATTGTTGGGGATTTAGAGGAGTGAGGACGGGTGAAACTGAACGGGGATCCGTTCATGCACGAACTCATCACGGGTCGATGGTCAAATCGATAACACCGAGGCGCAAAGTCACTCGAGTATCCACTCCTCTCTAAATTTATGGTCGGGCTTTTGATTTTTATTTTTACGTGTAGATGTGACGTGGATTTCCCCGGGAAATTCACCTCTGTCCCATCAAGTCTCAAGGGAAAATACTTGAATATTTCATAATCACCAGATTTTATTGAATATACATGTATTGTTGCTGAAAAATCGGACATTTTGTTGAATATTCAGTGGAATTTTATCTTCAAACTTATAACTATCCAATCAAAATGACATATCTCTTCCCTAATCGTTTCCTAATTTCCGTGTTGCGGAATTTTTCGTGAGGGAATTATGGGTTTCGTATTTTTCATCGAGTATTTCTCTCCGAGTGACATATCTTGCTTTATGAGATAATCTCAGTGAAAATGGTGAAAAATAGTTTAGACTAGTGGAGGAAAAATTTAAAGATATTTGGGTTACGACGTGAGTGGTTTTGGAGGATGTTCTCTGTTCGGTAGAACGAATACACGAGAAATTGGAACGCAAGAAGTTGTATCCGGTTGGTAGAGCGAACGCTCATGAGGCCGCGCTCGACTGCCTCGTGCCTCGTGTCTGTCCGTTGAGAGATCCGTTATAACGTTCTATTCACATATTTTCAAGACAAATGAAAAACATGAAATCATCGACAATTCCACAATCAATAATTCACCAGAATACGGAGAACAAAATTTAATAAAAATTACCTAAACGATTTAAAACTGTAAAGCAGTACCAGTGAAATAACGTATCTATTTATCTATCTACCTAATCGTCTGGTAATCATGCTATGTTTTAGTCTTTGGTGAAAAAATTAACTAAATGTTCGGTAATTTTTGTCCAACGATTAGATAACTTTCACCAAGTTGACGAACATTACTGTGTCATACGGTAATTTTTCCCAATGGCTAAATACAACACGGTTACCCAACGGATTGGTAATTTTTACTCAATTTCTCTCTCTGGGTACAATTCCACTTTTTACACTCAATTTTTCCGTACAGTTTTGATCAAATTACCTATTCAAGGCGCGCATTTTTGCTCCCTAATGAGCAACCGCTCGGAGAAAGTTGGTATTCATTAGAGGATAATGGGAATACCACGAATTAATGAGTATTTATAAGTGGAGTTGACAGAAAATTGGGTGAAGCGCTCTGAAAACCATTTCGAGTCATTAAATTGTGATATGCGTATTACTATTTTATTTTGAGACGAAATCAAGCAGAACTTAGTTCGGAGATACTTTTAATTTTCTAATTTATGGATTGTTACTCATCTGGAGCAAAAACTCTTCGCGAGTGTTTGGGAAAATTTAATTTTTCGCGTCAAGGAATTACTGATATTTCGGTAATAATGCGAATTTAATAACACGTTTTGAAAATGGCCGATTAAATAGGGAATTCACAATAATAGATGGCGAAATTTTTCGATTGTCAATCATTTCAGCGATTTGGACTTTAAAATTAAAGTTTCAGCAAATAGAAGAGAAAATGAAAAAATTTCTATTTAATTTTTTTTTCTTGATTATGGAGAATATTGTACCTTTAAAAAATACGTAAATTGATGGCTGAATTTGATTTAAATCATACAATCGATAAGATATCAGAACCATTACTCAAATCTTTTTTCTGCAGCGAATTGGCAAAACGAGATAAGTTACCACAGCTCTTGGGCGAGTCTTTCAGAAATATCTCCGAAAGTAACCAAGATAATAAAATTTCTGTTATAACGATGTTTGCAGAGCTCATTGTGGGCACCAAAAATTATTTTCACATAAATTTCGCTATCTCTTTTCATTTCGTAGATATTTTCGAAAACTTTACTAAAGGGTAAAGTCAGTTTATCCCACTTTGCCATCTCGTTACAGAATTTATCTTGGATTTCTGTTAAATTGATAAAAACTGGAATGTCACTGAGTACCCAAGTTGTGAGGTAATTTTTTTCAAATTTTTTTCCACTGTGTGGCGTATCTGTTGATATTGGTGTGGTCCTAGAGGGCGAAATTGCGCAACAGGACGTATCGATGGATCGGATTCATTGAACCGTAGGTGATGCTGGAATGCAAAACCATTGTACATTGTTCGTATACCTCTAGCCTTCGTATGACTCGGCTTCCTGTCAAATTCAGTTTTATTACATTTTTACTGGTGCTGATTTTTTTTTCCCTCTCTCTTTCTCTCGAGCCTTTTAATGACTCGGCGATTGATGGGCAAGCATAAAATTCTAGTGGTAATGGCTCGAGAAAATACGAGCATCAGGCGTCATGCAAGTGACGAGGTCACTGAATAATGACGTGTTTATTTGAACTGGAAGGAATTAGTGGGGACGGTGGATTTCTCCGGGATTGTGTCGGGTCAATCGTGAATAAATGTCACTTGTAATTGTGGGAATTTCGGTGGCGCACGTAGAAACTCGGATACATGAGAAATTACGTGTTTCTGCTGACCCGTAGATATCGTTGGTTCGATTCTCGTAAATATTTTTGGTAGGCAATTTCCGGGAATAGAAAAATTTTTTTTTTGTTTAGAAATTAATTGTGCGAATTTTTACAATGGCCGGATATCAGACCTGTTGCCACGATATTCATTTCAGCGAATGATCTAGATATCGATTGATTCGTGGGGAATTGAAAACACTTGGTAATTTTTTCAACTCCTGCGTTTATTCATTTTTATTAGCATAGAATCCTCGAGTCATCTAATTTTATCTTTAACATGAGAAATCTTTCTCCTCTGCGTTTCTCCCGAATGGAGAACACTTTAACTTCTAAACAGAAAAATAACAAAATAATCTCTCTCTCCCTTTAATAAAAAAGACTTGCAATAAGGACAACCATCGTTCGGTGAAAATTCCAAATATGAATTTTCTCCCAGGAAAAAAATTTAACAAACTTTCTATTTCAACTCTCAACAGAAACAAAAACAGTATATGAATTGAACAGAAATCATTCCAACTTCACGGAAGTATCCCCATCTCACCTCATCGAGGTGATATTTCCCTGAACACATCCGTGAAATAACAGTAAAATTCAAACGACAGATGATTGAAATTCCCCGAGTTGTAAAATTTTCAGAAACGTCGCGAATTGGAATGGCCCGAGTCATTTGAATCACCGGAGAGAAAAGCGTTAAATTGTGCGGAATAGAATTCCTTGAGAATTGTGGATTTAATGCCACGTGCCAATGACGAACGAGTTGCCTCGGTGGGCTGTCTCCAACGACGTCGGTGGCTTTTCTGTTTATCCACCTGTCGGGTTCATACCGTTATGCAGTGTTGCATTGTGGCGCACCACGAAAACCATTTAAGGCTCCCCCGTGGTTTGTGACGCGTTGCACACTACATTGCCCTGTACTCACTATTTTTTTTACCCTACCCCCTCAAGCCCTCCCCCCACAACAGAGGTGCTTACCTGTCTGCATGTACGGGGTTTTATGGTGTATATTATTCGAGGAGGGATTTCAAACCCAAACTACCGAAAATTACTGCACCTCCTGGCGGTTTTCAGTCATTAAAATTCGGCTTTTGCTC